GACATTGTGAAAAGACATAGGAGGTGTAGAATAGGAGGGAGCTTCGGCGCCGGTGAAATACCTCTACTCCTATTGTTTTTTTACTTATTCAATGAAGCGGGGCTGGATTCACGTCCAACTTCTGGTTTTAAGGTCCTTCGCGGGCCGACCCGGGTTGAAGACATTGTCAGGTGGGGAGTTTGGCTGGGGCGGCACATCTGTTAAAGTTGAAAGATCAACTTATATTACCTGTGGTGGAAAGTACCGTCTGCGTAGAGGGCGCCTCCGTTTTCCTATGTGATTTGATAGTGCTGTGAAGGGAGATAGATATACGGAATATATTCGTGTATTGTCAACGACATGCAGAGTGCAACGTTACCAGTATCTTCGTCATAATAACTCCAAGTCAAGCACACGCAGACTGAATCATACTCTTCCTTGCTGCTGGGAGACCCCGTTCCTCATGCTCTGACAGTATGTGGCGTTCAAGTGAGCAATACATGAAACTCTTTCCCAATCCTTACTATAGATGCGACAGTCTCCAATACCGACGGTATCAACGACACAATATTACTCAGTCCTTATATACACAAGAATAGCCTTTCTTTCACACCATGACTACGTAGTATCCATGCATAGGCATAATGTACGAGGCGACCATATATAGATAGCCTCCATTCTACCGTCATACCCAGTCCATCCAACATCTTTGAAATAAGCCACCCCGATCTTGACGCCTCATTCTATCATTTGACCTCTCTTTTCTCCTACGGAGAAACATCAAAACTTAGTTGAATCGAAGAATGAGTCCTGTGGAAGGACTGTGTGACAGTTTCGATAGTCAGATGTCCAGTGGTGGCGTCAGGTTTCTATAAAAACGCCAGCCGAACGCCCGTACTAAGAGCATCGCGCCATTCCGCCACCACACAATCACCATGGCATCGTCTGTCACTATGGTCTTTCATTTATGAAAGGACTGACATCAGGAAGTAGCTTCCTCTTCTTGGTATCATACGGCACCTTTCGCCATCCGCCCTTCTTCCCCCCCCCCTCCAAGCAGCTATAACAGGGCCCGCAACCTCTGACGCCATGTCTACGGTTGCTGCCGTACTGATCGGCATTTCTGACGCTTTCCTCATTGTCTCTATCCCTTGGCTGCTTTCTGTACTGTACCTATTCCAGAAGGAGAGCAAGAACAAACAGAAAACGTCGGGACGACAGCAACGCTCCACCGACAACACCTACAACAACGACGACGACGACGACGACGACGACGACGACGACGACGACGACGACACCAACGCCAGCATCGCGGTGGGAGATGTCAAGGACATGAACGACCGCCTGAATGCCGTGATGGGCCTGGGAAGCGACCACGAGTCCAGGATCGGGTCCATGACGTGTGCCGTCAAGTCTCTCCAGGACAGGGTTACTGCTTCCGAACCTACTCTGGAGGCCAGAGCCAAGACTGCCGGGTCTCCGAGGCCCAGGATGTCCAAGCCTGAGTCTGGGTACGAGCTCATCGCGAGTGTTCGCAGCCGGGGATTTCCCGCGGAGGAGTCCAAGGGTGAGCACCATCTCATCGCGAGTATCCACATCAGCATCTGTCCCGATGTTCAGCGCAATGACCCTGACAATGGGCCATCCCTCAGCGTGGCAGAGGTGTATCGAATGTACGCCCGGATCCAGAACTTCCCCGCGATGGAGGACTCCAAGGCTATGGAAGTCATCGACAGGCTCCTGATCGATAGTGAGTGGCGACTGAGGATGGCCATGTGTTCCCGCCCACGGAAATCCGACAGGAACCCCAGCATCTCCGCATGGACAGGTGAGCCGAGGGGCGCCTTCAACAATAGCCACACGAGCTACGCCATTTGCGTTGAGTTCCTCCGCTCTCAACGTGTCGCGATAGGCCAGGCCCGCACCTCCAACTACAACTACAACTACAACTACAATATCAGGAGCAACAAGGCCGAGCCGTCGTCATCTGGGCAAATCCTCGGGGAGGGAGGTGGCTTGTTTTCGCGGTCTGTCTCGCCGAGAGGTCTTGACAATCGTTCTGAACATTCCGCGTACTCTCACACAGATGACGAAACCGCCGTCAGAAAGAAGGCAAAATTGGCGGAGCATCAGGCCAGCATCCTCGAGGACATGAGCCGTCGCCAGCTGAGCAACAGCAACAGAGACAGAGACAACGGCCTTGGGTCCGAATGCGTCGACGGCCGTCTCCAAAAGTACGGCGACAGCCTCTTCAACATGCTCCAGAACATGGCGCTCGTGGCGACAAAGGTCGACAGCCGAGACGACACCATCGGGCTCCAGGACGACCGCATCATCCGCCAGCGCAAGTCGACCGCGGAGTGCGCACGGGCACTCGAGAGGTCGTCCGAACACCGTGACAGGTTCTCCAGGGAGACCGTGTACAAGTTACTAGACACCGATGAGACCATCACGGCCCCGGCCGCGCGAATCCACGGCCTCGAGACCAAGCTGGGCAGCAGCCGCAGCAGCCAGACGGGGCAGCCTGGCCGCCATGGCTACGATGCCCCTACCTGCCACCATGTCCAATCCAGCGTCCGCCAACATCTCCCCAAGGGTTACGAGCCCCAGCCAACGAGATGCTGTCGCATCCCATCCGACACTCGCGGCGCCAACCACCACGCTGTTCCCGATGCCTATTCCGATGCCGCTCTCCTAGGCGACACGTGCCCCCCCAAAGCGTGTCCGACTGACTCTCCCACGATCGGTGAGGAGCTGAAGGACACGACATCCGCGACTTCTACCCGGAACCTCCCGGTTCCCACCGTGGTGGTTGACGACTACTCCTCATACCAGTCAGCCTCCGAGGTCGATCTTTCCAGCACCAGGGAGCTAGAGCAGCCGAAAGAGGCCGGCGACAGGAGGCCCGACTTTAGCTTCGTCATCGGTCAGGAGGATGTGCTTTCTGTCAGGGCGGCATCCGCCTCTGATGATGACGATGGGTACTTCGAGATTGATGATGGGTTCGAGGCCGTCGGTGAAGACGACGAAGACGAGCTCATGGAGATGGAGATGGAGGTTGATGTCGACCTGGATCAGGGCTTGTCCTCCGTCGCGTCTGAGGACGAGTACCCACCTCATGGGGACCACAGCGAATTTGTTGTCTGCGGATCGCGCAAAGGATGGACGGTAGTTGGCTGGAGACTCTGATCATCTCATCGTTCTCTCTTTTTCTTTTGTGGCGTTTTACTGATACTCTAGCTGAAATAAGAGGTCTTCCTTTATTTATCTGTTTTCCTCTAAGAAAATTAAAATAAAATAAAATCAAGAAAATAAATGGTATTTCTGTCTAGAATTTGTTCAAAGTTAGCTAGGAGTGTAAATAGAATCAGCATTTCCAGTGTCTGCTATCACTGATTGTCATTCTTATGGACATCATTCGAGTTCAGATTTCAACACCTGGGCACACTCATTGAAATATGTGAACCTGCTATGCAACTCTTGTATTATTTACCAGAACAGAGGGAAAGAAAACAGTCCTAAGACGCCAGCTGACACTACCTGTAGTAGTAATAATAAAGTATCTCAGACTAATAGATCCGAACCAAGGGTGTCAGAAAAACCAAAACATGCCGTACCATAAGAACCTATCTATTAATGAATCGCGCCAAATATAGTAACTCCATGGGTTGAATATAAAAAAGAGAGCCCGTCAACCGAACAAGACAAATAAACGTTTTCTTTGTATCCAAAAATATGGATTTAAGAAGAGAGAGAGGGGGGATCTTCGCTCATGCTGGATAGTGTAGGTGCAGATGTAGTAGACAAAACATCCTAAACAAAAAAAAAAACAAAAAAAAGAAAGACTAAATAAAGAAGCGTGCGCTCTATGGTAGAAGAGAAAGAAATACAGGCATTATAGGGAATCTTTCGGGAACAACAAACAAGTGTAATAAAAAAAGAACAGATTACGACTTCGGAGATTTCGCATGATCAGAGTCATCGGTAATTTCTACCCGCGGAGGCGACGGAAAGGGGACGGGTTGACTCTTAGTGCCCATAGGCGACTCTGGGGACAGCGACTGCTCGTCGTCAGGAGCCACGATGGACGGAATGGCAGGGCTGAGAGCCGAGTCGTCAGCTTTCTCATTCTCCGTAGCAGGGGCCACAGTCTCGATGTGAAGCTGGGGCACCTGGCCGCTGCCGCTGCTGGTGACGTGGCGGCTGTTTTCGCCAACAGTCTCGTCGCTGTCGCGATCGGCATTCTCATCGTCGTCATTGGAGGCGTTGCTCTCGCCGCCATCGTCGGCCTTCTTGTTCTTCTTGGGCTTCATGGCCCGGAACATGCGACCGAAAGTGGCGGACCAGGCCTTTCCGAGGGCGCGGTAGACGATGACAAATGGCGTGCCGACAAACGTGGCAATGGCGTGGAACCACTGGTCAGGGAAAAGTCGGATGAGAATAGCCCACGGCCAGCACATGAGAGCAGTGACGACCGAAATGGCCCACTGGGTGCCGTCGAGACCACCAGACTTGATGCTGAAGGCGCGCGAGCCGACGTAGACGATGCACACCTGCAGGCCAACCATGAGAACGCTTATACCCATGAAGAAGAAGTTACGGTGGACACCCTCGAGGATGTTGAGCTTGTTGTCCAGGCGGCGGTTGTTGAACTGGTTGAAGATTTGCATCCACACAAACATGTTGAAGATGATAGTGTCGAGCTCCAGCATCTTGTCATCGTCATCGCGGTCGTAGCTGAGAATCTCTGGTCCGGCAAAGTACAAGATGAGCGTCACCACAAGCTGGAATATGCTCTGGCCGATTATCATCTTCCACATGTTAGTCGTGATGAGGGGAGTCTTCTTGCCCTGAGGAGGGCGGTCTAAGATCTTCTCTGTCGGCGGGTCGGTGGCCAGGGCCAGGGCAGCGAACGTATCCATGATGAGGTTGATCCACAAGAGCTGCACGGCCGTGAGGACTGACTCCATGGAGTCAGATGAGACGGCGGAGACGAAGGCGATGATGACGGCAGTGATGTTGACCGTGATTTGGAACTGCCGGGTTGTGAACATTAGTGTCGGGAAGGACGGGAGATATTGGGGAAGGAGCATACCTGAAGGAACTTCTGGACGGCATCGTTAACAGCACGTCCCCACTTGAGAGCAGTGATGATGGAAGTGAAGTTGTCGTCCATGAGGACAATAGCCGAGGCCTCCTTGGCCACCTCGGTTCCAGAGATGCCCATAGAGAACCCGACATCGGCAGCCTTGAGGGCGGGAGCATCGTTGGTACCGTCACCGGTGACGGCAACAGTCTCGCCCATCTCCTTCAGCTTGGTGACCAGGATGCGCTTGTCCTCGGGCGAGGAGCGAGCGAGGACCTGGAGCTTAGGCAGCGTCTCGAGGAACTGAGCCTCGGTCATCTTGCGGAACTCGGGGCCCTCCATGACGACGCCACCCTCGGTATAGATGCCGCACTCGGTGGCAATGGCACGGGCCGTCACAATGTTATCACCGGTAACCATGCGCGTCATGACACCGGCGTGCTTGGCCTTGGCGACGGCCTCGGGAACACCGGGGCGGACGGGGTCCTGGATACCGACGAGGCCAAAGAAGGTGAGGTCGTGCAGGAGGGAGGAGAAGTCAGCCTCGCCGTCCTCGACCTCGGCGTGGGCCGGAGGCCACGAGGGGTAGTCCTTATAGACAAGGCCGATGGTGCGGAGCGAGTTGCTAGCGTACGAGTCGATGGTGGCGCGGAGGGCCTTGCGCTGGGGCTTGTCGAGGGGCATCTCGGCGAGGGTGTCCAGGTCGGCCTGAGCCGAACAGTACCTGAGCAAGATCTCCGAGGCGCCCTTGACCAGGAGGCGGTAGCCGCCGTCCTTCTTGAGCTTGATGACGGCACCCATACACTTCTTCTTGGAGTCAAAGGGGTAGAGGTGGGCAATCTCCTCGTTGCTGCGGACCTCAGCCAGGTTGGCCATACCGAGCGACTCGCGGGCCATGGAAAGCAGAGCAGTCTCCGTCTTAGAACCGATAAAGACAAGCTTGCCGTCCTCCTTACCCTCGAAGGCAGTGGAGTTGATAGCGATGGACTGGATGATGGCCTGCTTAGTAACGTCCTTGAGGTTGGCAGCCCACTGGGATATGGTGGTCTCGATAGGCTTCTCGGAGTCGGCCCTAGAGAAGCTCGTGGCACCAAAAGTGCCAGCAACGACCGTCATCTTGTTGGTTGTGAGTGTTCCCGTCTTGTCGGAGCAGATAGTGGTGGCGTTTCCCATGGTTTCACAAGCACGGAGGACACGGACAAGGTTGTTCTCGCGGAGCATGCGGGTGGTAGCAAAGGCCAGGGCGAGCGTGACGGCCAAGGGCAGGCCTTCAGGGACGGCGACGACGACGACGGTAATGGCAACGATGAGGATATCGGTGAAGGTGGAGGCCTTCTCGGCCGGGCTGTCGTTGTTGTCGGACAGGTCGGCGAGGAAGCGGAAGAGCAGGACGAAGAAGAGGAGGGAGGCAGCAGCCATGCCGAGCTTGGCGATGGCCAGGGCCAACCCCTCGAGCTTCTTCTGCAGGGGCGTGGGGTTCATCTCAGTGCGGACGGACATCATGATCTTGCCAAAGCTGGAGTTGGTTCCAACAGACGTAGCAACGTACGTACCCATACCCTCAAGAACTTTGGCGCCCGAAATGATGAAGGGGTCGAGATCGCCCCTGCCCTGGCCGGACTCGAGGGCTTGCATGACGATATCACCGCCCGTCTTCTTGAGGGCATCCGACTCACCGGTAGCCGAGGACTCGTCGCACTTGAGGTCGTGACCCTCGATGAGAATACCGTCGACAGGGACCAGGTCTCCAGGCTCGAGGTGGAGAACGTCACCAACGAGAATGTCGTGGACGCTCATCATTTCGGACTTTCCGGAGCGAATAACCTTGACGTCACGCTCATCCTTCTTGGCGTTGAGCTTGACAAAAGCGCGCTCCTTTTGCCAATCGTTGACGGATCCGACAACGGTGACGATGACGATGGCGACAAAGATGGCGACACCCTCGACCCAGTCGACAGGCATGGGTGTACCAGGCTCATGATCTCTCCCGAGAGTCTCATACAGACCCAGTGCGAGGGAGATGGCGGCGGCTACACTCAGGACGATGAGTACCATGTCATTGTAGGCAGCCCAGACGAGCCTCAGGAAGGACGTGGCCTTCTTGGGAGGCAGAACGTTGGCCTTGTAGACGCGGATACGATCCGAGTGGAGAACAGCATCCGCCGGAGCGGCCGCTGGAGGCAACGACTGTTTTGACTTATCCACATCTGGCGTGTCGGGGCGAATGGCCTCGTCGAAGGAGATTCGTCTGGTGGCCGATGTCTCGTCGACGGACAGACCGGCATGGGCATCCGTCTGCAGACCACGGATGATTCCCCGTAGGCCACCCAGAGCCTTGAAGGCGGACAGCGACTTAGGATTGAGAAGCTTGTTGAGCTGACCGGGGGAGAAAGCGTAAGGGTTATCGTCGACGTGGAAGTCGGCCTCGGTGCCAGGGTCGGGGCGCAGGGCGACTTTGGGATCTTCGAGGACGGTCGAGTGTATGCTGGGGGTGATGGCGCTGGTTGCGGCGCTGGTGACGGCGGGAGTCAGGAAAGGGTTGGAGGCGCTAGAGACTACGGTGTCGGCATTGCTGTGCGACCGTTGCCTGGTGTCGACCTGTAGTGTGGGAGGAGATAGCGTGTTGCTGTGGCTGCTGCTGGAAGGCTGCTGATTCGGTGTCGCAGTCATGATGGGCAGAAGAAGGCAAGCGAGTCGCTGCCGGGGGATGAATGAATCTGCTCTCGTGTAGGATCCGTCGACATATGCGTACTAAGTTGTGTGGACGCAGCAAGAGGTGAAAGCCACAGAGGTCGGTAAGGGGAAGGAGAGACGGGCTAAGGGGGTGGAATACTCGTACGAGTATATATATATATATATATATATATGTGTGTGTGTGTGTGTGTGTGTGTGTGTGTGTACGGAGTATTCTCGTATGTATTGCTGGTGAGGCGGTGGTAATAGCCCGAGGATCGCAAGCGCCAAGTGAAAGTAGGAGGGAGTACTCGTAGGAAGTATCGTATAAAGCGACGGGAGGGGTGCGTGCAGATGGTAGGCGAGTAAGGTATATGTGTACGAGTAGTAGTAAGATGCCAACGTATGCCCCGTAGGAATAAGTAGATCGTTACAAGTCCATCAACTTCTGGGTCGAGAGGCGAGGCTCACTGAAGACGATACTCGTCTGGTCGGGTTGCTGCGCCACGCAACTGCCAGAAGAATTAGGCAGGACACAGCCTTGAGAGGCCGAAGCTTATGAGTAATGTCTAGCTGACTGGCGTAGACCCGATGGAATGAGAAGTTGTGCGTGGAGCGGCGGGTGAGGATGGGAAGGATTGAAAGCGAAAGAAGAAGAGGGAGGAGAGGGGGAGAGAGAGAGAGAGAGACTAGTAAGATTACTACTAGCGAATGCAATGAGCAATGAAGCGCAATAGTAGGGAGAATCTGAAAAGGAAGGAAGCATGGACCCTGCGCATGCCTCGTGTGTCTAATCTGTATCCGTACTTGTACTGCACCACCAGCTGCAATAGTGTGGGGACAGGTAACGAGAAAAGTAGCGCGGGTAGCATTGCAGTGATGATGGCTACTAGTAGTACTCGGTACTTTACATAAGGGTACATCGGCCACCTCTGATGGCATGAATGAAATACATTATACTCCGCAGTATCGGTCTGACTACCAATCTAGGTGGTATCCCCCCCCCTGTTCCTCACAGGAAAAGGACCACAAGTGACAAGAGTCGGGTGGCTAACTGGTAAGTGGTGGTACGTGGTAGATTGAACTTCGTCCATCCCCCCACTTAAAAGTCGGATGCTTGTTTACCTAGTCTGTCTCCTCATTGGTCAAGCTGGACCTACAGAGCGCTGTAGAGCCTCTACCTGTCCACTAGAAGCCAGGCGACGGGGCCCACCAGACTCCAGCGCTTGCTCGGGGCCATCCCCCCACCTCGCAGGCCTGTACGAGTACTCCTCCAGTATAATACTAAAGCTGCGCTTAGGCAACAGGGCGCCCTCCAGGGGTCTCTCCTCCCTGCGTTTCACCATTGACTCGTACCTGTATAGGCGCTTTCAAACTCCTTGCGTCTGGACTTTTCGTTCTTTCTAGACTATCTCTACGTTTCTTGATTTTCCGGTGACATCTAGAGCGTCTGTGCAGTCGAGAGAGCTGTTGTTGTTGCCGAAGCATCCTGCCATTTCTATCCAGCAGGTCTGTGGCAGATAAGACCAAGGTACAAGCAGAAGCGAAGGGGGGGGGGTCCCAACCGCCGAAATTGTTAAGGAGATGGACTCCAGGTCTCCATATTTTTCTCTCTGCACAGCCTCACTGCGATATTTCATCCCGCCCCTTACTCGTACCGTGTGCGTGCTCGTAGGACCCTCCACATTGTCCTCTCTGTCTGTTCTTTCGTTTCTTCTTCGCTTCTTCCCAGTTATCATATCAGTTGCCGGATATTCATAATAATTTACTTTTCAATAGCTGCCACCTTATTACGTCCATGCTTGCCATCCTTCCTGTCCATGCCTTCCCCCACACCCGAGGTATCTCATTCCCGCCTTGTTCGTACCAGACAGAACGGTCAATGTTTCCTTCAAAGCTTGATACTACGGATTGCTACTCGTACTACTCTATCTGACCGTGCTAGCAGTCGTACCGTAATAGCACGTAACGGTAGTAGTACATTTCTGTACGAGAGTATAACTCAAGCTATTCGTAAGCCATTGACGCCAGAATTGAAAGGAGAAGGGGGCAGTGCACACCGATCCGACCTGCCTCCCCCCCCCCCTCTCTCCCTCTCATTCTTCCATCTTCTTTGCTCAAGAGCGACGGCCGCGATTCAAGCCGCAACTAAGGTGGTCTCGGCATTTCTCTGCCTGATAGTGCATATGCTCGTACAAGTTACGTTACGGGAGCAACAGCCAAAGCTGTTAGGCGCCCCCATGTGCATCAGGAAGTGAGTCTAGGCAAACTGGGCGGTTGCCAAGGCTGGATAAATTACGGCGACCATGAAATCTGTAGTAGGCCATTCTTATTCGTTTCCGTCCAATCACTTCCCCAGTATTTCACGATCCCAAGTTGCAACTAGCTACTAGTATATGTAGTAGCACCATGTACATGTTAGACCCAGGTGTGCCTGATGCTGGTCGGCGGGCGCCAAGACGCATATGCACATGTATGTGTTGTAGTTGTGTGTACAGATTAATCTGCACTTTTCCCATACAAGTAAGTGGTACGAGTATGCTGAGCGGCCTAGTAGGCTCTACTTTACGGAGTAGTACTCGCCCAAGCTGTAACATGATGCAGGCGACCACGTCCACACCTTGCTCTTCTTCGCCATCATCATGGAACGTAGCGGCCTTGAGACGCACGCGATGTTGGGGAAGAATGGCCACTGCGCCACATCTCCTGCGCTGAACAAGGCCGGGTCGAGGCAGACCTGAGGGGCAGAGCTGAGGGGACCTATCGGTGAGTGCCTGTGGCTAAGGGTGTGGCTGGTGTTCCACTGCAGCTGAAGCCGACCTTTTGAGGCGTCTCCAAAGAAGAAGCAGGAACGAGCTCCGTGTGGCTGGTACCGGAGCAGATTACACGAGCTTTGTGGCAAAGGCACTTGTCAAGTGTGGCGCATACCCCGTCAACGTGACCGTCGGCTACCGGAGCGTCGCATCTAGTAAATTCCCGCTGTCGCGGTACAATCTCGGTTCCACTGTGAGAGGGTAGTGATCCGGACTTGCGGAGACTGTGGTTGGTCAGATGGAGTGGCTGTGCCTGCAACTACTCCGTTTGCGGAAGATGTGTACTCATAGTCTCGTACTCCGTAATTAAAGTCGACGGCATATCTAATTTCTAGGTTTAATCTGCAGATGTATTACCACGGATTATTATCACGTCGACATTAATCCTCTTCTTTTCCAATCCACGTGTTCATCTCGATATGCCGGAGCAGGGAAACAAACACACGAAGCTGGGAAAGACACATGCAGCGTCATGCAATACCTGCAACAGGTAAAGAATGCCTGGCGGCAAAAACCAAGCCTCATCATCCACAACTTCACTCGCATACCTCGATAGGATGCCACCAGTCCGGTGACGTATCGTGGCCTACGAGTCTTGCCGGCTATGCGTCGGGTACTCGTCCAAACCAGTCCTCATGATTTATTACGAGTCTACAGCTTACACCCCTGCCTTGTTGACACTTCAACTCGAGCTAATCCGGTATGTGGGAGCCGGCCGAACAGATCCACACCCACCCTTCCGTCCTCAGAGGCGCTCGACCAAAGTTCCTGTTTCTCTCGACCGATAGTACAGCAGCCGACAATAATCATTGACGCTGGGGAGACTTTCTACGGTTTTGCAAATCGAAGATTCCCCTTGGCAACCCACAACTTCTCTCTTCGTCAAAATGAGGGGCTCCTTGGGTCCCATCACATAACTTGGCACTGCACGTATACTATCACTGCGGAGCAAAATCCCGTCAACATAGCCACAATCCAGTGCCCTCGCACTCGGTTCTTTCTCACGTCATAGATGATATATTGTCCTGCTCTTGAGTTCTGTACTCTTGGTCATCAACGGCGTACTTTTCCTATGTCCTTTTCGATCTCCACGTTCTCCCTACCACCATTGACCAGCCGCTCTCCATCATGCCGTTACACGTCGTCCATGATCTATCATACGTACAGTGGCAGCCGTATACATCGTGAGGCCCGACTGCCAACGCCTCCTTCCAGCCAAGACGGCCGGTCATGGCATACCGCTCGTCTGCACTCCGAGCTCTACCGAGTATTTGTATGATGAAGAGAGTGGAAGCGGCTCTGAAGAGGATTCGATATTAGTGGTTACCAATGGCCTGCTACCGGTGTACCGATGGCAACTTTTTTTTGGGGGGGGGGTTTTTTTTTTTGCCTCTTTTGATACATCTTGCCGCATTCTACCTAGCACACCGAGGGGTGAACAGGTTATTTTTCTCCGTCGATTCTACCACGACCGAAGAAGAGGTTAGCCTCGTCTATGCCATGGGTGTGAGTCCCGACCACAAGCTTTCCCATCTTCTTGGCCTCCGACCTCCCGTAGTTCACTGCCACACTTCTCCAGTATGGATTCTAAATGACGCGCACACGCATCATATAGCAGCAGATAGCAGAGCTTATTTAGATGTCTTGAGTCTTGTCCGACTTGGGGACCCGCCGGCGGATAGACGATGACTACTAGTATGTCGCTTAAACACCCCCATGTACTCAGACCGCCAAGGTGACTTTTGTCTCCATCGTGATCGGACTCAGCCCTCCGGTGCACTATGCCCAGCCCCGAAGGAGGCCTCCATTGTCTGTTCTATAGACATCCTCCATCTACCAATCCGCCATCTTCGAGGAGAGATGTCAGGGGGAGGGTTCTTGTCGTTGTCATGACGAGGCTGGACGCCACATTGCACCACATGTCTGTAGTTTTGCTTGTATGGAATCGACTTGTGACTCCAATCGACTCCAAAGCTTGCACTTTACTCCTATCAGACGCCCTTTGATTATGCTGTAAGGAATAGGAGACGGAGCAGGAATAGGTAGCGTATGTCGTATCACTCCGTCTTGCAGACCCATGCCGTATTACACGTTTGTGCCTTACAACTTACATGCAATCATCGGCTTTATAGCTTCTGCTCCCTTTGCAAATCTCCAAAATCCAACATGTTGGCATGAATAGATGGAGGGAGAATCAGCCACCATATGTCGTATCACCCAGCCCCTGCCTCTGCCTCATTTCTATGCTGATGATTCATGCTGCGTTGCGCTTCCTCCATCTTCTTGTTGGATGAATGTAGCATCTATCCATATGAGAATAAAAATAGTTTCCGCATCTTACAGCCCTTTGGCTTACACAACTTGTATGTTGCCCTTTTGCACTTTGCGTCTTGTTGATAGATTCTCACGTACCCTGTATTACGACTAACACGAAAATGATGTTATAATATGATCTCAATGCCAGTCTACTCTATCTATTGGCCCTTTTCCGTGTAGGCTATATTTTTTTTTAAAAAAAAATAACATCTTTTGAGGGGGAGGAGGGGGGTTGTATTTCCTTTTTTTTTCATGTCTTGTTTTTTTGAGTTGTAATCTCCTGTTCCAAACCTCCGTATGCCAACTTCTTTCCACAGGGTTGAGCTTACCCGGGCGTTGCTCCAAGATGAGCCAATGCTGTCCTAATTCACATCATCCAGCTTCTTGCTCAAGGCCTCAAGATGGCCAGGCGCCATCTCAGCCGTGTTGGCGACAGTCTGATACCTCGCTGACTGGTCGATCCTGATCGCCTCCAACTGGGCGGTCAGAGAGACGACCTCCTGGCTGAGCGACTTTATCCTTCCGCCCTGTTCCCGTATGCGGCGGTTCTGGATCTGTAGATGTCGGTTAGCCGTCTGGAGTCGGGTGACCTCGTGCTTGAGGCGCGCGAGCTGCACCTCGGAGGACGGACCGGCATAGTTCTGTCGCTGAAGCTCCAGTCGCAGCTGAGCGTTCTCGGGCGCCAGGGCCACGTTGGTCTCCAGCAGGTGGTGGTGGGCGCGCCAGAGGGTGTTGTTCTCACGGATGAGATTGATGTTTTCCTGTCTCTTGACGGTCAGCTGGTAGTGGAGAATATTATTCTCTAAAGCTAGGGTCTCACTGTCGAGCTGTACCGGGATTTGGGACCTGTTACCATCCATTGCGTAAGTGGCCTTGTCGTGATGGGCCGGATAGTTTCTATATATGTATGCTGTGTGAGCGCCTTGTCATGGGCGGTTGACGGGAGTGAGATGGAGCAGAAAAAGGAACGTTTTCTGAGGATGGGAATATCGCTGAAGATGAGAACGAAGTGCTGAGGATGATTATCCAAAGCCGGAATGAGCTCCCCGTTATATGCTTTCACCTCTCGCCAAAACCATTCTCCCAGGATGAGACCTTAGACAGAAGGTATCGGACTTTCTTGTCACAGTCTGTCTCCTTCGTTCGCATGGTGTTGCCCTTTGGTACCCTGTAACGTAATGCAAGCATCACTCTCGTCTGCTGCAAACATTCAACAGGGCACAAAGGACTGCCGTTTTTCTTTGTCTATCCTGTCTCTGTGGACGGATCATGATATCACAGATTCATTTTCAAGAAACAAGCTCTGTGTGAGAATGGCAAGAGGCATAACAATCTGGTAGTGCGACAAACGAAAACGAAACAGGAGAACAAATTCATCATGTCTGTATCAGATATGCTAGCTGTTAATACATAACACAATGGACATCTGGTAACATAAACAATGGTAAAAGACAAGTGAATGCTTTGTTCCTGTATTCGTCATTCTGTGCTTCTGGAATGACTGAGCGTTAACAAGCCTTATGAATGCCAATATGATAACGAGCAAGCATAGAGAATACACTACTCAAAATACACTGCTCACCCGTTCAATTGTACCAGAGTAAATAACATAAATCATGGATAGTCCTATTAGATGGTGCTGCAGCACAAAGGCATCGCAGTTGATATTACGATTCGAACTTACAACATGCGCTACAATGCAAGAGAAAGTATGTATAGAGCTTGACAACGGTAGATGTACTCATATTGCTACTTTGGCGTATAGATTGCACACAGCATTAAAATGGAGTTTTAAGGTACAAGCATAAGAGAGCAAATAGACTGGTAGATTGGACGTGCCAGACGCCCCTGGACATTGAGTGGCGATGCTGACGAAGGCGAAGATGCTGATGAGACTGGAGATGCTGATGAGGGATGGTGTGTCTGTGGCTTCGTGCTGTAGATTGAGAGCGAAGTCGACACAACGTCCTGTTCAAATACCCTCTCGACCACCGAGTATCCTGAGATGAGTATTACCGATAGAGAGAAAGTTGACAGTGCTCTTTATGCTCTATTCTCCCTAACCGCATCGTATTACGCTCTGTCGTGTTACGAAGGTGAAGGGGCCGTCGACAACGGGAATGTAGAGAGAGGGGAAGGAAATGGGCCGTCATGTGCACATCCAACTGTTTCGAGCACAAGAGTAGAGAAAAGGACCGGGTGGGTGAATGGTGACTCCGGCCGTGGATATCGGCGGCAATAGGCACGGAGCAGATCAGACAGTGTCGACAAACGAAGACATGGCCATTGCCAGGGTCCGATGCACAGGCAGACAGAGGGACCTTTGTCCACATATTGCATGCTACTATTGACTTTCCTCCCCACCTGAAACTACTAGATGTGGAAGTAGCTCGGGCTGCAATATGCGCCAAAAATGAAAGAAGATATACAGGACGAGGAGCGGGATTACGGGCAAAATGAGTCGAATTCCCTCGCCCAATTGCATCTTGTCCTGTCATCGTCAGAATGGAACAAAGAGGATGCACCCCACAGTAGCGTAAGGCTCAGCATGACTGGTTACATGGTCAAAGAAGGAACGTCATATGCAGACAAAGAAGAAGACTCGCGGGCATCAGAAGAGATCAAAGAGAGATAACATCAGCACAAGTCAAGCAAGCCAACTCAATAGTCTATTTCGTAGTATTAATCATTCTCATCTATGTTTGATATATGCTATGCTATCTATTACTATAATGCAATTGTTGCCAGTCCGTTCTGATAGCTCCAAATAAAGCCAATCAGCAAGTATATGATCGGACAAGGTCGAGGGTATATAAAACGCCGTGGGTTGAAATGCTCATTACTCCTGGCAATGCAGTGATGCGGGAAGAAAAGAAAAAGAAGAAAGGGGAAAGAGAGGACAGAGACAGAAAGTTGGAAATAAGAAGCGGGAAGTACCATCAACAGCGCATATTTACTGACTGTTGTCTCCGTCCCTGACCCAGAACCGCCACAACGGCTTCCTAGACTGGGCAGGATTCTCATCGCCTTTGTGGTCGTCCTCCTCCAGCTCGAGACGGTACCTCCTCACACTTCCGGTATCGTCGTCAAAGGATATGTGCCTCTTTGAGCTGTTGGCGCCGATGCAGTCCGGTAGGTGGCGACGGATCCAACCCTTAACACCACAGCTGGCAGCGTCGATGGCGGCGTACTCGAGGCGGCGTGTCTGGTCGCTGGTCCAGTAATGTGTCGTCTGGGGGAGGAGGGTCTGTTGCTGCTGCTGTTGCCGTCGTTGTTGCTGGCCCGTTGGGTGTGAGAAGGACATGTTGGTTGAGCGGTCGAGCTCATCGTCCATGGGGTCAGGCGGAGGGAATTGAAAGTACGATAGCTGTTGCTTTGGCGTTGCTGTCGCGCCTACGGATGGAGGCATGTGGACTGAATTGCCATGGTAGTGCGACCTACCGGAGCGGCGAGTAGAGGGCCGTGCCCGGGTTCGGCTGACGGCGGCACCGGTGCTGGTGTTTGTACTGGCTGTAGATCGTCGTCGGGGGGATATAGATTGCCGTGAGTGTGACAATGATGCTCGTGGGGATATTGTGATGTGAGATTCGTAGCCCGAATCCTGGCGCTTCATGGGCGCAGGGCTGTGCGCACGATCAGCGTGCTTGTCCCGTCGACTGTCGGACACGACCATGTTGTTGGGCGGCGACGACGGCGCTACCAGCTCAATGTCGTGAAAGCTGCAGTACTGCGTATCGTACGCCGTCGATATAGGCCGCCGTGCCATTTTGTGTGTGAGTGGGAAGAAAGCAACGAAGAATTTGAGGCAGCCCAAATGGGCGACGTTTTTGTGTCCTGGCAAGATATGTTCCCTTTCTTTTCCGGTACCAAAGTGGGCACACGGCGTTAAATGATGTGGTTCGAGTCGGTGAGAGTAGCTATATCCATGCCCACGGGTAAATCAGATGAGTCGCACCGTGATTAAACGGTTAATCTCCTCTTTCTCCTGAACAAGAAACGCCACTGAGGATGCCGCGACGCAACATACAACAATGAGGGCTTGTTGGCCTGTGTTGTGTCGTTTTATATCGGTATGGACGGGCAAGCGGCATATAGTGACTTGCAGTCTGCAATGTGAATCTAGCACCTGATGCTTCTAAGTCGAGCTGCACAGCACCTGAACGGCAGCAATATGAAAAGATAACCAGATGATGCTCCGCCTGCGCCTTGCGTTCAGATGACAAAGGGGCGAAGAAGGAATGAAAGTAAAGTCAAACAATCGAGCGACAAGTGTGAACAGATTTATCCCACCATGTGGCAAGTGAGGGGGGTGCCTGTTCTTTTCCCTCCCGTCTTCTCACTTAACGCCAATGTTGTAATCTGTGTGGGCGGCGCGTGTTGTGCGTCGTTTCACTGCCAATCGAGAGGGCAACGTGATAAAAGGCCCAGACTCTCTGAGCGGCAATACCCTTTGCAATGACCAGGGCAGGGGAAGACGACAGGGTTGGCGGGGCGGAAGCGGATACCAATGGCCCACGATGTGTGCAGACCTCCTTGAAATGTGTAAAGCACTGGCGGTGAAGGGCTGAACGGCTGCGTACGCGTGGAGAAGGCTGCCGCTTATGGGTTAGGTATTCAGGAAGACGGCGGATAATAAATGACAATCCTGGCACAGGCTGCACCAGCAGACGAGCCGCTCAGGGTCTCACAGACTTTTGTGCAGCTTCAAGGGAATGTTGATCAAACAGGCTGGGACGACGCCCCTTTTCCCCATCCGTCGTGAACCTGGGAGCGGTGATGGTACGCCTGTCTTGAATGTATGTCTCTGACGGTGGGGGGGGCCTTTAAGGGTAAGGAGTTGTTATCAAATGGAAAGCGGGGCTGGCCGTTTTTCTCAGGTTCTCAGTTTTTTGTGATCCGTGCGATAGGACTGATGCCTTGGGGGGGTATTGTTTCAAATGATGATTTGAGAGAGTGGCGACCCCGGAGAGGTATATGGTGTCCGTCTTCCTTTCGTCATACCCTTCTAGAATATGGGCATGCGATGGTCTGTGCAAAAGAACAAGATAAAGGAATGAATAACGACTTCTTGTCAGTTATAATTCATAGACGGCGGACACCATGCATGGAGTGTGCGTGGGGCACGCGTGGGGCCGGATCTGGTGCCTGGTCGGTTGCGAGCGTGCGGAAGCGTCTCCTGCGTCTAGAATTATATTGGCACCGTTCGAGTGGTCGAGTTGCCATAGGTCATCGGACTGACTTCCATGTGTACGGATACCGGAGTGGATGGCGTATTGAGAAGTGGGGGGCGTGTCGGTATCTCCTAGCAGCGGATGAAGACCCTGACTGCGGTGGGTGGAGATATTTTCTCTCCTTTTGCTATCTTTGTCGCCTGATTTTTCCCCTCATTCCACTCTCCTCGACACCTTTTTCTCTTTTTGCTCCCCACCTGTGGATAGCCGGGTTGGTTGAAGGGTATGTACGAGAGTGTGGGCGATGGTTGAGCTGTTGTCGATGACGAGCAAGAAACGGGTACATGTCCTATATCATCCATTCATTCATTCATCAGTCAGTGAGTCACCTTGCTCCTTTCTTTTCTTTTTCCCCATATGCCTACCGAGGTCATCATCAAAAGTATTCTGGTGGGCTTTCTCATCTTCACATGCCTGCGGCGTTTAGAGCCGTAGGCCAGTGTCGTCGCGTACCCAATCATGGCACAAGGAGAACACGACAGATGAAACCCCGTATCTGGACCGAAGTGTATGTAGCCTGTGACGACGGCGACTCCTTGGAAACAAAAAACAAAAGCATGATGATGATGAATATGAAAACAGGGTTACTACAGCCGAAAAAGAGGGTACAAGGTTACAAGCACATGAAAATCGACGCTTTGCCGACTGGACATGCAACAACATGGATGGTATCGAGGTCTGCCTCGTCAATCCGGTGGCAATACGTATAGTGATGGATGACGGGGGTTGCATGCGCATGTGGCAGGTGCTTGGCGCTTCCTTCCCTTCCTTTCCAGGGACTCGGCATCTCATTTTTTTCTCTCTCAGGGAAGGAGCGTCACACTAGCTCCTTCATCGTTCCTTCTACATATTCATTTCATCTCTCGCCACGATGTTTGTTTCTTCCACTTTTCTATATTTCATAGCCCAATATCATACCCTGATGATACAGTACATGCATAATTCGTTGCGTTGCCCATATATGATGTTGGGCGCCTCTTCCCGCCTCTACTTCTCAACCTTGCTATCATGCATCGCCAACACAGAATAAGAAAGAGACGATGTAGACGCTCGTTGCTCCCACCACTCACGTGTCATGCATTACATACGGTACATGATGCTCGAACACGGCAGACTAGCCAACTGTCTCTGACCATGTACCGGCTCTAGACAATCCGGTCCAAGCACCTTCGGCTAATGCGAGAATGCATTAGTACATAATCAACCGAGAAGACGGCGACGGCGACGGCGACGAGACGATGATAACACTAGTGCTGTTGAGTCTTGCGTGTATGCGTGCTGAGACAACACCACCACGTCCATCTCTGATTTGCCCTCTCTCCAAGTCATATGCATGCCCTCTCCGCAAGGGCGCCACTGTTCCCCCCTCTTCTTGTTGATTCATAGGTTGTATCAATTCCCTCACGTGTGTATATGCTGGTGTGCGTGTCATGGACCTGGATGACCATGATGGTTGCACTCCTAGAGCATGATAGACGGCACTCTCCCCAGTGATTGCGACGCGACCATCTCTACCTGTGTAGGGTCTCGGTAAAGCTTACTGCTCCCACTTATGTAGGCGAAAAAAGCTTGGCCACCGGGCCCTCCCGCGCCATCTTCCGCGGTCTACAAGGCGACCAACGACAATGCATCAATCAGTGTGTATGAAGGAGGGCATCAGACACACACACGCAGAGAGAGCCAGACTGAGACTAATGAGACTGGAGGGGGAAAAAAAGACCTCAGCGGCGACACTCATTGTTCCCGTGCTCCACACTTAATGATGCCCAAGACATTCTACTCCGATGGCGCAACAGGCGGTCAATAATTTTTCCTCTCATGACCCCCCCTCTGCACTTTTGGGCCCTTCAGTTGATCAACTGAGCGTAAGAAAAGACGGCACTGTCTACTCGTATGCCACATTGTCGATCAACCAGAGTCTCATTGAAGTTGCAGCGATGGCCTCGCGTGCTTTTCATGAGAACTGCCCCTCTGACCTGGTGGCAAACCGTGCTGGTCGGTCGTATATCGGAGGAATCATGTGGGCTGAACAGAGACCCTCCGACCATCGGCGCCGAGGTTCTCAAATAGTCTTCGACTCTATTACGGAGTAATTTCTGCCATTATCGAATCATTACTGCATAGTAAGCAAATGAAGTCTTGATCTTTTCTGATTGCGCGTACCGATACTGCTTAGTCGGCAGTCATCATACTCGTATTTTTGTATGTCGCCGCCGGATCGCGCCGCCCTAAATCGCTGATTGATAAAAAAAACTGGCTACTGGGAGGCACTGTTCGGGCCTTTATCAGATGGGTCCGGGCACGTTTAATCTTCCAGAGCAGGGATATTAAGCTCATCAGCTACCTAGATTTCCAGAGACTAGTGTATCGGTACTTGTAGGTACTCGTACTAGTAATTCTCTAGCCGCTCAGGCTCCCGCATCATATCTATACACATATCTCATGCGCTGACAATAGTAGTCGTCCCGGGGACCTTGGCAGCCTCATCCCGAGGATCTGTGTACAGGTTGCCCTCGGAATCTTCCTCCCGATCTCCCGGAGTAGCGCTTGTCTCCTCCAGAGCCTTGCCCTTCCATGCGACATAGCATGTGAAGGGGACGGCAGCAGCGAAGACGGCAAAGGATACGGCCAGGTTGGTCATCAGGGACACGCTCTCCTTGGATCCGATGCCGTAGGCGCAGGCGAACCCCAGACTCTCGGCGGATCGGAGGATACCGCTCGTGTGCGAGAGCCTGTCCATGTCGGAGTTGTACATGGAGAGGATCCAGTAGGTCCAAACGACGGAGGCGTTTGCGGATATGCTGTCGTTTTCCATCAGTCAGTACACACGCTTCTGGATACATTTCTCTTCCCATGAACAGGGCCCACAATCGGGGTCGTGGCAGGTGTTTCCATAAGAAGACGGAACTTACCCAAACAGGCAATAGGCTACAACAGCCTTGGCATAGTCGGCGGAGAAGATATCTAGCACGGGCGAGGGCGATCGCGACTGGAGCTCAGCCTGCATGTAAAAGTTGAAGATCCACTGGACGACAAAGACGGCGAGCATGGAGTACCATCCGACATTGCACAAGGACCTCTTGCTCCTGAAGATTGTCTGGGAGTCAAGGAGACGACCCCAGCCGACGGTGGCGATGATGCCGCAGACGGTCTGGACGAAGCCGGCGAGGGAGCGACCCCTGACGCTGAAGTAGGCTGTGAGGTAGTTTCCCTGGTAAGTGGTGCTCCAGCGGACGGTGATGAAGATGGGCAGCAGGAGGAGGATGTGCTTAGACCCGAGGGCGTGCCAGAGTCCCCCGACGCTCTGGCGGAGGGGCATGCGTGCGGCGCCGTTGCTGAAGGTGGGCTTGGTGCCGTCCGTGCGCCTGAGCTTCTCGGGCGGGGAGATGGTGAGGGCCAGGGGGAGGCCCATGCATGAGAGCCCGATCATGACGAGGTACGAGTTGGTCGACAGGCTGCCCTGCTCGGAGTCGTCGATGTTGAGGGCCAGCTGGATGGAGCTGCCGATGAGGGTGCCCACGAGGCCGATGGCCATCCAGATGCCAATGTACAGCCCGCGGCGGTTGTCCTCCGGGTACGCGACGGCGATGGCGGCCTCGGACGTCCACAGCGCGGCGGCCGAGAAGCCGCACGTGACGGCGCCGAAGATGAGGAACCACCGCGTGCCGTAGACGCTGTTGCAGTACAGAGCGGCGAAGTAGGGCAGGTAGCCCACCGTGCCGAAGACCAGAATCCATTTCAGGCTGAAGCGGTTGCCTATAACGGAGAAGACGGGGCAGAAGAGGACCATGATGACATAGGTGATGACGTTGGCGGCGTTGACGAAGAAGGGGCTTGCCAGACCACCGGCTCCCATGCCTATTTTCACAACCCGGTGTCAGCCATTGTTCGGCTGGGCCAGACGATCTAGTTCATATGAGTTCGGATGAGTTGGAGTGTAACGCACTGGACAGAGCATTCCAGATACCCGGTTGACTGAAACTGATGAGACCGAGAACGATAGCCTGGTACAGAGTCCCCCTATACCATCCGTGGAGCGTCTCGAGCCATGTCTTGCTGTCGGAGGAGTCCATGATGCTGGTGAGGTTGCCTATCCTTTGGGGAGGAGATCAGGCTTGAACTCGATGATGAATAGAGAAAGAGGTGAGAGGTCTAAATGCGAGTCACACAGCTACAATATACTGATATTGATACTCCATTGAAAAAAAGAAGACAAGAAGAAAGAAACGCCCTTCGCCCCTCCTTTGTCACCAAAAGATTTCTCTTCGATCACGACTTGGACGTGTGGGTCGACTTTCACCATGATTTCGCGGTTAGCAAGGTCTTGCGTGATTGCACCATCCGGCACTCAGTCGCCGGCAGACTACGGCCAAGACTGAGAAGCACGGCAGACCAGGGGAAAAGAAACTGGGTCCCGGCTTTATTAGCCGTTTCTTTCCTCCTTCTTCAATGCCCTTTTGTTATATATATATATATATATTTTTTTTTTTTTTGATTCTCTCACCCTTTGAACCATTTCTGCTTCTTACTTCTTGTTCGGTGCTCCGTATTGGAGCCTCACGACTCGTCCCACAAGTGCCGGTCCACATGGTGTGCTTCCGTTGATAATACCAAGACATTTTCCAGATACCCTCTTCTTCGCATTGTTGATATCTGCAAATTTCTCACCTAGCATAGGACGAAAGGTTCTTGTTTCTTTCCTTCCCTTTCCTTACCTGGAATTCCTCTTCGGTTTGGTATCGTCATGATGGTACTCGGCGGCAGGAAATAGGGAAGGGAGGGGAGGGAAGGGAAGAGGACAGAAAAATCCCAACCTCACCGGATTTCCATGTGTCATAGCTTGTATCATGTCAACAAGCAGTACGTAACAAAAAGGCGAGGCGCGAAATGCCGCAATTTCTGCTGGGAGTAGTCGAACCCTTCGAAGGGTTCTAGCGTATTGCCTGCTCTAGAAGCAGCTGCGCATTTTCTCGACGAGGACGGTCAAGGTCGAGATGATAGTAGAGGATGCAGCCATGGACAGGGTCTGGGAATAATGCGGCAACAGGACTCAACAAGAATGCGGCTAAACGGACAGTCCGTGCGTCCAATTGTCTAAACCGACATTGTGCACAAGGAATCTGCACATATTACAGCTGCTTTGCATTCAGATTGCCATCACTGCCATGTATAGTTTCAGTGTGTCGGTTCACCTGTGGATATTCGTTATTCAGCACAATAACGCCAGATGACAACTGTGGCATCAGCTCCTTCCTCGTGGAGAGCGTTTGCCGTTGTCGATGATCATTTTCGGTCTGTTTTTAGAAGTGAGGTTGTCTGGTATCTGCCCAGGATATGCCCCAGGCCACGCATCTGGTGGAATAACTCCCCTTCCGGTACCATTTGGCGGCTGATACGAGCAGTTTGTGCCGTAACAGTCCTGACCCAGAGCGGGGTTCAGAATACATCCTCCACGGCGATGCTGGTGGGGTGGATGGAAGAGGCCGGCGCCGACGTCGAGGGGCGGGCGGTCAGGCCGTTGGCCATTGTACGCGACATTTCCAGGTGTGACGGTTCAGGGACCGGTAAGCGGACTGTATCAGGTGGTTACCGGTTGATAGCTACGGTGGGCGGTCGCGTTCTTTGATGTGCACGGGGTCGGTGGGCTGCACATGGGGTCACGATTCTTCAATTTGGTTTATTTCATTTCTCACTTCCTTTCTAGCAGAGTGACCCTTGTTGGTTTCAGTGGCTGATTCAACAAGAGACCCGGCGACTGTTGCCTATAAAGGGAGACCAGATATCGGTTCAGCATGACTGATGGAAGAGGTGGAGGAAATGAAGCTGTGGTGGGGATGATTGACGAAGTATGAATGAGGCTATCGAACGGGATAATGAGGTTGTCGGAATACGATTGACGGAAGATGGTGGCATTATGCTCGAGATATGATTGATGGAGAAATGGACTTCCTCTCTCGTCTACCCCATCGCTCAACATGCGTGGCTTGTGGACGAACAACAGCGAAAGTGCGGCGCATTTGATGCGGGGGAAGGGGGGATCGACGGATCGAAAACTGGAGGCTGCTGCACCGTAATACCATTCTCACGAGCGCTCTGTTCACGATAGGGAGGCAGGCAGCTCGTACGTCGTAGCCTGCAGATTCTCCTCGTCGACTCTATACGTCACGACGGAAAGCTTGAAGACGCCAGAGACCATGCCATCCCGCCGGCTTTTTTCGGCCTCGTCGCCGCCATCAGTAGACAGCTTCGCGTCTCTCTGCTCCCGCCAGCCCAGGGCGGGAGAGTACCCCCTGGCGGCATCGATCGAGGACAAGGTGCCCGTATACTCCCTGCCGCCCTACGGCTCCCTATCCGACCCGGACCGGGAAGCCCTCCAGGACGAGTGGTACGGCGTCATGAAGGACGGGCCGGGCGTGCTGGTCCTGCGGAACATGTACCGCGACGCCGACCTGATTGACCGGGTAAGCGGGGTTTACAGGAGCATCGTGGACGGCGAGAGACGCAGCAACGCCTCGGCAGGCGACCACTTTGCCGCCAAGGGCACGAACGACCGGGTGTGGAACTCGCTGAGCAAGCACGCGGCCGCGGACCCGCCTTCGTTCGTGGACTACTACGCCAACCCGTACCTGGGGCTGGTGTGCGAGGCCTGGCTGGGGCCGGGGTACCGGGTGACGGCGCAGATGAACAGCGTCAAGCCGGGGGGCGCGCCGCAGGAATGCCACCGCGACTACCACATCGGCTTCCAGACGGCGCAGGCGGCGGCCAGGTACCCGCGCGCGGCCCACCTGGCCAGCCAGTTCCTCACGCTGCAGGGGGCCGTGGCCCACGTGGACGTACCGGTGGTGTCGGGGCCGACGCGGCTGCTGCCCTACTCGCAGACCTTGGACGAGGGCTACATGGCCTACAGGCTACCGGCCTTCCGCGACTACTTCGCCGACAACTACGTCTCGCTGCCGCTGTCAAAGGGTGACGGGCTGTTCTTCAACCCGGCCCTCTTCCACGCCGCGGGGTCGAACCGGTCGGCCGACATCGACCGCATGGTCAACCTGCTGCAGATCAGCAGCGGGTTCGGGAGGCCCATGGAGACGGTGGAGACGGTGCCCATCGTGCGGGCCTGCTGGGAAGGAATCCTGGCCATGTACCGTAGGCAGCAGGAGCGGGGGAGCGGTGACGGTGGTGGTGACGAGGAGAACAAGGATGGCAACACGGCAGAGGCCCTCGTCAGAGCCGTGGCGGATGGATACCCCTTCCCGACAAACCTGGACAGAAACGCACCTGGGCCCGATGAGATGACGCCACCGTCGGAGCAGAAGATCCTGCGCGCATGTCTGGAGGAGGGATGCGACACGGCGGAGACGGTGAGGAGACTTGTGGAGCTGGGGGACAAGTCCAGGGCGTGAGACTATCTCTCTCCCTCTCTCCCTCCCCACAGGGTCACGATACGGGGCTGGAATGGCATCATTTTCGAGTATTACCTGTGACCAGACAGGATAAGGATACACTATGGATACGAAGGGAAGAGGGACTGCGGAGCAAGACCTGGGGACCCCATAGGTTAGGTGTGGGCTTGTGGTATGTGTCATGCGATGACCTACGAGGTGGGAATAGTCAGGTACTCTCTATACGAGTACTCCGTACTCCGCAGAGTGGTGGGCATTCGAAGTTGGTAATGCCAGGATGATGAGTGGACTGAGCAACATGTCGGATCAATAAAAGGGGGAGTCTCCGTGGAATCCGGATCGATGCCTATCAATTGAACAGTACCGAACGTGGCCGCGGGTCAAAGGTAGGTTCGGCCGGGCGAACGGAGTGGGTGCAAGTTGTAACCGATCTGTTGCCGGAGCCTTTCTCTTGGCGCGGTTAATAAGAGCTGCATGTATTGGTGAGATTCGAGAGACAGAGATAGGTACGTACCCTTTGATTCCGCTAATGTATGGCTTGATGATCCGGGACCAGAGCCGGTAACGTTTCTGGTCGTACGACAGATTATGGCAATACAGATTACGTGTAGTAATAATCTATACAATGCAGAGGGCGGATGGTAATCTGTACTCGTAGTATTAGTAGTAGTGATGGTAGTGGAGAATTGGGTCAAGATCCATCTCGAAATGTCCGCATAGCACAACTCAGAACACACAAGGATGATGAGCACAAAGATGATAGTAAAAAAAAAAAATTTTTAAATAAAATAAAATAAAAGTATAGTCAAGTACCCCTACATACCACCAATTCTCATACCCATGACAGAGTCGGCGTTCCATGAATTCCCACAATTTCTTCGGACCCAAAGGATCCACTATTTTGACCGGAGCTTCTTTAAAACTGGGGGTTTTCTGGTTGAATTGAGGCTCTTTTTCTTCACAGTCCCTCTGGTATCTTTTACGTCTCTAGGTACGGGTACATGCTGTACAGGTATCATGTATCGATGTAGGCCGTACTGATACTTGTATGCGCAGCTCTTTGTTTCCGCTGCCTCAACAAGGTCCGGCCTTGGGTCCCTTCGCCATCTAATATTAGTACCCTCTCATCCCTCCTTCCCCCCCTACTTCCTTCTTTTTCATTTCTCATTCATAAATTTTATTTGTATCTTTTTACTTTCACTATTCCATCCTTTCCTTCTCTCATCTCCCCATCACCGGACCGGGCTCAACCTCCCATTGCCGGTCTCTGCCTCGAGCGCATGCGCATTCCGTTACCGACACGGAAAGAAGAAAACACAGGCCAACCATGTCGTCTGCTCTCGCGACAGCCTCTGAGGCTCTCAAGGCTCGCATCCGTCACCCCGCTACCCTCAAGAAGCTGGCCAAGCCCGAAGAGCTCCTCCATCACTTTCCCAATGGATCCTACATTGGATGGTCTGGATTCACTGGTGTCGGATACCCCAAGTGAGTTCTTTTTCTCTTCTTTCATCCCTTCCTTCTTTCTCCGTTCGCGTCGAAGAACGGAGAGGGTGGATGTCAGGCCACTATTCCTCTCCGATCTAGGAGCACCAAGGACCCCTGCTCTTCCCCCCCCCTCCAATCCCGACGTGCATGCGGCTGACAGGACAATCTCCCCTCCCAACAGGACCATGCCCACGCACATGGCCGATCACGTCGAGAAGAACAACCTCCAGGGCCAGCTCAAGTACTCTCTCTTCGTCGGCGCCTCTTCCGGTGCCGAGACGGAGAACCGATGGGCCGAGCTTGACATGATCAACAGGCGAGCGCCCCACCAGGTCGGGAAGAACATCTCCAAGGGAATCAACGCTGGACGTATCAACTTCTTTGACAAGCACCTGTCCATGTTCCCCAGCGACCTTGTCTACGTGAGTTCCCGTCTCTGCTCGCATCGACACTCTGTAGAGATCCGAATCCCGCTGACCACGACAACAAGCAGGGCTTCTACACCAAGGACCGTCCCAACAACAACCTCGACGTCGTCGTCGTCGAGGCCACCGACATCAAGGAGGATGGCAGCATCGTCCCCGGAGCTTCGGTCGGTGCCACCCCCGAGCTGATCCAGATGGCCGACAAGGTCATTGTCGAGGTCAACACCGCCCTCCCTTCCTTCGAGGGTCTCCACGACATCACCTTCACCGACCTCCCTCCCTACCGGAAGCCCTACATGATCACCAAGCCCGAGGACCGCATCGGCACCACCTCCATCCCCATCGACCCCTCCAAGATCGTCGGCGTCGTCCAGTCCGACTACCAGGACGCCACCCAGCCCAACACCGAGGCCGACGAGACGTCGTACCGCATCGCCAACCACCTCATCGAGTATTTCGAGCACGAGGTCCGCCACGGTCGCATGCCCGAGAACCTCCTGCCTCTGCAGTCTGGCATCGGCAACGTGGCCAACGCCATCATCGGCGGCCTCGACAAGTCCAACTTCAAGAACCTCAAGGTGTGGACCGAGGTCATCCAGGACACCTTCCTCGACCTCTTCGACTCGGGCCGCCTCGACTTCGCCACCGCCACCTCCATCCGCTTCTCCCCCGACGGTTTCAAGCGTTTCTACGACAACTGGGACGCTTACCACGGAAAGCTCCTGCTCCGCAGCCAGGCCGTCTCCAACTCGCCCGAGATCATCCGCCGCCTGGGCTGCATCGGCATGAACACGCCCGTCGAGGTCGACATCTACGCCCACGCCAACTCGACATGCGTCATGGGTTCCCGCATGCTCAACGGTCTCGGCGGATCCGCCGACTTCCTCCGCTCCTCCAAGTACTCCATCATGCACACGCCCTCCACCCGCCCCTCCAAGACGGACCCCCACGGCGTCTCCTGCATCGTCCCCATGTGCACCCACGTCGACCAGACCGAGCACGACCTCGACGTCGTCGTGACCGAGCAGGGCCTCGCCGACGTCCGCGGCCTCAGCCCGCGCGAGCGCGCCCGCGTCATCATCAGCAAGTGCGCCCACCCCGTCTACCAGCCCATCCTGTCGAGCTACTTCGAGAAGGCCGAGTTTGAGTGCCTCCGCAAGGGCATGGGCCACGAGCCCCACCTCCTGTTCAACAGCTTCGACCTCCACAAGGCCCTCCAGGAGCACGGCAGCATGCAAAAGGTCGGCCCGTGGTAAATTGGGTGTGACGAGGACTGAGGATCCATGTTCGATTGGCGTTGTCTCTTCGTTTCCCTTTCTTTCTGTTCTTTGCTTTTTTCTTTTATATATATACAACGACTCTTTTTCTTGTTTGGGGAGTCACATCTGTTCATTAGAATACTTGTAAAGAGAAATGTTCTGTTTTTTCTTGGCTTTTTTTTTCCTACTTCTCCATCATGTTTTCCTCCTTGGATACTGGCATAGCATGGTGATTTTCTCGGCAGCATCAGCAGCATGATCGTGGCAAGCATAGAAGAATGTTTTGGGGACCCTGGTAGAGATGTTGCATAGACACCAACAAAAGCCGGTCAATCAGGCTCTTTCATGATTTTCGAGCGATACGACCCTTTGCCGTGTCGAGTGGTGGCAAGTTGATAAATCGCATGCATATGAGGTTGGAACAACGTCATGGATCATGCAGTCCGTGGCGAGATACAAGATGATGAAGAGTACTCGTACAGACAGCGACCTCGGGTGTGTGTGCCGGTGCTGGACAAGGTACATACGATTAGTTTGATCCCTATACAGCTTTGGGGTATCCCACATTTGGCTAGAAGATGGACAGTCTCCCATGACGACATTGTCATCCGCTTGATTCTTACCAATGGCTCACAATTTCCCGCCGCGCTGGATTCGGCTACTTCGTGAATCCCCACATCCATCCCGGCTTCTTCAAAGCTTTCCCCACATTCTTCAACTCCCCAACTTGGGATTCGCTTTCCGCATGTGTAAGTCCAATGACCAAACTCTGGTTTGTTTCTTCCTTCATCACCTCCAAACCATGACAGTTGAGTGGCAGTGTTCCTAAAAAAAAAATTCGGAACCGAGTGACCATGTCACCCAAGCTTCTGGTAAGCTCCCTGGGGCGCGTGTCTCGTCCGGTGACGTGCTGTCTTGGTCGACAGCACTTCTTCTCGACGTCACCCCGTCTACGACTCATGGAGACGACGGGCTTTAGTGAGAACCAACTTGTGGTACGCGACGCCATCTCCCAGATCTGCAAAGACTTCCCGGCCACATACTGGCAGGAGCGGGACCGGACGGAGACGGACCCGAAGGAGTTCCACGCGACGCTGGCGTCGGCAGGATGGCTGGGCATCGCGCTGCCCGAGGCGCTCGGCGGCGCAGGACTGGGCATATCCGAGGCCACCATGATGATGCAGACCATTGCCGAGAGCGGGGCGGGCATGGCGGGCGCCCAGGCCATCCACGCGAACGTGTACGCCACGCAGCCGCTGGTCAGGTTCGGCACGGACGAGCAGGTGCGCGAGACGGTGCCGAACATCATATCCGGGCGGTGGCGCGTCTGCTTCGGCGTCACGGAGCCTAACGCCGGGCTTGACACGCTCAGTCTAGCCACGACGGCCACCAGCGTCGACGGCGGGGAAGCGTACTCCATCCGTGGTCAGAAGGTGTGGATCACCTGCGCTCAGGTGGCGTCCCGGATGATGCTGCTGGCGCGCACCACGCCGCGCGACGAGGTGGCCAAGCCCAGCGACGGGCTGTCGCTCTTCTGCATCGACATGGACCGCGGTCGGCCCGGCCTCGACATGCGCAGGATCCGCAAGATGGGAGGTCGCGCCGTCGACGCCAACGAGGTCTTCTTCGAGGACTATCGCGTGCCTGCGGCGAGCCTCGTCGGCCAGGAGGGCAAGGGCTTCAAGCAGATCCTGCACGGCATGAACGCGGAGCGGTGCCTGCTGGCGGGGGAGGCGCTGGGTCTGGGCTACGCGGCGCTCGGACGGGCGTCGGGCTACGCTCGCGACAGGGTCGTCTTCTCCCGTCCCATAGGTCAGAACCAGGGCGTCGCCCACCCCCTCGCCGACGCTTACATGAGGCTCGAGGCCGCCAAGCTGGCGACCTACCACGCTGCGAGGCTGTATGACGACAGCAGGACCGACGAGTCCGTCCGCCAGGACGCTGTGGGCGTCGCGGCCAACAGCGCAAAGTATCTGGCTGCCGAGGCCGCCTTTACCGCCTGCGAGAGGGCCGTCCTGGCCCACGGCGGCATGGGGTACGCCGCCGAGTACGATGTCGAGAGGTGGTTCAGGGAATGTCTTGTTCCCAGGATTGCGCCCGTCAGCAGGGAGATGATTCTCAACTATATAAGTGAGAGGGTGTTGAAGCTGCCTCGTAGTTATTAAACGCCGCTCTACCAAAGTAACACATGCAATATACAATACGTGACCGGATAACATCATGCATACCTGACTGAAGGACGCATGCATCCCGATCGGTGCTATTCACTTACAAGCGCACGTATTACAATGGGACTCTACAACTACCACCACAGAACTTCCCCATAGAAAAGAAAACGCTTCCCCCCCCCCTCTTTTCCCCAAACGATCCAAAAACTTGATCCTCTCATCTTCATAATATTCACCACACCAGCAATTGGACCCGTGTTTGAAACCCGAGACCGAAAGAATGGCGCCTCCGCCATCAGATTCACCCGTCCCAGCCTCGGTAAAGAAGACCCGAGCGAAGCACGCTTGTCGGATATGCAACAGCCGTCGAGTCAAGTGCAACGTCGTGGAGTCACAGCCATGCGGTAACTGTATGGCCGCCAATGCTCCCTGTGAGATTGTACCGTCCCGACGGGGGAGGTGAGTCTGCGGTCGCTTTGACGATAAGGCATCAAGCTGTTGCTAATGAACATTGCGGTAGGTACCCTCGTCGATCTAAACGTGGCGAGAGGGGACTCCATCCCAGCCAGCAACAGTATGATGATAAGAGCCCCGATGTCAAGACATCGCCCGGTCCCGTCGCGACGACGGCGCCGTCCAACTTAGACTCCAAGTCACCGGGGACACTATTCTTCGGCGAATCCAGCTTTCTCACCATCGTCCCTGGTGAGCGGCATGATAGCGACGGCAGCAGTAAAGCCGTAGACGCTGCGGAACGGCCTTGGAGCACAATGTCTACCGTGTCCCACCTACGGCTCGTGTTCCCCGTGCCCGACAGTCTAGGATCCCAAGATGACGGATCTGGGGTCAGTCCAGCGACGATGCGCTACCTCCGCGACGAGGGCGCCCTCACCCTGCCCGACACGCGGGCGTGCATCCCCGCCCTGCAGGCCTACTTCGCCTGGTTCCACCCGTGCTTCCCCGTGGTGGACAGGGCGGACTTCAGCCGCCGACTGTCCAGGGGAAACGTGTCCCGGCTCCTGCTGCAGGCCATGCTGTTCATGGGGGCGACGTACTGCGACGCCGACACGATCAGTGCGATGGGGTTCGCGGATCGGTCAGAGGCCAAGGCGCTGCTGTACACACGCGCAAGAGTGCTCTTCCACGCAGACTTGGAGAAGGACAGGATCACGCTAGTGCAGTCTCTTTTTCTCATGAGTTTCTGGCGTGGAGGCCCGTCGGATGTCAGGGACGTGAGATACTGGCTCGGTCTCGTCATCACTCTGGCAGAGTCGTACGGTCTGCATAGATCGTGAGTGATCAAGGAGACACGGCAAGGGAAACAGGGCTTTTGCTGACGGTTCGGCAGTCAGAAGTTCATGGCTAGGAATCCTCGTCTGTCACGCATCAAGAGGAGGATATGGTGGTCTATATATGTAAGTCTCCGTACGACGGTGTTGACTAGACAGTCCCCTAACAGGGGACAGGTCCGTGAACGACAGGCAGCCGCGTCTCTCGGGTTGCCAAGCCGTATACGCGACGAAGACTGCGACGTCGAACCTCTTAGCCGTGAGGATCTCGTGTCCGACGATGACGACCTTTCTTCGCCGTTCGGCTCATGTCAGCCTCAGCACACGACATACGTCATCAAGATGGTAGAGGTTGCCAGGTTACGTATGTTGTCTGTTGCCAAGTACCAGGTGAAGATGTGTACGTGCTGACGAGATACAGTCGGTCGAGTAATCGACGTCCAATTCGTCCCGGGCCAGCGACCAGCCACGTTAGACGAAGTCCACCGCCTCGATTCGTCCCTGGAAGAATGGAAGGCCAGTCTGCCGCACGATATGCAATACCCTAACGATGATGGCGGCGAAGCATCCATATGGACCTGTCTGTTACATTCGGCCTACAAGTAAGTAGTGATTATGTGACGACGGCGGCGGCGACCCACGAGAAGTTTGCAGTCTGTAGTCTTGCTAACGCTATATACGGATAGCTACTTTCGCATCCTCATCCACCGAGCGAACTTTGTCCGCGACGATAAGGACAGCCGTATCGTCACGAGTGCGGCGTGCAAAATACTCCGTATAGCAGAGGATATGTCGTCCAAGGGAATTCTACGCTACGGCCAAATGCATCTGTACGTCGCCTCTCACACTCTCCGTATCGATGAAATCTGCTAAACACGAAGATGTATTGAAACAAATCTGTTTTTTTTTTTTTTTACAAAAATAGCATCACCTCCCTCTTTGCAGCCCTGTGCATCCACACCATCACCATCCGTCGAAGCACCGACATGTCGCGGCGCATGGCCGAGCACCGCGCCCAGCTATGTCTCCTCTGTCTCGAGGAGATTCGAAAGTACTGGCGCATCAACAACAACGTTCTCGACCTGTTCCTACGTTACCTGGACAGTTCTATCGCCAGGAATCTTCATAACGGGACTGACAATGTTCCCACCACGAAACCTCCTACTTCTACTTCTACTGCCAATGTACCACAGCAGCAGCAGAAGCAGCAGAAGCGACAACCGTCTGCCACCATGTCGTCGGCAACGTCGCCTGTTCCCGATATCACGACCTGCTTGTTATCTAGTCACCCTCAGGAATCGCACATGGATATGTCTGATGATCAGTATCTCAGTCTGGTGAATGGGAGCTGTGAAGGGGATGACGCCTTGGGGGATCTGACCATGTTTCTCGGCGGTGACGACATTACGCAGCAGCAGTAGCAGCAGCAGCAGCATCAATACGATGGGGCAGTTGACTTCAGATGAGATGGGTTATGAGTGATGATATGAAACGTAATTGATTGGGTACATTGGTCAACGTCTATTATACACAGTTGTTTGATATATCCCCAAATTTCATCTTGAAAAAGTGCTGTACATCTATATTCCCTCCCTGGCCAACTGACAGACCGGCTGGGTTGCCATCCACCCTCAGGCCCTCGAGGCTCGTAGCTCTCGACAGCGCAACGTACACTTGCCCTTCCTCAAACGCCCTCGACAGGTCGACAATGACACGATCCAGTGTCATGCCCTGACTCTTGTGGATGCTCATGGCCCACGCGGGAGCTAGGGGGACCTGTGTCCTGTGCAGCAGGCAGTATGGTGCGCTGTCGCCAATGGCGTTGACGATGCACTCTGCGAAAATGGTGCGTTTGACGCCATTGTGGAACAGGACGCGGGGCCAGAATGGCAGGAGTTTCTCGGGGACGCCGTTGACGTCGCGATGAGGCGGGAATCGGTTGTTGCGGTGGTGTGTACCGTGGTCTTGTGCTTTGGCAAAGGCTTCGATTTGCCGTTCCTTGAGTTCGGCGTAGTCGTCTTCGAGTATGTTTCCGCCAAGTCTGCTATACGCCACATCCAACATGGGCTGCTCGCCTTCTTTGACTTGTGCTCTAATGTCTTCCGTTCCTAGAGCAGTATGCGTAGCCGCCCCGACGAAATTCTTCTTCCGACCCAAGTCCCCATTTCTCAACTTAGGGAGGCTTTCCAGGGTGCGGTACTCCCACCCGCAAATGATGCCCTGGCTTCCGTTGCACAGGCCTCCTTGTAGATCCAAGTTAGTCTGGAGCACGACGAGCATTCCAGCTCTGAGGTGGACTTGGCGTTCTAGACGATGGTCTGCCAATGCCACCAAGGTTCCATCAAGCAGTCTATCTCCGTAACTACCTAGAGTAGGGTGTTCCTCCCTTTCCCATTCGAATCCGTCAAGTGCCCTGTACGTATATATAGGTGTCTTCATGCGATTGAAGCAATGTTGATTAACCTTTTGAGATTCGATACGCGTGGGGTACAGTCGTGTGGCCTTGTCGACGTTGCACGGGTGATCCAAGAGCAACTCTGCCTGGTCAGATGTCAAAGGCAGTCCCAGCCTGCAACTTTGCAGAATGTCAATAAAGACGCGATCCGACTGCCGATGGACCTGTCTAAGTTGGACGTGCACCATTTGGCACGCCTCCCAGGCAGCACTCCTGAATGCCCACTTGTCGTGCTCACTAAAGGGGCCGTGTTCACCCGAGGGGCAGAAGAACTCGGTCTCGCGCTCGTCAGAAGTCGTCTTTCGGCCGCACTCGACACAGTGGGCGAAGGGCTTGACCGGAGGGAGCTGGCAAAAGTCGCCTGTGACGATGAGTTGGACGCCCCCAAAAGGCTTTGCTTCGTCCCCGGTGTGCCGCCCCCGTGCAGCCGCCATGCACCTGCTCATGCGCTCAAAGTGATTGTTCTCAATCATGCTAACCTCATCAATGACTAGCACCTTGGTTTTGTTCAACCGTCTGTATACAGACTTTCTGTTGGCGGATGCGATAAGTGAAGGCATCTTCAGCTTGTCGTGGTTCGGCGTCCAGCCCATATACGACCAGGTCGATCTGCCGCCGATCTGCAGCGCCGATCGTCCTGTCGGTGCGACAATATCGACTTGAAGGCCTTTTCGGTGCAGTTCCCTTACGGCCGCCTTGAGCACTGTCGACTTTCCAGTACCTGCTGATCCCGTGAAGAAGACGTTTTTGCCACTGAGGATCAGGTTGACCAACTGCTGCTGCTCCTCACTGAGCTTGGGCTCATTCGACGGTAGCCTATGTGGTTGTGGCGGCTGCTGATGCTGCTGTTGCTGCTGACATGACAGTTGCCGCAGCGGTTGTTTCCGGTTCCAATAAACATCGATCTTGGGTCGACAAGGCGTATCAGAAAACGACGGTGACAGCTCCGAGAAATCATCAGCATCGTTAGCCGGTTGCTGTTTCGCCTGCTGTTGCGTTGGTGGTCGCGGCAATGGATGCTTCTGTTCCCAATCAGTCTCCATATTCACCCGGTAGGGCATGGCAGAAGACGCCGGCGACAGCTCCAAGAAATCCTCAACATAATCAGGCGGCTGCTGTTTCGGTTGCTGCTGCGATGATTGTGATGGTGTTCGCGACTGCTTTTGATCCCATTCGATCTCCGTCTTAGGCCGACAAGGCGTAGCAGGAAACGACGACGACGGCCTGAAGACATCCTCGGCCTCCTCGGGCGACAAGAAGAAGTCATTACCGAATCCGTCATCGTCATATGAGAGAGAAAAGCCGCCATTCTGTGGCGCGGAGCTAGGAGCGTCGGCCATGCTCATCGTTGTCATGCCGCCTGTGCACCTTGTGTTCCTTGTGCTGGTGGTGCTGCTGGTAATCGCGCAGCTGTGCGCAGCCACATCTTGGGGCCTGCGGGCTAACCCACGGTGCGACTGGCCGTTCGGTTGAGAAGACTGCGATCAAGACACTTCCGTATGATGATATGATGCAAAGCACATCTAGGCTGAGACCGGGGCCGGAAGGGGACTGGCGGTGGTCGATAGTGAGAGAGGGAAGATTTGGGATGAAGCTCAGGTGGAGTGGGGCGAGTTTAGGGGAAGGAACCCTCTGGGCTGTCCCCCCTTCTCAGGCATCGTACACGCAACATAAGGAGGTATTAGAGATAGTGTCCAACAGTCATGATTGTTGAGTGAATCCCGGTCTCATCATGAGTTGTTGATACGATACACTATGAGAAGGATTATGGTGTGTCAAAACCCACTGCACTATCACGCCGTGGACCCATCGCGGGGCCGGTGCGGGCCCGATGCGTTTTCGAATGAGGGTCTTCATCTAGAAATCATGAGCGATCTACGGAGTACATTGTATACACTTTCTACGGTAAGAATCAAGGGGGTATAGTGGTAACAACACGTTACGAGATGCTTTGCTTCGCGTCCCTCCTTATTTCTTTTGTTTTTCGGCTATTCGGTTGGCTGTACCTAAGGAGGCAGCAGCAACACCAGACAGAGAAGGGGACAGCCACCATAATCCTCTCCTCAGCCCTGCATAGAGCAGATACTGAAGTGAGAAAAAGAAGTGGGAGATCGCCGATAGAAATTAACTTTGTAAACACCTTCAATCGTCCCACAAAAGTGTTGAAGTCAGATGCGTCAGATCAGTGTTCGGACGAAGTTCTTAAGATAAAAGGAGGAGGGAAAGAAAGCTGCCATGTTGGAAAATTGAATGTCAATTCAATCCGCAGTAGAGATCCGGAGCAAGATAGATACTCTACTCTGCCAAGATCTACGGCAAACAAAGTATGACCATGATGTAGAGTGAGATCACACAATAATGAATACTCCCTCTCTAAGGCAAGAAACACATTCCGTTTCTCCAGTTATACCTCCCTCAAACTTCTCATCCTTCCCTCTCCGTATTCACTTCGATCCTTTCTCTATAATATATAGTATTGTACACGCAGTGCATCACGATGTGGAGATTACAATAAACGGCCAAAGTTCTTTTGACTTCACTGCCCGGTTTCCTTTTTTTTTCGACTGTCGGGAGGAAGATTCATTCGTTCGCTGTCACCTAAAGAATCAAGGCTCTTCTCAGTCGGAACAGGGTCCGAAGTTCTTCTCGTGAATGTAGCGGAGATAGTCTCGCTGGAGGCGGAAAGACGAATAGTCTCCCTCAAGGATGACATCTAGGATACGCTCACCCTTGGCGTTAGATGCGCCGACTTCACTGAGTCTCTTGCGAAGGGCGTTGTATGCCTCTTCAAACCGGGCGAGGATGGAGGGAGTGTTTGAGGATCCACCCGAGATGTCGTTAGATGGGTTGTTCGGGTCGATGATGGAGAGGCGCTCCATGTTACGGTAGGTGAAGCCACGGACGTCCATCTGGTTATACGGGTTAGTCAATGTGACTCCCACCAACCTGGTTCGTACCCGTTCACCAGTTGACTGAGGTGACAATGTGGTGGCAAAAGGGTGAACTCACCTTGCGGACGTAGCCAATCGTGCCCGACAAGGAAATAGCATTGACTTCATGGTCAAACCGACGGCCGTACAGGTCAAAGAACTCGAGAAGCATTTCACCGAGGTGGTGCTCAGGGATCATGCTCTTGGACTGGACTTGCGGCATGAGCTGGAGCATGCTCACGACGAGACAGATGACGGAGAAGCCGCCGATTCCGCCGCTGACCGGCTCATTGAGCCCACGCATAAGAAGGAAGTGCTTGATGACTGTGACGAGGACAGGCATGGCGGGATATTGCTCCTTCCATTTGAGGAATGTATCGACGGCGTCAACACCGCCCATGTTCTCAAACGAGACGTCCACCTTCAAACCTGTCATCTTATCCACAAATTTTACGAGAGGAATACGTGCATGAGCAATGACCTGGATAGAATCCGGCTCTGCGACTCGCTGGGCAATGAGCATTGACCGGAACTTGTAGAGGTAGTTCTTGGCTGTCATGTAGATGGGGGTGCTCCCGCGCATGAAGGCAGCCGAGCAGACGACCAGATCCATGTCGGCGGTTGGAAGGTACAGGCCAGACATGAATGAGCCAAAGGCAAGTACCTGCGCGCTGGCGAATTTTTGGTTGTCCCTCTTCATAGCCCGAGAGAGGTTCTCGATGAGATTATCGCGGATCCTCTGTTCGAATTGGCGCGGGCGGACATACTCGTAGAAGTCGACAACTTCCTTGTGCAGTCTACAGAGAAAGACAAGGTGATTAGTTTCGACGAAGGACGGGGCATGTCGAATGCGGCAAGAACAAGATAAACACCTACCGTAGAGCAGCGTTCTTTGTGTCGGAATGATCTTGAGTAGCCCATGGGCTAGACTCTTCACCTGGCTTGGGCTCCCAGGAGTGGGTGACCGCCCCCTTAGAGGGCTTCATGCTTCCCTTCTTCAACTGACCGTACTCGGGGGGTTTGATCTGATCGTTTGCTGTTCGTTTGCGGGAACCTAACGGGCCGTCTGAAGATCTCACGGGAGCAGTTGGGGGAGGCGGTGGTGGAGGTGCTGAGGGGAGAGGGGGGGGAGGTTCGGTGGGGGGAGGTGGGGGCTTTTTTTGGTTGTCGTGATGATTTTTGCCTTCTTCGTCCTCGTGATCGTCCTCGTCTTCGCTGCTGTCGAATGCGATGAAATCGGCAGTTTCTTGCGGGCCGTCGGCCTTGTTGTTTGCCTCGTCGTTCCTAGCTTTTCGTATCAGGGCCACGACACCCCTCTTCTTCTGCTGAGTCTCGTCGGGAGGAGGCAGGGCGGTATAGGGATCCGGGTTGGACCACTTGGGAGCGGCGGAGGCAGGGTCGTCAGCCGCGGTAGTGACTGTCGATGACTTCTTGACGCGTTTCCGAGAGGGTTCACCGGTCTCGGATGACGATGAGCGTGACGAGATTTCCATCTCTTTCTCACTATCATCCGACAATTCGTTGGGGTCGCGAAACTTGGCGGCGCCGTTGCTGTCGTGCAGCCGCTCCTCGGGCAAGTCATTCATGGAGTTCGACAGCAGTGCGCGCTCGGACGTGTGAGGGGGCGGCTGCCAGCGCCGGCCGCCACGTCCCCCTCGGCCACCACGGCCCCCTCCGTCGCGCCTGCTTTTTCCCCTTCGATAGCTGTCTCCTCCCCCCGGGTACTGCGACGCCGGCGGGAATCCAGGTGCGCCGTTGCCAGCGCGAAACGTAAAGTCGCCCGTCGGTGGCCTATATGAGTCTCCCCCACCACCACCGCCTCCTCCCCCTCCTCCTCCTGCTCCTCCGGGATATGAGGGATCATGATCGCGAGACGGTCTATATGACTCTTCACGGCCGTCTGCAGGTCTTCGTCCTCCACTTCCCCTGTCTCCGAAAGAGCGGCCGTTGGGTCGCGATGGGCTCCGGGGGCGGCGTGGAGGGCGCCCGTCGTCGCGACGCGGGCGATTGCGCACCATCAAGATTGGATTAGATTAGAGGTGTTTCCCTCTCTGTAGTCGACCAGAGGTGACACAAGGGTGGTAGCAGTGCGGCAAGACGTGGGGGGAGTGTGAGACGATGTCGCTAGAGCATGCGCCCAGGACAATAATTGTCGTAAAAAGTTCTTGATGCTGTAGTTGCGCCTGCCCTATGAGCTGTCGGTGCGGAATTAGAATTAGTGGCGCTAAAAGTGGATTGCTACCGGCTGAGTCATCAATGCCATCTACAGACTGCCACAGGACTCGAGTACGGCAGGGTGAATTATTGATTCACTGCGGCTATTTCGGGGTGAGATGTTGGCCTACTGATCGCTACTTAGCGATAACTCAGGTAGATATCCTGCTAATCCGAGATTTGGAACATAGCTCACGCTGAGTGTTATCTCTGGTGGGTATCGCAAGCTGATGGCAAACTTGAGGGTCCCTGGTAAGAGATTCTCACGCATCAACATGAGCTCAAAGCAAACAAGAATATTTTGCAGCTGTGCCGTTACGACGTTGCTTGAACCATCTCCTATCCTAACATCATCCTAGGGACTAACCAGTATCACCGGGTCCTCATCGGAATCTAGTGAAGCATTAGAATTCGCCACCCAATCTCTTCGGTCGTTTTGCGGATTTCCCAATATAGGGTAAACCAATGTATCATTGTTGTAGGATTCCCGGATCTAGAACGCCTTGAGGGCGTTTGGCGGGAGTCAGGTTTGATGGGTGTTGGGTGATGAGCTTGGTTTCAATGGGGTTACGTATGCCATTTTTTTTCTTTTTTCTTTTTAGATAGCGACCATCTTTTTTTTCCGAAGTAATATAGTATACCACTACATACATGTAGGAAGTATTAGTAGTAATAATCCTAGGATAATATCTTCACTTCTCTCCGGATAAGCCATGAGATTCAAGCTCTCTTGATGGCAGTCTTTCGGTGTTTCTCGTCAAGGAGAAGGTAGTCATGAAAGATAATAGCTATATGGTCATTCGGTTCATCCTTTGTTAGATAGAATAGTTCATTGTTTTAAGAATAGATTAGATGCATCTCTGGTATGAGTATTATAAGCTGTCTGTGAATCAGTACATGTGCATGTATTATTACATATAATAAGTGAAGCAGTCTTTATGCCTTATATATCAGGCCACAACACGTATCACCACCCTGGAAGGCAAAGCTGCGTAATACTTGGCGCCGGTGATTGCTTGATATCCGCAGCACAGTAAAGCTGGACCCCCGAAACCAGCTGGCCACATTTGAACTTCCAACTAAACAACCAACTGTCCCACTCCTCTGCGCGCGCACTCGGGCGGCAAACTTTCTCCTCTCTCCTCTCTCCTCGCCCATGATCCTCATTCAGAACAGGTCGGACAAGGCGAAATAAGAAACACAAAGAAAAAAAATGTCAAACTACTACGCCCCCCAACAGCCGTACGCCCCGGCCGGCGGCGCGCAAAACCTCCAGTTCTACCCAACCACCTACGACACGAGCGCAACGTCGCAACCCCAACAGCACGCGTCATTTGGCTTCGGCGGCTCACCCAACCCCGCCCAGGCAGGCTTCACGAATGCTGGTTTTGGACCGGCCCCGGGGGCGGGGGTGTCGGGCCGCATGGGCGAGCAGGGTGGCCTGCGAACAGGCTGGCTCGCCGCATTCTCCACGGAGGGGTACGACGGGGAGCCGCCGCTCCTCGAGGAGTTGGGCGTCAACTTTGCACACATCCAAGCCAAGGTACACACATGCACACACATGTGCACACCCTCTGTCCATCTGATCTCCAATCATGAGAATTAACTTTTGATATCACAGACCCTCGCTGTGCTCAACCCCTTCCGCCCGATTGACCGTCACATCATGGACGACTCCGACATGGCGGGCCCGTGCCTCTTCTTCCTCCTGTTCGGCTTCTTCCTCCTCTTCTCGGGTCAGGTGCACTTTGGCTACATCTACGGTCTCGCCCTGCTGGGGTCCATCTCGCTCCACACCATCCTGTCGCTCATGTCGCCCACCGAGGCCGAGCAGCAACAGCAGCAGCAGCAGGCCGCTACCTCGGCCTACCAGTCGTACCCAGATGCCACAGCGGCTGGCGCTGCCGTCTCGGGTGGGCACTTCTCCGCCACCCTGACCTTCCCTCGCTCCGCCTCTGTCCTGGGATACTGCCTGCTTCCCCTGGTGGCCACTAGCCTCGTCGGCGTCGTCGTCCCCATGAACACCTTTTTCGGCCACATGCTCACCCTTGCCGCCATAATCTGGTGCACCTACAGCGCAAGCGGCATGTTCTGCGCCGTCGGCCGCATGAGCGCCATGCGCGCCCTCGTCGCCTACCCCCTCGGCCTGTTCTACGTGGGCTTTGGCCTCATGAGCATCTTTAGCAGCAGGGGGGCCCTGGCCGTTGTCGCTACCTCCTCGTCGTCCTGAGCCTCGGAAGCCCCTGCGTCGAACAGAAGAAGGGTTTGCATCCCATATACACGACCTTCACATGGCCGTATATGGTAGCCGGCAGCCTCATATATGTAAAGCAACTTGGGACCTGGCGTTTTTGTTTTCTTTTCTGGCGAAATTCACCAGTAATAGTAGGAGGGCAGTTATTGCGCCTGGGATATGATTGAGCAGTTTGCATGGCGACAAGGTTATCGGGTTGGAGGGAAAAAGGAATTTCACGCATGGTACATATACTATTCGCCATGCCTTGGTTGCACACGATAGCAAAAGGGCGGCTACAAAAGACAAGACGAATAAATGAAAAAAAAAATAGTAAAATATTAACATGTCCCAATCTCTCTGACTAACCTTGTGTTAACTCGGCAGTTTCTTTTATAAGAAATAACGCTTGCCCTTGGCGGTCTAATGTAAAAAGAGCCATTCCCGTCCGTTCCACTCCTATATTCACTCCTATACCAATATTATTTTTGTCTTCGCTTCTTTCCACACCTTTTGATGAAAACCAACCGCCAAATTTTTTTTCATGAACAAGCAATACAGGAATCTGAAAAAAAGGCGAAGACAAGCGTCTGCAAAAAGATATAAAAAAGAAAAGTTTAAACGTTGGATATACCTCATGTCCGTGCACTGTACAGCATGTCTGCTCAAATCGTAAAAGATAACATGCCAGCTGAGGCGAGAGTACGACGTAGGAGAAGAAGTACTACTGCTGTTCCTCAAGTTTCGTTGGTGCCGTTCGTTTCGTCTTCGTGGATACCCATGACGACGGAGAACTGGCCGCCAGCACCGGCGAGGACGATCTTCTTGCCCCGGATGGCCGTATTGTCGACGATGGTGGGCTTCTCAATGTCGTCCATGACGCCCTGACCGGTCTGGTAGTTGCTGGAGAAGCCCCAAGAGTAAACCTTGCCGTCTCCGGTGACGGCGAAGCTGTTGTCGGTCCCGGCAGCCACTCTGGTGACGTTGGAGACGTCTGTATTCTGAGGTTAGCATTCTGTCTTTTACGCAGAGAGGATGATGGGAAAGGCAAAGGAAAACACACCAGGAACGACGGTAGGAACAACGAGGATTCGGGGATCATTGCGGTCGTCAAAGATGGCATTGTCCTTAGTGAGCATGGCCTTGTCGATACCGACCTGGTAGCCGTCGACACGACCCCAGGTAAGCAGCTCGCCCTTGTCGTTGCAGGCGAGGGAGTGGTGGCCGCCGCCGTCAATGTCCTGGATGGCGTGGCCGTCGAGGGCGGTGATCTTTGCGGGGCGGAGGATGACGGCATCATCCTCGCCAGCATTTGAGCCAATGCCGACCTCACCGAAGTTGTTGAGGCCCCAACCCCATACGGTGCCGGACTTGTCGACGGCGAAACTGTGGTAGGAGCCGCAGGCGACCTTGGCGATCTTTCCGCGGGGCAGGCCGACGCCCTGGGGCGTGAGCGAGGACAGCTTGTTCCGCTCGATTATGCGGCGGGCGAGCTGGTTCTGCTGGCCGCAGCCCCAGGCGCTGACGTTTCCCTTGGCGTCGAGGGCGAGGATGTGGTTGGCGCCGGCGGTCAGCGACGTGATGCCCTTGAGCGTGGGTAGGATCAGCGGCGTGTACTGCACGCGGATCTTGTCGGTGAAGCCGAGGATGCCGTCGCTGGACCGGAAGGTGCCCCAGCCGTAGACGCGACCATCCTCGGTCAGGGCAAAGCTGGCGCTGTCCGAGGCCACGACCTGGACGAAGCGCGTGTTTGCGGCAAAATGCACGTCGGACACGGCCGTCGGCGTGCTCTCGCGCGGGTTGATACCCGTGTCGTCGTCGTCGTCTTCCGAGTCGGAGCCGTCGGGCTTGTCCATGTCACGCAAGCCGCCATCCCAGGATGTGTCGCGGCCCAGAGCGCCCTGGTCGTTGACGCCCCAGGTCAGGATCTGGTTGTCGCTCGTCAGGGCCACGACGTGCATGCCGCCGCACGACAACTGCACCACGTTCTTGAGGTTGTCATTGAGGCGCGGCCGCTTGACGTCGATCGGTTTCTTGCCGTTGACGCGCTTGCTGCCCAGACCGAGCTCGCCGGACGTACCCTCGCCAAAGACGTAAATGTCTAGCACCTGCGTGGGCGCGTCGTTGATCTTGCGGCCGATGGCCACTTGCGGTCGAGGGTCACGGGGTGCCGGGGTAGCAGACTTGGTCCTCTTAACCGGGGCGGGAGCAGGAGCAGGCGTTGCAGACTTGGCCCTCTTGCTGGCAGCAGCAGTGGCAGGCTGCTTCTTCTTCTTGTTCTTCGCCTCGGGCTCAGCATCCTCTTTGTTCTTCTCGTCGTCATGGTCGTCGTCCTTGACCGCCGGTGTGGCAGACTTGGCCGACCTCTTGGCCTTCTTCACCTCGGGGACATCTTTGTTCGCGAGATCATCATCGTCATCGTCTGAGGCCTTGCGTTTCTTTGACGCGCCGTTAGTCGCCGTCTTCTTGGCTGGCGCGGCAGCAGCCTTGGTTTTCTTGGTGGCAGTCGAAGCACCAGGTTTCTTGGTGGTGGCGGCAGTAGCCTTAGGCTTGGGAGCCGTAGCTTTTGCGCGAGGAGCCATTATTTTCTCTTGATTGATTGGTTGTCGTGTATCTTTTTGTGATGAGTGAAGAAAAGAGGAGAGTGAGGGTGGTGGTGGTGTGATGATACCGAAAAAGCTCAGATAGCTACTAGCTATGCAGAGCTAGAAGAATAGAGCTTGTTGCTTGGGAGATGAGGTGAGATTTTTTTCTTTTTCTGCGACCAAGCACCGGGGAGGGGGTATGTTTGTAAAAATGAGGCGGAGGAATGAAGAAGGAAGAGCAAGACAACGATTAGATGTTTATACAATCACCCACATCGGAAAAAAGTGAAGAAAAAAAGAGGACAAAGAGAAAGAGATTGACGGTAGAAAATGGTGCACTGGGGGTCAAGGGTGTTACGCTGTATTGGGAGCACAGGGACAATGACGCGACGCTAGCATTCTTTAGGAGGGTGTTTTTTTTCCCTCTTATCCCTATTGTTATTATTATTGCATGTAAGGCCATGAGAGTGATAAAAAGCGAATAAAAAGTCACTGATACCTAATGAATGGGTGGATGGCAGCTATCAATTCAATGTATCAGATACCAAATAAATCACACGAACCTCACCTTCACTCTACCGCTACCACGGTAGCATTCCACTCCAATGGATGACTAAAAATTCTTCTAACCAATTTCTTTAGGCATCCACCAACTGACAGGAATTTGTCCGGCAGAAAATAAAGGAGAGAGAGAGAGAGAGAGAGATAGAAACAAGAAGGCGGTGAGTATTTCCATGTGGCGTCTCTATACGCCATAGTGGCCGAACCCATTTATCTTGTCTTCGATCATCACATCACGCGCTCGGCCTTTTTGTTATGTTTTACATAATTGAATGGGAAGAAGTCTTCGTCTCAGTTCGAAACGCCAATTTTAATGACTAAACCTATTATTATAAGTTTTTGTGCCCGTTTCTCAATGGATATTACCATTGTTATCGCCATGAAATCTCAAAAGATGCAGTCCTCCATAACGCCATTCACCAAATCCTTATTGCCAGGCCGACGAGAAAGGAAGGGAAGAAACCAACTTATTTAGTGGTGAAGTCTATCTCGTTGGCAGGGTTGAAACCGCCGTCGCTGGCCTTCTCGCACGTGCAAGCTTCTGTTGCATGTTAGTCAAGGTACGCTGGGGGAACAGTAAGTTGGGGGCCATATCGTACCGGCAGGCCTTGAGCCGCACTGGCAGGTGGTTCCCGAAGGGGTGACGTTCTCGGTAGACGACCTGTCGCAAGTGCACTCGCCGACAGGACGGGCGCGGCACGAGCACCTGGGTCCGCTGACCTGGTTCTCCGTCGCCGACTTGTCGCAGCTGCAGTGGAGGGCAGACTGCTTTCCGCAGGAGCAGGTGGCCTTCTGAGCTGTAGGGCACAACCTGTTAGTCTACATATTTATCAATTGGGTCATGTCAATCCTTGGGCGGGAGCTTACCACAGGCGCACTCGGAGTTGCTCTGTCCGCAGCACGTGGAAGACTTGAAGATGGCCATTATGGTGGGAGTTGAATGGTTGATAGACGTGTGTGTGTGAAAAGGCTGGCGATGGGATTGAGAGAGATGAAGAGTAGGATGAGAGACCTGTAAGATATTGAGGATGATTTGAATAAGCAAAAGTCAAGGCCATTCAGGTTGACAGTGGTCTCTTTATACGTTGTATGTACTTGGACCGCCGTTCACTCGGACGCCCCCGGCTGCCACTCCGGATGCGGCAACGGGATCGGCGTGATTGGCCAATTCTACGTGACTCAGCTACATCAGCCAATAGCAAGCGTTCCATTTCAAAGTTCTTCGTCAGCTTAGCCACCGTCGTACCATCCGCCCTTGGCCATTACATATTCATTCCCCATTAGAGCTACCATCTCCAACGCTAACACGTAGTTCACTGTGTCATCGACGTTCTGCTTGGTTGGAAGTTAGAGCCTTTGATCCATCATGGCGCTCTAAGGCGCACACTTGCTTTCCGTTTCTTCGTTTTGCTTCGAGACCCGCGGGCAGAGAGTTGACACCAGCCAAACCCACCATATTTAGAGATGGCAGACAGTTTCATCGAGAACGTCGAGGACCTATTCTTCTGTTAGCCATTCAGTGACTCTCCGCCCGAGAGGAACGACAACAATTGCCACAATGGCGTCTAGTTTGCTGTGAAGAAGGCAAAGCCGACACCGCAATCTGAAAAGCATGGCCTTCGGGCCTAGGCAACCACCGGGATACTGGTTGCTCTCCAGCAGATCCAGGTTGTCAGCAGTGCCGTGCTTCGCCAACAACCCAACATCGTCGACATATTTGTATGGGACTTGGATCATGATGGGCTCCCTATGCTCTTCTCAATTTATGCCGAGCTCGGCACCATGCAGGACTTCTTGCGCGATCAGACGGAGAATTCGCTGAGCATAGTCCAGCGCCGCAACTTCGCTCTCAACGTTGCCTGCGAACGTCATGCTCCCCATGCGACGAACGCCGCCCGTGGTGATATCAAACTGGCCGACGCTCTTGTATATCCCGACCCGCACAACCCAAAATGTTTCATTTCCAAAGTATCAGTTTTTAGCCATTTTGTATATGGCTTGTCTTTTGCGCCGAGTCAAGTTATATTTGGGGAGTGCTCATAGAAATGCCCTTGAAGTTCAAAGCCTATATGCCCTAATTCCGTCCGATCGCCATCCGCGTTGCGAGCCTTTTCCCTTTAGACTCCTCGTCCAGGAAATGCTCAAGAATGGGTTTTCCTACTTTGAAGCAGACACTCCACCTTGGTCGCCGGACAGACATCTGAATAATCATATGCTGACATTCTGCACGAATTTCGACCAGATGAAATCCTAGAACTGGCGATAAAGTATCTTACTTCTGGTCTCAGGCATCATACGATTTTTACATTTTCAACCGTGTCTTCCAAATGACTCTGAAGAGCAACCCAAACCTGCACAAAGATATGGGTCAGATGGCGGGTAACCCTCAACTGACTGCGATACATGAGTCTACTCGGAGATGAACTTTGCTCTCAATATAGAATCGTAAATCCAAAAGTACCCAGTGTCAATACCATCAGTTCCGGCGGGATGTCCTTCAACGCTATCCACGGTTTGAATGTTTGGGTAAGATATTTATCTCCCGCCCCCTTGGTTATTCATCGCACGCACACGCGCACAACTCTCCTGACTGGGGGTGTGTAGGACTTCAATCCATGGGACAACGAGCCATAGCCTTATAATGTGGAGTTCGTTCAGCCAACGCACCGTGGAAATGATGTTTCTGCATGACAAGACGGGCAAGGAAGTCATGGACACAACCAAGCTACTCCTGCTTCCAGGGCGCGAGATTGCTGGCAAATTCCGTCAAGTCATTCAGCATGGGAAAGATCGTGCCGGCATGGTTCCGAAAAAGATTGTAATACATCTCAAAACGATGCATTGCACACAGGATGCGACAGAGTTCCTGGCATGTTGCGGCAGGCGGTGTGGCTAGGCCAAGAACAAATCCGACAACAACCGCAGCAGCAGCAAAGGCCGTGTCGACGAACTGGCAGGCCAGGCTTTCGACGCACAAATGAATGTGTGTCAAGCGGAGCGCCTCCAGCATGGAGCCTGGGCTTTCTAGGCGCTGAGACGAGGATGCGAATCCCACTCTGGCCTCAGGCAACACACTGACACCAATCTTCCCGAATAAAACCTCGGCCGTGATGGATTTCTCATCCCGTACAAACGGACGAAAGAACTGGGGTGATGAGGTGATTGCGGTATGTAGAGAGGCAATATCCGGTATATCCGAGAGTGTCATGCATACAAGCTCAACCGGTAGCTCTCGTATGAAACAGCCATTACAGTTCATAGGCGATGACAATCGGATGATGACAATCGGGCGATGCTACGGCTGTGGATATGTAATTATGTGGGCATATAAACAGGGAGCGAATGTCACAGTCAGGAGATCTGGATCTGTGTAGGGGAGAAGGAAGAGGGGAAGTCGCTCCTGCCCCCAGCCATATTAGATGCGATAGTAGATGCACGTAAAAATCTGCTATTTCTACTCGTCCCCGAGGCCTGTGGTGTGCGGGAATCGAGAAGTCCCTCCCACATGGTAGTCTCGTCGACGTAGCCGCAAAGGAAGTCCACAAAAGCGCTGCTGTGGTGGTAGTCACTAAAGTATGCATAGTCAGCATCCTTAGCATCCTATTAGAGACCCTGGCGGTATTATATAAATTGATATCAGAAATATGATTGGCTTACAGTGTTAGATGTGGCACCCCACTTGTATGACTAAGCAACCCCCGACTGCTGCCACTCATAACTGTAAATAGCCTTATAGATTGACTTCCTTTCCTTTTCAATAACAAGCAGCTAGACCCAGGACATATATGTAGAGACCACCGCATTTGCTTCTATGGGTCATCGTGTGTTCTGCCCACTGGAAGCACGAAATTGTGGTACCCACAATTATACTTCAGGCATAGCCCGTAGCCCGTCTAGAGTCTGGTGTACGTGTCGCAGACGCACGAAATCCAAGGTATAGGGTATCCTGCAGCTTAACAAAACGGACACCAAAACACTCGACCACAACAGCCGAATCTAGTTGCCGATATTCATTACCGTGCCCACCAAACACGGCTATTGATTCGACCGAAAAGTACGAAATCAAAGGCCAATAGTTATAATAGCACAAATACGGAGTAGGACAAAAGTGATTTACTACATGGGGCATGTGGCTCCCCACATTCCCCGGATTTTGGGAGATCTCCTAGATCTCGGGTTTGTTTCCCGTGAAGCTTGTTTATCCACTAGGCCACCATTACGACGTACCTAGTGCAAGCACATGGTATGACGATCGAGAGTGGGAGCGGGAGAGTGGCAGACGGGAAAGAGCGCTCTAGAGTATGGGTTGCTCCTCCCCCCTCCCCTCTCCCCTGTCCTCTCTCGTCCCGAATCCTCCTTCTCTCACTTGTTCCTTCCTTTCCTCTCTTTCGCCCTGACTAACGTCGCTGATTAATGCAGCACCTTGTCGAGAGAAGATCGTCTCTCCTCATTACGCCGCAACCAGTATTAATGCTAGTAGTGGTATCCCGATTTTCCCCTTTTCTTTCCCTCCCCCGCCCCTCCCGGGGTATCTTCTCTTATCTTCAGGGCGAGACTTATTCTCTTTGTTCCCCTCCCCTGTATTTGACTCCTTCATCTCGCCCCTGCACCATGCGGCTTTTTCTTTTCGGACTCTCAGTACAAGTGCCTCTTTTCTCCCTCTTCCCAGCCAAGCTACTGCACTGCAGTCTCCACCCGACAAGTCCGACGAGCGACGAGCCGGAGACCCGATAAAATTCAACCTGTCTATTGCTAGCCTGAGTTGCTAGTTTGCAAAATGCTAATAATCCGGCTTTACCCTGTCAAGTTTGTTGCATACCAGACACCCAGTCATTCCTTGAATCTCCCTCTCTTCTCGAACCCCTGTGCCCTGGATTGATCCACCGCCACTTGCAGGGCAACGACAGCCGTTGCGTGCGTTTCTCTTTAGCGCTTCCAGTACGTGTGTGTGTGGTGCCAGCCTACCAGGGGTCGCCGGCTTCGGGGAGACTGTCCTGTTTTTTCTCTCACTTATTTTGCTGCTCATTGCCCCGTCTCGGAGGCTTGCGTATTCGTATGAGCAACGGACGGTGTAGCTCCACCACGTAATACGACCACACAGCTCTTTTTCGATTTTTCTCTTTCTTCTCTTTTCTCACTGTTTCACCTAGGGCTCGCACTTTTCTTCCTTTCCTAATCTTTTCAAACAATATTCATTACCCCTCTTTTACCTTGCTCTCCTGCTTTTGCATTCCTCCTTTTCTTGTCCTTCACGAAGCGAGCTGGTACTCGTGACCACTACTCACAATGGGCCTCGATGAAGTCAACGACAACGTCAATGACAAGGTTGTGTCTTCTGATAACTCGTCCCTCGACAATGCCATCGCAGAGACGGGCCAGGTGGCTACCGACAAGTGAGTGACTCCCAACCGACAACATGAACTCGTCAATGAACAAGGCTGGCCGTGATCTTTCACTCGAACCACGACTAACCACCTAACCACCGCCGCCACCACCAGATATGGCCACTCGCTCATTGCCTTTGACCCGGCTGCCGAGAGGAGACTGCGCACAAAGATTGACCTCATGATCGTACCTACCGTCGCGATCCTGTACTTGTTCTGCTTCATCGATCGCGCGAATATCGGTAAGATTGAAAACACAAGCCCCACCAGTTCACTTACCCGAGGAATTAAAATGTATGCCGGCTAATCGCTTGCCGTTTTATGTGGATCAGGAAACGCCAAGATTGCTGGCATGGATGACGATCTCGGCATGTCGGGATATGACTACAACGCCGTTATTTCCATCTTTTATGTATCTTACATCCTCTTGGAGATCCCCTCGAATCTGTGCTGCAAGTGGATGGGACCCGGGTGGTTCATTCCCCTGATCAGCTTCCTCTTCGGTGTCACGTCTCTGGCCACCGCCTGGGTCCGCACCACGTCCCAGATGTCGGCTGTTCGTTTCCTGTTGGGCATCTTCGAGGCTGGCATGATGCCTGGAATAGCCTACTACATGTCTCGCTGGTATCGGAGATCCGAGCTCGCCTTCCGCCTATCGCTCTACATTGTCATGTCGCCCCTGGCCGGTGCCTTTGGTGGCCTGCTGGCCTCGGCCATCCTGTCCCTCGACCACTTTGGTGGCCTGCACTCATGGCGCATGATTTTTGCCGTCGAGGGCATCGTCACTGCTGGCCTCGGTATCATGAGCTTCTTCACCCTGACCGACCGTCCTGAGACGGCGCGCTGGCTCACCCCCGAGGAGAAGAGACTGGCTGTTACCCGCGTCAAGTCGGAGCGTGTCGGCACCTCGGTCGTCCTTGACAAGATTGATAAGGTCAAGCTGTTCCGTGGCATAATGTGCCCCGTCACGCTGAGCACCTCGCTCATCTTCTTGCTCAACAACGTCACCGTCCAGGGTCTGGCCTTCTTTTTGCCTACCATTGTTAGCAGCATCTACGCCAACGCTTCGACCATCCACCTACAGCTGCACACGGTCCCCCCTTACATAGTGGGAGCCTTCTTCACTGTCTTCTTCCCCTTGCTCAGCTGGCGTCTGAACCACCGTCAGATCTTCTTCGTCCTGTCCGCCCCCATGATCATGGTCGGCTACTGCATGTTCCTTGGCTCAGAGAACCAGAGCATCCGCTACGGTGCCACCTTCCTCATCGCTTCGTCGGCCTTCTGCATGGGCTCCCTAACAAACGCCCAGGTCTCGGCCAACGTCGTCAGCGATACGGCTCGCAGCGCTGCCATCGGCACAAACGTCATGTTTGGCAACATTGGCGGGCTCATCAGCTGCTGGGCCTTTTTGCCCACAGATGCTCCCAACTACCACATAGGTAACGGTCTCAACCTCGCCACCTCGGGATCCATCCTCATCCTGAGCTCCCTGACTCTTCTCTGGATGAATAAGGACAACATAAAGCGCAGCCAGCGGGATCTTGACACTGAGCTGGCTGGACTGACCCAGCAACAGATCGAGGATCTGGATTGGAAGCACCCTGGATTCCGTTGGCGTCCCTGATTTCTCTAAGAACATCTGCTTTTATATTTTACACCTTTGTTTCTTACATATCGTCCCTTCCTTATGATATATTATGTCGGTTTTTTAGATACCCGCATTCTCTAGAGGTAAAGCGTTCTACGCGATAAATGTACTCTTATTCTCATTTAAGAGCTTAGGAATTTATCCATCTTGATTGATAGCTCGACTTATGACCCTGAGGGAAAATCCATGTCGATCAACATCTTCCCCTCTGACCTTGAAAACCCTTGTTGATCAATCACTTCACCGTCAGCATCACATGTATACCATTGAAACTAGGACTGTTTCTCTATAAGCAATACCAGCTGAGTTCCCAAACATCTCTACTCCCTCTGTGCGCATCATGCCTACTCTCGACTCACGAGTGGCGATGATGCCGTTGAACTCAGCAGTTGTGGCCTTGAGCCACCCCGCCGCGTGACGAAGTTGAGCTGTCGTGCTCGGGATCAGACGGGCACCGTCTACATGGAAGTGTAGCCAGGCAAGTGAGATGACCAGAGCGGGTTAGGTTGATGAAGGCCATTTGAGTGCTACGAGGAGTATGACAATATACCATGGAAGGATAAGTTATAGACACGCCGCTACGAAGAGGCCCGTCATGCCGGCTCGGGCGATGTGTTGATCAGAGCCTGTACGGTGGGGTGATTGTGTGGTTCATCTTCAGTTATTACGATGCACGGCGTTATGATGATGGTGAAGGGAAATTTCTGTAAAATCATATGATCACAGGAGAAAATGGGGGACGGTAATGAGGGCATCGACTCCCACACTCTGGCAGACATCGACATACGTCATATTCTAGGAAAAGTTCAAGATGCACTTATGATCGCAGGTTCCAAGTTCTTTAAAAATTTTCAACCTTACTAATTCGTCGTATTCAAGCGGCATCAGTAGGGTCCCTGTATAGACACTCGTTAGCAACTGCTTGCGCAGTTGATAGACGGAAATAGAGAAGGAACCAGAAAGAGCGTACCAGTCCGTGACGAGTTTCTCATCCAGTCCATCAAGCACGGCCATATCCTCGGCCGAAATCTCAAACCAGTCAACACTCGCATTCTCAACGAGCCTCTCGCGCTTCGTGCTCTTGGGCAGCGTCACCATGTCGTGCTGCAGGCTCCAGCGGACGAACAGCTGCGCAGGGCTGCACGTGTACTTGCCCGCCAGCTGGACAATGGTCGGGTGGCGCATCCTCATGCCCCTGGCGAGCGGGGCGTAGGCCTCGATGACAATGTTGTTTGCGGCGCACGTCTCTCTGATGGCCGTCTGCGTGTTGAATGGGTGGACTTCAATTTGGTTGATGACGGGTTTGATACGTGGGTTGGAGGCGACAAGTTCGTTGATCTAGGTACACACAGACAAGAGTCAGTAATGAGAAAAAATTGGAAAGGGGGGGTGGAGGGACATACATGCTTGACACCGTAATTGCTCACACCACCCATCCTAATCTCCCCCGCGTCAATGGAATCCTCGACAGCCCTCCAGCTCTCGAGACGAGCGTGCCGCCCTCCGTAGGGACTGTGCAGAAGGAAGAGGTCGATATATCCTAGACCACACACGTCCACGGATCGCCTGATCGACCGGCGCACGGAGTCGTACGAGTCGCTGTTACTCGCCAGCTTGGATGTGTAGAAGATATCCTGCCGCGTGAGGCCCGTCGTGTTGTTAGCGCTGCTGGAGAGGAACTTGGTGATCGCCCCGCCCGCCTCGGCCTCATTGTCGTACATCTGCGCGCAGTCGAATGCGCGGTATCCCACTGATAGGGCCCACGGGATGGCTCTCTTGGCTTCCACCCCCGACATCATGTAGAGACCCAGTTGGACTTGGGGGATTGCAAGCCCGTTGGGGAGCTGCGCGCCATACAAATCGTCGTCAATCTCAATCATCAGTCAAGTCATCTGCAGACAGCGGAATACTTACCGTCACTCGAGACGCTAGGAGCGGCGGAGTAGATGGAGCCATGGTGCTATTCTTTCTAGTAATGTGCGAGATGTATTGAGTACATGTATACTCTTGATACTTGATGTTTCTGTCAAGATGCTCGAGTGGGGCCCGGAGAGCTCGAGGGCGGGGTGATAGCATCATGGACCGCGGCGGCATATTATTACTATTCAACGTCAGGCCAACGCCAGGCCAACGCCATAACAAGATCAAGAAGAATTTTAAAATAGTGAACCAAGATGCAACAATACCTAGCTTGCGTAGATATGTGTGATAATGTTACATCTATACACGAGAAACAAAAAACATAAAATCCAAAGGCTTGCCCAACATGAAAAATAAGTGATACACGTAATTCAACAGGTACAACCAATGCCGCACAAGAGACACCTCATCAAATGTCTACCCCTCAAAATTAATGTTTCCCTTCGCTCTATACCACCCCCATCAAAGAAATCCGGAGAAATCAGGTCCTGGAAACCCTGATGCGTTGGGGTGCACGTTATAAAATTCACTCGGCCACTCATGTCCATGTGGCACCCTCATGTCTGTAGTGGGATCGACAGTGAAGTCGTGTATCGGGTAGGCATATCCTGAAGCAGCCCAGGCCTGGACATCGTCGACTGGGGCTAGGGTCCCTGTGCTCGCAGTCATTGAAGAAGTTGGTGTCGACCTCACTACGGGGGTAGGAGGCATAGATATCACTGGTACGAGACTCGGGTATGAAGACCTGTTTAGCGACTGAGCAGACCCCCTGTTGCTTCCGGCAACACTGCCGCTTTCCTCAGATAGCTCGTCGGTGATGACAACTCCAGAATCTGGACGGGGGGCCAGCTCCTTGGATACTCGCTGCCGTGGAAGCGAATTCATCGCTGTTGACGGCTGTTCGCCAGCACGCTTGCTGCTCCGGTTGGCATATGGCTTGCTCTGGGCCTCAAAGACGCATTGGTCTACCGACTCCACGAAGCATTGGTGGAACTTCGTCGCCAATGTCTCCAAAGTTGCCGGGTTGGACATGCTGCCTATGAGCGATGAGTGGAGGGAGGCAAAGGCTGATAGGTACGATTTTGAAAGCTCGAAATGTTCGATGATAGGCGTGAAGTCTGCCAATACTGTTAGCAAGAAGGCTTTGTCTTGAAGGGTTCGGCTCTATGGGGAGCCTTACGGTGTGTGGGCACGTCGTGATCATTATCGTCAGGGAACACAATGTTCCACACCTCTCTCCACTGCACCTCGACAGATGTCCCGCTAGCTCTCTTGCGGCTTAGGAGTTTAACTGATGTGGAAGCATCGATACCAGACTCGGCATCGTGATCGGCAATCTCGCACATTTGGTCCCGGGGCAGACGCTGGTGCTCTCGCAGCTCCTTTCGCGTCGCAAAATCACGGTTGCACCGGCCACATACGAACGCTGAAGGGTCATCTCTCTTGTGCTGTTTGACAATGTGTTGTCTGCATCAAACTATCATGAGCAAATATCCTCGGAACGGAAGCAGAAAAAACATGGGGGAACATACCGAAGCTCTGCAAATTTGGGAAAATATGTCATGGCGCACGAGTGATGGTCCCTCACATTGAACCGCGAGGGGTTCCTCTTCCTGTAGGGGCAGCTCAATCGCAGGTTCTCCTCATCCTTGGGGCTGGGGCGCTGTCTCTTGGCGGGCACTGCTGCTTTCTCATCTTCATCGCTGCACTCATCATCATCATCTCCTGGCTCGCCACTGCCACCACCTCCAGCCTGCTTCTTTCGCTTACCACTGCCGCGGAAGTTGCCGTCACCAGCAGGCGTCCCTGTATTGATAACTGAGTTTGTAGACGTGGGCCTATTGTTTGATGCCTGTGTTCCAGGCGATGACTGCCAAATCATGGGGCCAAGGTCACGGACAAACTTGCCCGCAAGCTCATGCGCCCCGGCTGGCGCACTCGCCAGATCGAGTCCATATGAGAGCTGGAGGGCAAAGTCCAGGACTGCCTCTGCGTCCTCGTCCACGGAATCGTTTGATTGTATAGACTGTGTCTCTGATATATCGTCCCGCATGGGCAACGGGGTTTCAGGTGTTGGGATGATTTCAACTGGTTCGTTGTCGCTATGTTCCATTGGTGCTGACTTTTCTCTGTCCCGTGCCCAAACGCCAATATCTCCCAGAACCAACTGTTCTGAACCGACCGCGCTCGCCTTGTTATAAGGATAGGGGTATCGCATGTAGGAGAATTCGTCTTCTTCGTTTACGAGTGTGGAGCAAGTCGCACTGGAAGGATTATGGCGATGCATGCTCCTGCGCTTAGGCGGTGACACGAGAGGTTCCGGCGACTCGGTCACGAATCCAGAGCTGACAGGACTGGTCATGTTCGGAAACGATAGAGTCGTCGCCGAGTCTGTGAAGCTGCTTGTAGTTTTCATCGATGATTCCGTAGGCGAGCGAAGGCGACTGTGGCCTTGAACCATGAGAGGGCATGGCTTGACCATATCTGGCCGACTAAAGCCTTCCTGGAACCCAGAGAGCTTATGATTGAGCTCCTGAGTCGGGGTATCGGGACTCTTGCGCATGCGCAGCGGCAAGGCACTCATCGGTGCGAATGAGGCCGCCTCATGGTTGGGCGCCATCGTGGGCCTAAGTCTGTTGCGAAGCCTTGTCGCAAGTCGAATTCAATATCGAAGGTGGAGTCGCAGGATTCTCCTGTAAATATTTTGATTGTTGTAAACTCCAGAAAAGACCGTCGCGTCCGGCTGCCAATCCGACATGTTCATAGAGTAAATGGGAACAAGGAGAAGAGGGGGGGGGAGGGGGGGATGTCATTCAATACAGGCACCGGTAACGAACGCTCTTCATCAGCTCAGCTCATGCACGCCCCCCACGCCTTTCCACTTAGATACGGAGTGACAGCAGTATGCAGGACATAGGGGGCAGGCGTTTCTCCAGGCTGACAGGGCCTCTCTCCCCTCCCCTTGTTGACTCCCACCTCGTCTGGCGCATGTGCTTGCCTATCGTTGCACAGGACGGATTGAATCAGAAGTGGTGTGTGTTGCTGCTGATTCGTTCATGACAGCCGCATCTGCATTGTTGATGGCGTGTGGCCCGCAACGGCATCAGACACACAGCCCTACAGTTCCCATATTGAGCCATATTGAATGACCAGAACAGGCCTGTCGTTGATCGTCGGTAATCTTCGAAGTATCACTATTACTCTGTGTACTGATCAATTGCCGAACTCGACTCGTCCAAAAGGTGCAACTCGCGACTCCGGGCTCATGTTTCAGGTTGCAGGATTCGGATGACCCAAATAATCTACGAGTCTGGACCGCCGGGGTTTTGATGGTGGGGCATCATGGTAAGGATTACGAGAACGTTCCCTCTGACAGCGATCAACGGCCGGGGAAGTAGGTTCGACGGGGTTCATCGCTACGACGTAAGGGTGCATATCTAGTTGGCATCTGCTGTGATGTTAAGCGACTGTAATTATGTTAGTAGAATGCAATCAAATATGTATAAAAAACCATGAAGTAAAAAAAAAAGGGGAAGGTGCCCCCCCCAGGTCTTGCCCCGCTCGCATAGTAACTTAATTAGTTTTGATACAATGGTCAATGTCCTTTTGTTTGTATGTAGCACTGCATGTTTTGTTTGGTTTTCTATTTTTGATACGGGAGTATCACAAAAAGTCTCAGTCACGGTCCTGATATAAAAACAGAGAAGTATCTGCCGATCGAAAAAAATCGTCAAGTTCGTGCTTGAAAACGTGAGAAAAATGGACGAACAGGGAATCGAACCCTGGACCTTTCCCAAGTGGAGATCGAGAGATCTAACGATGCTAAGGGAAAATTATACCACTAAACCATTCGCCCAATGATGAATGAAGAGGGAGGAACTCCAGATATGAGTGAATCCTGTATCTAGCAATTGCATTGGTCCGTTCATGTACAGCAGGATCGATGTGGCGGTTGCCTTCAGTGACACAAGGACATGGAGCGGTGCCCGCGCAATTTTTTCTCTTCTACTCCAATGACAGCCTACAAAGTCTAGCCCCAGTTCCGAAATTGAGACTGCGTTCGCTCTTTGGCAATGGGCTGCGGCAAGAAGCGACTGTACGTTGCGCTTTACCCCAGTAGGGTGTCGAATAACGAGGAGAGAAGGTAAAGTAGCTGGGGCACGCTCGTGCAGACATCAAAAGGGAATCTGACAGCGAGCCCATCGTTCTCAAAGGTATTACTAGGGCTTTGTTATCGGCCAAAAAGTCGAAAAGGAGTCTACTTTGGCTGGGATGAAGTACCACGCAAAGAATCGTCCGATAACCGGTTGGATATACGAAGAAGCTGCCCTGCCAAACATACAAAACTCCGGCAATCTCCTGGCTCGCCTCCTGATCGGCAATATCCAAGACGAGAAGCGGCTTGTTGAAGTGTCCCGCACGGCGCCCCTCATCCAAGGCCGACGCGAATGGAACTGTCGACCCTGGGTCGCAGGAGTGCTGGAGGGGATTGCAAAAGATGGCAAAGCAGTTGGGACTTCGGTGCTGGACCGGACCGTGATTGAGCAGAAGGGTCGTGACTACGTAGGCAAAAAGATGGCGGCTGGACGGTATGCAACAATGGAACGCCTTGAATCATCGCTGAGGCTGATATATGATATGCTTCGGAATCAAGAGATTTTTTGCTTAGCTCGGCCACTGATATTGTATGCTATTTATTGTTCGTACGTTATGGCTGCAAGGGTATATCTATCCAGACACGTTCTTGCGCGCTTATTTGAGGCGGGTGTGGCAGTAAGCCGGTTCTAGAATGGCATGAATAGGCAAACCGGCCCAGGGCTTGATGGCGTGGTTTTTAATGATTCTGGAGGTGGAATCTGTGCCGAAGGCAAAATCCCGATGCACGCCGACGGGGCTGCCTTGAGACCGTATATTGTAATATGGAACCGAGAGTCTTTGTTGGCATCAGGAGGCCCGTTGGAAGCAGTGGGTGGCCTCTTCTAGCCATCGATGAGGTCCACAACTTGTGTGGTCGCCAGAAATGCAGGCATTCTACATCGGGACGTTCAGGTCTTTGCAGATTCACCGTGCCTGTGAGCCGGCTCAGAAGCCAACTTACGCCGCTTGTTTTTTTCTTCTTGCTCTGCAAGCACCTTGGCAGTCAGAGACGCTGCCAGGGGGTTGTTGATGTTACCCTGGTTCCGCGAGTCATTCTTCTTGCTCGTACTGTTTGGCCCAGTTTGCTTCTGTCTGAGGCCGTCACCTTCCCCATCGGCCTTGTCATCATTCGCCTTTCGCTTCTTCTTCTTCTCAGACTTGTCTTTCTTCAATGTGTGCGTGAGGCCAGCGGCACGCAGAGTGTCCCTCCTCTTTACCAGACGATCGACCTCTTCTCGTTTCGTCGGTAAAATGTCAATGACGTTATCGCTAGTAAAGGGCTCGGCACACTCAGGGCAAGCCGTGTCCGAAATTTCCTTGATGGCAACCTCGGCAAAAACGTGACCACAAGGAATGAGGTACACGGCCTTGGTCGAAGGGCCCATCTCCTTCATGGAAATGGGACAAACCCACTTGTCGCTGTTCTTAGAGAACTTGAGCTTGGCCACATCGCGTAGCGAGCGGATGCCCACCGATTGGGGCGTGGCGGCAGTTGTCTCAGGGTCGTCCGAGGGCACAAGGCCGTTGAGTACGTATTCGTAGCTGTACAGACGGCCGCGCCAGTCAGAAACGACGGACTCTAGATCGATGGGGTCGCCGCTGAGGGCGCAGTGCTCCCAAGCATGGCCGAGCGATTCGAGTACCGTAGCCTTGAGCTCCGAGATAGTCGGAGCGCGGGCGGCGTCCTTGACAAGCTCTCGGCGCGTAGGAATGGAACCGCCATCATTGCCCATGACTATTGAAACGGAAGTGGGACTGTGAGTCTGTTGGGCGGGTGGTCCTCGTTGATATGTGAGCTTGTGTAATGACAGATACGACGTAGGTTCATACACCGTATTATCACTGTTGATAACGGCTACAGCAAAAACTTGGGGTTGGTGATAGAAACAATTTGTACAGACTGCGGGTTTATTTATTATGTAAACATGTATTTCTTTTTGACCCTCTTCTCAGCCTCATGATGGGGTCCATTGCACATCATGTGATTGGCCAACTCACATTTCCTAACCTAGCGGCGCAGCTTGCACCTTATGGGTTCTGGGCGACAACCAAACCAAAAGCATCAGGTGATCTTGATCACGTCCCTCTCTTCCCAACTTGAATCTGCCTTTTTCAAAGACGGCGGCTTAGTACATCTATTTACTCTCACCTTGGGGCTGTACTATTCCTCATCGTTTATGCTACGACTCCGTTCTGTGTCGCCCGCGAAGTCTCTTCACGCCAACTTGCCAGCTCTCCATTGCGGCGACGATTCAAACCCAACATCCGCGACGACGAGAGGCGAAGCTATATATATAGCACATGACGTACTGATTCATAGGAGAAGAGCGCCCGTAAGGGGACGATGGCGCACCCACAGCAGCAGATCGCCTTGGAGCGACTGGAGATTATAACGCGCGGATTACGCTCCCGGTTCGTGTTCGCCCCCTCCTCCCGCCTCTGGGAGCCCATCAGTCGACATACTAACAATGCTCCAGGTCTGGCGATGATTCTCGCAAGAGATCCGCGCTTCAAATGCGCGAGCTCGTGGCTGTATGCCATCGAGGTGAGATACAGGCAGTGCAGTCCGATTGCCCCCTCACCTAGTATTGACTTCCGTTGCTACAGACATGAACGCCGAGCAGTTCATCACATTCTACAATGCCGTCAACAACAGAATCACGCAGCTCATTACCCACGGAAACGACTCTTTCGAACGATTGGGCGGAATTTATGCTCTCGATGCCTTGGCCGACTTTGACGGTGTCGACATAGCTGCCAAATATACGCGCTTCACACAAAACCTCAAAACAATATTGCGGGGGAAAGACATCAACCCTATGCAGCCCGCAGCCATTGCACTCGGAAAGCTCTGCCGCCCCGGAGGCTCCATGATTTCCGAACTTGTAGACTCCGAGGTCAATACTGCCTTCGAATGGCTCCAGAACGACCGAGTCGAAGAACGACGATACAGCGCCGTGCTCGTCCTACGTGAACTTGCCCGCAATGCCCCTACCCTCATGTACCAGTATATACCCACGATTTTTGACTGGATATGGGTCGGCCTCCGGGATCCAAGGCAGCTCATTCGCGTTACATCTGCAGAGACTGTCAGTGCTGCCTTCAAGATCATCCGCGAGCGAGATCAGGAAATGAAAGAGATATGGATGAACAAAATATACAACGAAGCGAGACAGAGCCTCAGATATGGAACTGTCGAATCCATCCACGGCTCATTGCTTGTCTTTAAGGAGCTTTTGGAGCAGGGCGCCATGTTCATGCAAGAGCATTATCAGCAGACCTGTGACATTGTCTTCAAGCACAAAGATCACCGGGACCCAACTATTCGCAAGACCGTCGTTATTCTCATCCCCGACCTGGCCAGTTACTCCCCCACTGAATTTGCTCACTCTTGGCTCCATAAGTTCATGGTGTACCTCTCCGGCATGCTGAAGAAGGACAAGGAGCGTAACGACGCCTTCTTGGCCATTGGTAACATTGCCAACTCAGTTAAGAGCGCCATTGCACCGTATCTTGACGGGGTCCTCATCTATGTTCGCGAGGGCCTGAGCGTCCAATCGCGGAAGAGAGGCACTGTCGATCCAGTTTTTGATTGTATCAGCCGCTTGGCTGTTGCTGTCGGCCAAACGCTCAGCAAGTACATGGAGGCGCTGCTCGATCCTATCTTTGCATGTGACCTAACGCCAAAGCTCACCCAAGCCCTGGTTGACATGGCCTGGTACATTCCACCCGTCAAGCCGACAATCCAAGAACGACTGCTGGATATGCTGAGCATTGTCTTGTGCGGCGAGCCCTTCAAGCCCCTTGGAGCCCCCCAGCCCAACACGTTGAATTCGGTCCCCATCATTGCCAAGGACCCTAAGGACCCCCAGGTGTACGAGCACCGGAAGGCCGAGGTCAAGCTGGCGCTTAACACTCTCGGCAGCTTCGACTTTTCCGGACATGTGCTCAACGAGTTTGTGCGTGATGTAGCTATCAAGTACGTCGAAGACGAGGACGCCGAGATAAGGGAGGCAGCAGCTCTTACTTGCTGCCAACTCTACGTGCGAGATCCGATTGTCAACCAGACAAGCTACCACGCTCTCCAGGTTGTTGGTGATGTCATAGAGAGGCTCTTGACTGTTGGTGTGTCTGATCCCGACCCTAACATTCGACGCACTGTACTTGCTGCCCTGGATGAGCGCTTTGATCGACACCTCGCTAAGGCCGAAAATATTCGCGTCCTCTTCTTTGCGCTCAACGACGAAATCTTCTCCATCCGGGAAGTCTCAATCAGCATTATTGGACGTCTGGCTCGCTACAACCCAGCCTACGTCATCCCTTCTCTTCGCAAGACGCTTATTCAGATGCTCACCGAGCTTGAGTTTTCCGATGTTGCCCGCAACAAGGAGGAGAGCGCCAAGCTTCTCAGGCTTCTCGTACAAAATGCGCAGGCCCTCATTAAGCCCTACGTGGATCCTATGATTTCGGTGCTTCTGCCAAAGGCGAGCGACCCCAACCCAACAGTTGCTGCTACCATTCTCGAAGCTATCGGTGAACTGGCCACTGTCGGTGGTGAGGACATGCTCCAGTACAAGGATCGCCTCATGCCAATCATCATTGATGCCTTGCAAGACCAGAGCTCCAACACCAAAAGGGAGGCTGCTCTCCATGCACTTGGCCAACTCGCAAGCAACTCGGGCTACGTTATTGAGCCGTACCTCGAGTATCCTCAGCTCCTAGAGCTTCTCCAGAGTATCGTTCGTACTGAGGGTCATGTTATCCCTCTGAGGCAAGCAACGATCAAGTTGATGGGTATTCTGGGTGCCTTAGACCCCTACAAGCATCAGGTTTGTCTCACTTGGCCCTTTGCTGCGTTACATTGTTCTAACCCTTTTTTTTCTTTCGCTGTATAGCAGGTCGAGGAGCGAAGCCCTGATAACCAAAAACGAGCCGACTCTAGCCCCATCACGGATATCTCCCTGATGATGACGGGCTTAACCCCTTCCAACAAGGAGTACTACCCAACAGTGGCTATAAATGCTCTGCTTCAGATACTCAAGGACCAGTCCCTCGTACAGCATCACGCTGCTGTCGTCGAAGCAATCATGAACATTTTCAGGACATTGGGCCTCGAATGTGTGTCGTTCCTCGACCGCATTGTGCCCGCCTTCCTCATGGTTATCCGGTCAGCAAGCGCCACCCGAACCGAGTCCTACTTCAACCAGCTCGCGACATTGGTTGGTATTGTCCGCCAACACATCAGGAACTACCTGCCCGACATTGTTGAGGTGATTCAGGAGTACTGGGCCTCTTCGACCTCGATGCAGGCCACCATACTCCTGTTGATAGAATCTATCTCTCGGTCGTTGGAAGGAGAGTTCAAGATCTATCTGGCTGGCCTACTCCCGCTCATGCTAGGAGCCTTAGAGAAAGACGTCACAGCTAAGAGGTCGACGTCCGACCGAATCCTGCACGCTTTCCTTGTCTTTGGTGCCAGTGCTGAGGAGTACATGCATCTGATCATTCCGGTCATCGTCAGGACTTTTGAGAAGCAAGGGCAGCCAACCTTTATGCGAAGGTCAGCGATTGACGCGATTGGCAAGATTTCTCGGCAGGTCAATCTCAATGACTTCGCCGCCAAGATCATTCACCCCTTGACACGTGTTCTCGACGTCGGCGATGCATCCCTCCGACTTGCCGCCCTGGACACTCTATGTGCGCTTATCCAACAACTTGGCAGGGACTATCTCCACTTCATGGGTACCGTCAACAAGGTCCTCAGCCAACACCAAATTCAGCACCAGAACTATGATCTTCTTGTTACCAAGCTGCAGAAGGGCGAGGTTCTTCCGCAAGATCTCAGTTCCGAGTCTCGATTCGCCGATGGCGTGGATGAGCCAGCCCTCGCTGATTTGCAAGGAAAGAAGCTTGAGATGAACGCCATCCATCTCAAGACGGCGTGGGATACCCGCGGCAAGTCAACCAAGGAGGATTGGCAAGAGTGGCTCCGCCGTTTCAGTATCACATTATTAACCGAGTCCCCCAACCACGCTCTGCGGGCATGTGCATCCCTGGCGAGCGTTTACCTCCCTTTGGCTCGCGATCTCTTCAACTCTGCCTTTGTATCCTGCTGGAGCGAGCTTTACGAGCAGTTTCAAGAAGAGCTGATCCAAAACATTGAGAGTGCCATTAAGTCTGAGAACGTCCCCCCTGATCTACTTGGACTGCTGTTGAACCTGGCCGAATTCATGGAGCACGACGACAAGGCTCTGCCCATTGATATCCGCGTTCTTGGCAGGGAGGCTGCACGATGCCACGCCTATGCCAAGGCGCTCCACTACAAGGAGCTTGAGTTCCTCCAAGACCAGAGCAGTGGCGCGGTGGAGGCGCTGATCGTCATCAACAACCAGCTGCAGCAGTCTGACGCGGCTATTGGTATCCTTCGCAAGGCCCAGCTCTACAAGGAGGGTATTCAGCTACGAGAGACTTGGTTTGAGAAGCTGGAGCGCTGGGAAGAAGCCCTCGCTTTCTATACGAAGCGCGAAGCCGAAATTCCCGAAGACAAGCCAACCCCTCTTGAGATAGTCATGGGCAAAATGCGCTGTCTGCACGCCCTTGGCGAGTGGGATGCACTGGCAGACCTGACGAGTACGACCTGGGCCAACTCAGCGGATGAGGTGCAGCGCAAAATTGCGCCTCTAGCCACAGCCGCAGCCTGGGGTCTGGGCAAGTGGGACACCATGGACACGTACCTCTCGTCGCTTAAGCGTCAGTCGCCTGATCGTGCCTTCTTCGGTGCCATCCTCGCTGTGCACAGGAACCAGTTCCGGAAGGCTGTTGCGTGCGTGGAACAGGCTCGCGAGGGGCTGGATACCGAGCTGAGCGCCCTCGTCAGCGAATCCTACAACCGCGCCTACGAAGTCGTAGTCCGCGTTCAGATGCTTGCCGAGCTGGAGGAGCTCATCGTCTACAAGCAGTGCGATGCCAAGAAGCAGGCGACGATGCGCAAGACATGGGAGACGCGCCTCAAGGGCTGCCAGCGCAACGTTGAAGTTTGGCACCGCATGCTTCGTCTGCGCGCTCTGGTCATTTCCCCTACCGAAAACATGCATATGTGGATCAAGTTTGCGAATCTGTGCCGCAAGTCAGGGCGTGTTGGTCTGGCCGAGAAGTCACTCAAGCAGCTGATCGGCACTGACAAGAGCCTGGAAACTATCATTCCGTACTGGGAGGAGACGCAGCCATTGGTGCCGCAGCAGCAGCCGCAGCCGCAGCCTCAGCTTCGCAATATCCCCGCTCAGGTCATCTACGCCGTTCTCAAGTACGAGTGGGAGATTGGCCAGCAGCCAGGTCACCGCACGTCCGGTACTGCGGAAAAGACACTCTACTGTCTGCGCAAGTTTACCAACGACTCGGCCCATCGCCTGGATGTGGCTAAGGCCCACCTCACAGCCCAGACAGGGAGTGACATTGCTTTCTCTAATGACTACGGGTTCCCAGACTATGTGGACCCAGCTATCATGAACCCACGCGCCCACAAGGCTCTCCACGACCAGACAGTCCTCCTGGCCAAGTGCTATCTGCGCCAGGGCGAGTGGCTGGTGAGCCTGAACAGCGAGGACTGGCAGGAGACACATCTGGATGATGTTCTCAGCTCGTACTCGCAAGCCACCAAGTTCAACCCCAGATGGTACAAGGCGTGGCACGCATGGGCCCTGGCCAACTTTGAGATTGTGCAGCAGCTTTCGGCTAAGAACGAAGGCCACCTGTCTCGGGCGGACCAGAGCCTCGTCATCGATCATGTTGTGCCGGCGATCCAGGGCTTCTTCAAGTCGATCGCTCTCTCTGCAGGCAGTTCACTCCAAGACACACTTCGACTGCTGACGCTTTGGTTCGCGCATGGTGGTAGCCCTGAGGTGACTACAGCTGTGACCGAGGGGTTTGCCAATGTCACGGTGGATACGTGGCTCGAAGTTATCCCGCAACTCATTGCTCGCATCAATCAGCCTAACAGGCGGGTGCAGAACACTGTGCATGGGCTCCTTGCCGACGTGGGCCGGGCTCATCCCCAGGCCCTGGTCTATCCCCTCACTGTGGCGATGAAGTCGTGGAAGAACACGCGCCGGTCTCGATCGGCTGCTCAAATCATGGACAGCATGCGCCAACACAGCGCCAATCTCGTCGCACAAGCGGAGTTGGTCAGTCATGAGTTGATCCGCGTGGCCGTTCTGTGGCACGAATTATGGCATGAGGGCCTAGAGGAGGCATCACGCCTATATTTTGGTGATAAGAACATTGAAGGAATGTTTGCGACGCTGGAACCTCTCCACGAACTGTTAGAGCGCGGCCCCGAGACACTACGGGAGATATCGTTTGATCAGGCCTTTGGCCGAGATCTTAAGGAGGCTCACGAGTGGTGCCAGCAGTATAGGAGAAGCGGCGATGTCAATGACCTCAACCAAGCCTGGGACTTGTACTACCAGGTTTTCCGCAGAATTTCTCGACAGCTGCCCCAGGTCACGTCGCTCGAACTCACTTACTGCTCGCCTAAGCTGCTCAGTGCCAAAGACCTTGATCTCGCAGTCCCCGGCACGTACCGTAGCGGACAGCCCATTGTTAGTATCACGTCGTTTGATTCGACCTTTACCGTCATCAACTCGAAGCAGCGGCCCAGGAAGTTCACCTCCCACGGCAGCGATGGTGTGGCTTACGCCTTCCTGCTCAAGGGGCACGAGGATATCCGACAGGATGAGCGTGTCATGCAGCTGTTTGGCCTTTGCAACACGCTTCTTTCCAACGACACTGAGTGCTTCAAGCGACACCTCAACATTCAGCGGTTCCCGGCCATTCCGCTGTCGCAGAACTCGGGTCTGCTCGGCTGGGTGCCTAACAGCGACACTCTCCATGTACTCATCCGCGAATACCGTGAGAGCCGCAAAATCCTCCTCAACATCGAGCATCGCATCATGCTGCAAATGGCTCCTGACTATGACAACCTGACGCTGATGCAAAAGGTAGAGGTCTTTGGCTACGCGCTCGACAACACTACGGGCCAGGATCTCTACCGTGTCCTGTGGCTCAAGTCCAAGTCGTCGGAGGCCTGGCTTGAGCGTCGCACGAACTACACGCGCTCGCTGGGTGTCATGTCCATGGTAGGATATATTCTTGGTCTAGGTGACCGCCACCCATCTAACCTCATGTTGGACCGCATCACTGGCAAGATTGTGCACATTGATTTCGGTGACTGCTTCGAAGTGGCCATGAAGCGCGAGAAGTACCCGGAGCGTGTTCCATTCCGTCTGACGCGCATGTTGACGTACGCCATGGAAGTCAGCAACATTGAGGGCAGCTTCCGTATTACATGCGAGCAGGTCATGCGCGTTCTGAGGGAGAACAAGGAGAGTATCATGGCGGTTCTTGAAGCTGTTAGTTTCCTTCTCTCTTTCTCGTTCTAGTCGCCCTCATCTCCCTCTTTAACAAGGCATAAACTAACGACCTGTCATTTTAGTTCATCCACGATCCTCTTCTCACGTGGCGCCTAACCAACGCCGCATCGCCAACGGGTCCCAACTTCCGGTCAGAGCGGGAAGATGCCTTGGTGGGGCCGACTGCAGGTGCCAACGGTGCAGCGGGCGGCAGGCGCCACTCCGTGCTGGAGGGGGACATCGCCCCCTCGGAGCTCATTGCCTCCAATGGCGACTCTAACCTCCCTACCAGCCGTGGACGGGCCCGTACTAACAGCACCACGGCGACGGGCCCCGTGACAGACAGCGGTAGCGTCCTGGGCAATGGTCTGGCCCCCGTGCAGGAGGCCGAATCACAGAACTCGCGGGCCGTTGAGGTTCTCGACCGTGTGCAACAGAAACTCACAGGTCGTGATTTCAAAACCAACGAGGAGCTCGACGTCATTAGCCAGGTCAACAAACTCATCATAGAGGCAACCAAGTTGGAGAATCTATGTCAGCACTACATTGGTTGGTGTAGCTTCTGGTAAATGGCTGTTGTGAGAACTAAGGGGGGGGGTTAATAGTATGTGATAGTCTTGTTGAAGGACGGAGGGGGGCGGGCATTGAACTGGGGTATATATGTTTTGCTGCAGCTGCTCTTTCGGCGTTTGACTATAGAAAGCAGTTTTCTTCTTGTTCCTCCTATTATTATTTTCCTCCATCCTCATCTTTTGAATAGCGTTTCTTTTTTCCTCTTCCTTTCTGCAGCAAACGAGTTGTAAAGATACAGTCTTGTTTTTGTACGAGTTTGATCGAGAGGAAACATGCCCAGGTTGTGACCATTCAAATTCTTCTAGGAGTGTATTCATTATTTTCTAGACAAAGTGTGACAAAAGTCATGGCATTCCAAAGTGAGGAGGCTAGGGTAAATCAGATTGAATAGCAAGTATATCGGGCAGTCTGACATGTAAAGGAAACCCGTGGGTAAACATCATTCACAGCTCATCCTTGCCGGCAGGCTTCTGTCCGTCAGCCGCAGGCTCGCAGGCAGCGGGAGTGCCAACCTCCATCCTGTAGACGCACTTCTCCATCTCGCTGATGCGCCAGAGCTCATCCGTCTCGGCGCAGCCGATCCAGACGTCGGTACGCCTCTTGGGGCCGTTCCAGCAGGCCTGACCGTTCTCGTAGCGCATCACCATGCGCTGGCCCTTGCCGAGGCTGCGGCCATCGAGGCGCTCCTCCTCGTCAGCGATTTCGAAATCGATACGCTCAAACGAACCCATGCCCGTGTTGCCGTGGCCCTTCTTGGACTTTTGCGACGTGCGGCCCAGCCAGCAGAGCTCGTACGTGTATTCGCCTGAATCCGTGCTGATGCACTGGTCCTTTAGGGCACGAAAGATGTCGTCGGGTCCGTAGTAGGTGCTCAGGTCGCTCGTCGTCTTCTCGAGGTCTTTATTTTTCTTCTTCAATTCCTTCTCAGCCGCTTCCTTGGCCTCGCGAGCAGCTTTGGTCAGATCAGACTCGGATCCGGGCGTGCCACCTGCCGACAGCATGCCATTCTGGATCAGCCACACGCGCAGCCCTGTCAGCTTGTCGTTGACAATTGTGCGCAGGAAACCCGGGAGGTAGGCTTGCCAGTCGTATACTGAGGGCCTGTTAGCGCTAACCTCGGATAAGAGAGAAGTTGGGTCCTTCTACTCACGGATGTCGGTATCGTCCTGGGCATCACCCGTCTCAAACTCCTTCCAGTTAATGCCGCTTGCTTCGCCATCGGCTTTGAGAACCTCGAGGATCGATGAGTCAGGGGTGCTGTCCAGGGCAGTATCAGTTCCGTCACGCGCGGCGTAGTCCTCGTACGACTTGACGGCAGACTTGACACCCTCGTCGTTGAAGTTGGGGTTGTATCCCCGCTTGAGCTTGGCCAGGATCGTCTCAAGCTCCTCGGCCCTAGCCTTGTACGTATCACGCTGACGGAGGACGCTGTCGAGGGTGTTACGGAGCTCCTCGACGCGGGCTTTGGCCACGCCCACCAGGACCCCCAGCTTGCCTCCCGGTCCTCCAGATCCTCCGGTCATCACCACCTTGGTCTTCTCCTGAAGCTCGACTTCCTCATACTTCTTTTTCAGGTCCGCAACCTTGATATCGAGCGCCTTCACCTCATCCGTGAGCGTGTACCATTGGGACTCGAGCCGGCGACGGAGCTCGGCTGCTTCGTTAGCCATGATCAGGCGCTTCTTACCAGCACGCTCCAGCTTGGCCTTCTTCTCGGCCTCCAGTCGTCTGTACTCCTTGCCAATTGACGTGCACTTATTCTCGCACTTTGTGCGGCCACCAAACTCCTCAGTGCCGTCGCAGCACAGTTCATAGTCACAGACACCGTCATTGACGAACGCGAAGGGGACGTAAGCGCCAATGTGGCCCTTATTTTCGCACCAGAAGCCGGGGATGGCGGGTGTCCTCTTGGTTGACCTGGCAGAAAATCCGGGGAATGGCTGCTCAGGGGACAGAGGGTCGAGGAGGGCGCAGGCTGCTGTGCCAGGCTCATCAGATCCATCTGGACAGTCGCAGGTGTTATCGTTGATTCGGTCGATGCTCAGCTTGATGGACGCATCGGTAATGCAGCTGAATTCCTCCTTGTCCTGATAATGCTCGGCAACTGGATGAATAGACAGAACAGGTCAGTTATAGCAAACAATCGTCTGATCATGGTCCAGGGATAAAGGCAACTCACACTCGGGGCTAACTCCACGGGGCAAGCTGCCGGCAGCTGCCACCGTAAGGGAGTGGACGGCATTGAGGAGCGCCAGGGAGCTGATCTGCCTCATCTTGGACAGGGAGACCAGAAACCAGAAGGGGTTATACCCGGCGAGAGAAGGGAGTAACGGCAATGGATAGAGAGGGATGATAAGAGATGGAGTGAAGCTTTACGGAAGCTTTGTTGGGATCTGGGCATTAGATCTAGAGCTCGTAGACCTTGGAGAATTGGAGCCACATCACCGCTGGCGGTTTGAAGTAAGACCCATAATTTACCTCCTGGGGAATAAGGAAGGGACGTCACAGGCGGTGGAGCTTTGTAACCCCCCCCCCCCCCAAAAAAAAAAAAAAGCCAGAAATCATTCATTTCTCCTCCTGCCCCTCCATTGCCCCTCCAAAAGATTTACCACTAGAATCATTGTCTATATTAAAAAGTCTACTGCCCTTGTCTATATTCTGTGTAGAGGAAAAGACTTTATCCACATAATCTCCATCTAGAGACCACGGGTCTTCCTTTACTCCAAACCGTCCCCGACCAAACCATGGGTCCAGGCAGCGATGCTTCGGGCCTTAGGAGCCTCGACTCGTTGATCGAGTCGTCCGTCTCGCTCCTCCAACAACTTCAAGTTGCCCTCGCCGAGATCCACAGCAATCCAAACACGCCCATACCTGACGCTGGGGAAGACAAGAACTCATCGGTAGACGCTATTGCTCTCGCTCGTGACGCAGCTTCTCTCGTCCGTGCCCACTCGACCAAACTGTCCCTGCTCATGATCAACGAGCCCTTCAGCTCCAAGGCTATCATATCCGTTCTTCGCGATCTCGCCAGTGGCCCGATACCTGGGCTGGCCTCATCTCTGCAGCAGTGCAAGCCCGAATACTACACGGCCGTTTTCAGAAAGGAGTTGGCGTGGCGTTGCCGCTCTGTCCTCTTGGAGCTGGCGCAACTGCTACAAAAGATCCCCACCAACGGCCAGGCCTTGTCCGGCCATCGGGAAGGGTTCGGTCCTGACGGAAAGGGAACGATTGCGCTTACTGGTGTCACATGGGCTACCTGTGATGATGTGGTCAAGCTATGTAACATGGGCGTTGGCGGTTTCTTTGCCCAAAAGGTCCAAGAGTGGAGGGACGTCCTCAGGGACACCATGGAGGAGCTCAAGGAATGGGGCGACGAGGAGGCCGAAGCCGATGATGACGACGACGTCGATTCCCTTGCCGACAAGCTCGAGGAAAGCCATATATCATCGACCCAGGACATGCTCGACGACCTCATGAACTCAACCTCTGCTATTCCCAAATCTGATCCCGAGAGCATTCGACCACGCCTCGAAACGACGCTCAAGCGCCTTCGGCTTGTCACTCTACTGTACCAGGCCATCATCAAGCGTCGCATAAAGAAGGTGCCATCTCTACCCGTAGCTAAAGATGCATCAGGACCGGCGGCAAGCATTGCCAATAGACTGGACGACGTGGCTCGGGTACTCAAGACGATACCCGATCGCTTCGGTGATCTTGCATGTGCCTTTTACGAGCTAGAGTCAGAGGAGATCGACTCGCTCATGGAGCAGTGCTCCCTGGACGCATTTGCGGCTGGTGAAATCCTGAACGAAAGCTGGGGAGGTGGACGGGATGAATTCTCGGAATGGGTGGAAAAGTTCCAAGAACAGGTCAAAGCAGAATAATGACGACTGAAAAAGGAGAATACAACGAATACGGCACTACGGAGTACAATTAATCAACCAGCATTCCACCGTCGACCGTTGACATGGGTGTGAGTGCAAATTGACTCATATTACCACACCAAATTTCCGTCCATATGACAATCGCATAAGCATAAGAAGTCGAGGCCACAAGAAAAGGCTTCGGGCGAAGTCTGCTTTAAACTAGCATTTCGTTTCGTTTCTCGCATGATCAATACTCAGTCGTGTCGTAAGCGAACCACTCAGCATCCACCATTTTTATTGAAATGTCCACTTCACGGGGATGACGATGCGAACCAGTAGACTCGTCGTCGGCGACAGGGGTGCGTCGTCCTGAAACAAGCTCAAGAATAGCCGTGGCCTGTTGATGACGACTAACATAGTAACCAACGACTAGGGACTGCCTCCTGTTGCATCGCCAAGAGACGGCAAATTTTTGAATACGACCGCCATCCTTACGGTTCTTTATTGTGGTAAACCCGGCATATTACACGGAGACCTTTTGTCCGTTGTACGAGTAACTCCCGCATCGTCTGATGATACGACGCATTATAATGGCCATACTCGTATACCCATGACCCGGTGGGAGTGGGATGGATACCGTCATTCTCTCCAACCACAAAGTCAACGGCGACACCACAGCTTTGCCTAGTTGATATTGACCAAGTGCGGGAAATACTGAATGTTTCTGTTTGGTCCGAAAGGACTGTTGAAACGAGGGTTATTTTGGCTTGGCCGCCATTGACTCTGGAGAGGCCTCGAAACACCGTGGCTGGTGCCAAGGATCCATGCTTGTATAGAAGAAACGACGTTATGATTTTCATGAAACGATACCAGTTTGGAATGTAAACCGGGGGCACCCAATCTTCGTACTCGGCCGGGACGTGAGTATTATAAGTATTGTCATATAGTCCACGATCCCATTACCCTCGAAAGATGTGACGGGCAAGCCATTTCATTCTTTGTTTCGAGGCACGGCAACAAATCGTTTTCATTCTTTCAGTTTCATTCTTTTCTTCTCTTATACATCAGACTCAGACAACTATGAGCCTTTCCACTCTTTTCATGGCCCTGGCGGCCGCAGCAGTTCCGGCCCAGGCGGCCTTTGGCTACACGTCCACGGGTGGAAACTACGTGATCGACGCCGGATCGGCCGAGTCCCTCAAGATCAGCGTCAGCCAGTCGAGCTGCGACATCAACTCGATCATCTACCGCGGCACCGAGCTGCAGGACCCTTCCAAGGGTAGCCACCTGATCTCGGGGCTGGGCAGTGCCACCGTCTCCATCGACCAAGGAGATGACTACATCAAGGTGACGTGCGAGGCGGACCCGCTGATTCACTACATGGTTGTGCGGTCAGGCCAGAGCGCCGTATACATGGCGACGCACTCCACCGAGGAGCCTAGCATCGGCGAGCTCCGGTTCATCGCGAGGCTCAAGTCGTCGGTGCTCCCTTACGAGTCGCCCTTTGGCAACGTCTCGACGACGGCAAACTCCCAGAGCACCGTCGAGGGCTCCGACGTCTTCGTCGTCGACGGCGAGACGCGCTCCAAGTTCTACTCGTCGGAGCGCTACATTGACAAGGGCACTCACTGCGTCTGGGGCGACTCGGTCGACGTGATCCACGCCTGTATGCTCGTCCCGCAGCATGAGACCAGCTCCGGCGGCCCCTTCTTCCGCGACATCGAGTCCAACAACGCCGGCGACGCCACTAACCTGTACAACTACATGAACTCGGGCCACGTCCAGACAGAGGCCTTCCGCACTGGCCTCCACGGCCCCTACGTCCTTCAGTTTTCCCGCTCCGGCATCCCGTCCCTCAAGACCACCGATGTCTCGTGGATGAGCTCCCTCGGCCTCAAGGACTACGTCGCGGCGGCCGACCGCGGCACCGTCTCCGGCACCGCCTCGGGCATCGACGGCAGCCAGTTTCAGACCGTCGTCCACTGGTTCAACGACGATGCCCAGTACTGGACCTACGCCACCTCCTCCGGCGCCTTTACCTCCCCCGCCATGAAGCCCGGCACCTACACCATGGTCCTCTACCAGACCGAGTACGAGGTTGCCCGCTCCACCGGCGTCACTGTCACCGCTGGCGAGACCACCTCCAAGGACATTGCCTCCGGCCTCACTGCCCCGGACACTACATACTTCCAGATCGGTCAGTTCGATGGCCAGCCCACCGGCTTCCGCAACGCCGACAAGTTCCAGCGCATGCACCCTTCCGACGACCGCATGGCCTCGTGGGCCTCCACCACCTTCACAGTCGGCTCTTCCTCCGAGTCTGACTTCCCCATGGCCATCTTCGCCGACGTCAACGCCCCTCAGAAGATTGCCTTCAACCTCGACGCCGCCCCCGACGGCGAGACCACCCTCACCGTCGCCACCACCCTCAGCTTCGCCGGCGCCCGCCCCCAGGTCACCGTCAACGACTTTACCGGTGCTATCCCCTCCAGCCCCACCAACCTCAACTCCCGCGGCGTCACCCGTGGTGCCTACCGTGGTCTTGGTGAGGTCTACACTGTCACCATCCCAGCTGGCACCCTGACGGCCGGATCCAACACCATCTCCATAAACCCCGTCTCTGGCAGCAGTGGCGATGAATTTCTCAGCCCCAACTTTGTGAGTCCCCCTTTGCCTTGTTGTTTCATCGCCCGTCTTTCCTCCCGAGTACCCGAGCTAACACTCTCTAGATTGTTGATGCCATTAGCTTGACGGCTTAAATTAGTATATTAGAAAGGGTTTCATATCTGTATTCACCGTTGTAATAAAAACATCCTTTCTGTACACTTCCAATACATCCTCGCCACATCTTAGTTTTAAGTCACTGTCCGGCATATCCATCCCCATTGTATATGCATATATGGGTACGGTCCAACCGGTGCTGTTTCTCACTTTTTCAACAATTTTCAGGAATACTACTAGTTACTGGTGTTGCTGGTATATATGTAAACCCAAGTTAGCTGGCCCGAGAGAGGCCAAGGACGGGGGAGGAGCCATAATCATTCCTCGTACTTCCAACGAATGCATGTGGGGATTAATTATGCAAAATAAGCATATTAAAATACAAGATGGGGATTTTCTCTCACATATACCTTGGCACAGAGAGAGGGATGAAGACTGCAATCATGGCTCTCGTCGTTCAATCAACCCCCCCCCCCCCCCCCCCCCCCCCCCCCCCCCACGCTCCCAATCAATGAGTGGCATTTCCTGTTGTCCGCTCCGTGATACTCGGGTGGCCCATATTTTTGTCTGCAGTAATGTCCTCATCTGCCTCGCCCTCCCGGCCCTTTTGGCTTTCTGTCGCGATCGTGGCCTCAGTAGTCGCCGGCTCTGCCGTTTTAGACTCCTCGACGTGTTCAGCCTCTGCCTCCTCCTTCTCATCCTCGACTACCTGGGGAAGGGGGCCAGATGTAGGCATGGTTGCCGTGTTACCGCTCTCATCCTGGCGCCTGACGGACCCGTCTTCAATGTTGACACCCACAATCTCGGCCAGGCTATGAAAGTTGAACATGGGTTCACTGTTAGCGTCGCGGTCCCCATCGTCACTCGCACCGGCGATGCTGGTGCCGCTGGCCCTGGGGTCAAGGGCCTGGAGTCCTGGTGTCGATCCAGAGGGGCTGTCGGCTCCGGAAGATCCAACCGATGACGCGTTGCTGATCTGGCGTAGATGCGATCCGCTGCGGCCAGCGCTTGGGACGGGAAGCGAGCCACCTACCGAGCTACCCTCGCCGGCTGTTGTTGACTGGTCCGGGGACGGACCGCGGTCGACGCCCTTGCCCTTGCTGCCGAGGATGTTGTCCTCTGACTTAGACGGGTCGTTGTTCTCCGTCGTCGGCGAAGATGCATCGCTCATGGGCACGTTCGAGGCCCCCTGCACCGTGGCTTCCATCCTGAGGTTGCTGGTAGTGCTATTGCCTCGCCTCCGTCCGAATCCCGGCAGGGATAAACTGCTGGAGCTGCCACCTCCGCTTCCACCGTAGGGATGCGTTCCCTGCTTCTTGGCAGCCTTTTTCTCTTCCTTCTCCCTCTTCCTAGATTCCTTGCGCATTGCCTTTTCCTCTTTGCGCTTGCGCTCCTCTTCGCTCGCGAGAGACAGTCGCACAGCTTCCATGAACATCATATCTTCTAGATCCTCGACGCGGTGACGTCGCGAGCCCCTGCCGCCACGAGGTTGCACCTGTCCGGAAATTTCAGTGGAGCCCGAGGCGGCTTCGTCAGCCTGGATGGAGCGCGCCTCGCCAGGTCCATCTGACCGCTGATCGCGGCCAGCGTTGCGTCTGCCGAATCGCCCCGGCCGTAGGATGGAGCGCTGCTCGTTGTCGCCCATGAGGAAAGCTGCGGTGTGAAGCGCCGTGGCCGCGGCCGATCTACGCGCCTGGTGTGCCCTGGCCGCTGCCAGTTTTGATGCCCAGTCGGGTCGAACGCGGTCGGTAGCGACGACGTTGGGTGCAGTCGCGGAGAGACTATGTCCCCTTCTACGCCCCGGAACATTTGGTGAGTTTGGCGTTCCGGAATGAAGCGAGCTCTGCGATGACATGGCTGGCGAGGATACAAGGCTGGACATTGAGCCAGAGTAGCCGAGTCCGCGACGGAAGGGGGGAGGATCGTAGGTAACGCCAAATTCGGGTTGCTGGCAGTAAGGGCAGGCGGCGGGCTCCGAAATGAGCATCTCAGGTGGGTCGTCGGGACCAAGGCCTTCGTTGGGGTCTCGGGCCTGCCCATCAGGGTGATGTTCTGGGATGTGAGGGTCGGAACGTTTGATCTGTACAAAGCATTCGCTGCAGATGGGCTGGTCGCAGCACCGCGTCTTATTAAGATAGGGGGGATAGGAGAGGAAACAAATGGGACATTCGGAGGCATTCTTGTACAGGTAGACTTCGAGAGGTTGGCCGTTGACAAAGGGATCGTGCGGCAGCTTGACTTCCTTTGGGATGAGTTCGCTCGAGGAGCCGTTGCGAGATCCGTAGCTAAGGGCGGCTGCAATGGCCTTCGCTCTACCCCCAGCCTTGAGCGGCGACATCTTGGCGGGGGCCGCTGATGTCGACGGCGACTGGGCACCAGACCCGCTCCTATCGGATGCAGCCGAGAGTGTTCTGGGCCCCATGGGAACCGTCAAGCTGTGCAAGTTCTGTGAGCCATCATTCTGGGGGGGAGGGGGTCTCGGGACCAGATCCGGGTCAGGTGTCTCGTCGGCGGCAGGTATGGGAAGGCCACGGGCGGCAGCGATGAGCTGGTGCTCAGTCCAGTTTTCGGACCAGTCATTAAGACCACGCCAGAACGGAGCGAGTTTCCTCTCAAGCTATTGCAGGGATGGTTAGTAAGGCGGGGATGCGATGAGAGGGCGACGCGAGGTCAATGATGCGCTTTACCTGAAGCTGTCGGACCACCTGCTTGTTGAAGTCCTCGGGGCCGGTGTAGGTGCCGAGGGTGACCAAATAGCCACCATCGACGTGCTCTTCCTTGATGCTATATTCACGCTCCTGTAGGCGGATTGCGCGTTCGCGTTCGAGCTTCCTCGCCTCTCGTTCCGCCCTCGTCTCCTTGTGTTCAAATGGAGCATCCTCACGGTTTCGATTCCGGTCGCGGGAACCCGAGGGGCCAGGCAGGCCTAGGAGACTCAAGTCACCGCGGCTGACACGGTTGCGCCGGTCACCGTCCTGATCGGCGTTGAGGTGGGAGGGGTACCCAGCGACCGACCGGCGGCGGCCGGCATAAGCGTTGTCGGATGGGCCGGACTCCTTGCCATGGGAGTTGCCCATGATGAAGAATCCGAGAGTCGTTACCGAAGCGAATTGCTGGTGGTCAACGATATCGTCTGGAGATGGTATTAGGTACGGGGGGGTGGTGAGAGGTCGTGGTTGGGTCGTCGTAGGTTGTGGGGGAAATGATGACTATGAGAGGTCTTCAGTTTCTGCCAGAGTCTTGTCTGTCGGATCGGGCTCAGGTGGGCTGACGCAATGGGGGATCAGCGCTTCTTGCTTCGGTTGAAACTGTTGGTTAATAATAAATCTGGGGCCGCCCCGCGCATGATTAGCACAATTTCGGTAGGTTACCAACACACTGTAAACAAGGAAGAAGAGGAAAGACGGGAGAAGACAAAAATTGTCGACCCGTGGAAGCCCAACAATCATCACTTGTCGTTCCCCATGGACGGGATATGGCCATTATTGATAGAGTCCATGATGAGGCAGACCTACCTACACCACAGGAGAGACACGGTCTCGTAACCGGATACCTAGGTGGCGACGGATTGTTTCGCCAAGACGCAAAAGCCACGGGTAGCGGCGCAAATAATAATAATCGTAAAGCCAGGTGGGCCAGCCAGGAGAAGAACAAGAAAATGAGGGTTCATGGAAGGATACGACTCGGAATACGCAAATGTAAGATGAAGAAGGTATCCGTCAGCCAAAGACAACAATACCCCCCCTGAGGCTATTGCGGAAGTGACGGAATTGGGCTCGGATCGTGTCGGAGAAAGATGCGGACGAGCGAAGGTGTGTACGGCACACACACGCGGTATTCGGAGCCTAGAGTGCCAAATACGCGAGCGGCAGCGACACATTTGAGGGCGGTTGATGGAGGCTAAGGGGGATGGACGATGTAGAGGGGAGCTACTGTTATGTATGCAATTGTCCGTGGGGGAGAAGAGGTGACTGTGTTCAGCATCTGTCTGGAGCCTGGGCAGTCACAGAAGGAGTGTATACACGTGCGTGCTATCGTGGGAGGAGCGATACTGCACGGTTATCTATTCAATGTTGCTACGAGTTATCATCACTACCTGGTACTTAGTAATAGTTAGTATTGAGCATAAGAATAGGGAGAGGGCATGGCAGCATGCCAAAGAAAATACTGTCGTATCCGCTTCCATGTGCTTGAAGGGCGGTGCTATAGGAATTGTATGTCAGTATTACCAGTAATACCACTAGTCTAGAGTAAGCCTACAGTACTGAGTCTCGGGCTCTCAGCAGTGCTCGAGATTCAGTTGACAGTATTACTCCGTACAGTCACACATAGGCTCAGCCATTGACGGTGACGACAACGTGACGAACACGAGTCAGACCAACGAGTATTACCCGACTACATAATGGACTACTACTAATGCAGTGTACGGAGCGAAAATGGTGTATTCGCAGCAATACTACCTGGTACGCCTACTGCAATCTGTACTTGACAGATGAAAACTTTCAGAGTCCCCACCCACTCATTCTGCGCCTCTTTACCATTCGTAAGTCTTAGCCAAATAGTCGAGTTTGAGCGGTATTGATATTAGGGTCAATATTTCTATTCGTCATCACTAAACCAATGCCAATGTCTAATATATGTACATTCTACATACGGTCCATTGTGTCCGCCGTCTGGGTATAATACCACCATCGTCACCACCCACACATACACCATCCAAACTCCCAGTGATAATGTATAACATGTAGCTTGTGAATAAAAAGAGCAGGTATGAGAAATACAAAGAAAAGAAAAGAATAAGGGCAGGCCGCTTAATCGGATGCTTTGGGAGCCCAGGCCTGCAGCCAATCCCTCATCTTATCTGGTCTACCCTTTTCTGCCTCGGCAGCAGCAATACACCATTCCAGATCCCACACCTTCTCGGCTGACATCATCTCTGCCAGTTTGCGTTGTGTCTGGCTGGCTTCGTCGACGCAGAAGAACATGGGGGCATCCTGGTTGGCGACCTCAGCTATCAACGGCTTCACCAGTGGCAGGGCTGCCTGTGAACTCGATCCCTTGGGTTCAAGGCCTGCATTGGCCCTGCCAGTCTTACACCACTCGTTTGTGCAGTGAGCTTTGCGGCAGCCCGTCATGAGCTGGCCGAGGTACCGTCTCTCGACTCGACGACGGAGCGCTTTGCCCTCTGGGTCGTGCATGCTCACAAATAGTGGACCGAAGCAGTGCGAGCAGAGTCCGAGGTCGTTGCCTGGGGCTTTCGTGGAATCAATCTGCCCTTTCGGTCCGACGCCACGCAGGGTCCTGCCGCAGTTGACGTTGCGGCACATGGGGGGCTTGGTCCGATACACCTTGTCCAACTCGTGGTGCTTGATATGCATCTCCATATCCCTCAATCGGATGATCTTATCGCACAGGTGGCATTCTGTTGTACGAGAGCCATCGGCGAGCTCGTGGGCCGTCATCCCAGACAGCATCACTTCCGGTGACGGGTTGAATGGGTCACCTTCCTGGGGCACTTCGAGGTGACAGAAGCGGCATAGAATCACCTTGCCGGGACACACGGTAGTCCGGTGCCGTGCTAGGTCAGGAAGAGCGTTGGTCTTGAATTCGCAAGAGGGGCAGCTGTAGTCTCCGTGGAAAATTGCGTCGTGCTTGGTCTTGCTATGCGTCGAATCCCCATAGCTATCGTCATGATCGCAGTGCCAGTGAGCATCCCATTGGGGAGAACCTTTCTTGAAAACTGATTGGCACCCGGGGCAGAAGACGTTGTTTCTTCGGCAGAAGTTCTCGTGCAAAACCATGGTGCGCCCTGGGACCCACTGCAAGCAGTTTTTGCACTGCTCGTCTCCTGGACCATGTTCTACTTGGTCATTCGCCGAGGCCCCCGTAGCTATGCCATCGTTGGGCATCGCCACCTGAGCACGCAATGTATACGACACTGGCGTTGCAGGCCCCTTTTGCCCCTCTGGTCCAGAATATGCGCGGACGGATATGAGAATTGACTCTGCACCTTGAAGTTCCGCATTGCTTGGTACGATGGAAATGGACTTGGTCCCACCCCGAGCTTCGTCAAAGTTCCCAAAAACATGTGTTGTGTCGCGTGGCAGCGCTCGTTGTCGCGACGAGCGAGGCACGACAAAAATATCCAGGGAGTATTCATCGGGGATATTCGAAAGTATTATGCTGAGTGGTTGCGAGCGATTCCACGAAGGCAGTGTGTAGTCGACGTAGTCACCAGGGACAACCTGGCCCTGTACACTCTTCCAGATGTCAATATCTCCTCCCTTGGAGCTCCCCTGGTCTGTACCGGCTCGGGTCTTGGCCATGATCTGCCGGAGTGTCTCCCTGGCCTGTTCCTCGTCGAGAGCCTCGATATCGACCTCGATGTCGGTGTCCACAACACATATTCCTCCCTCGCCCGGTGCCAGCTTATCCACCAGGAACTTGTATGCCTCGCCCTGGGGCCCTCGGACGGAAAGCACCCCCCCGCGGGTCAAGGTGGTGAAGCTGTCGCGAAGCTGTCGCTCGAGAATGGGTTTCCAATCATCGGGGTTGTATCCTGCTTCTAGAGGCCGCAGTCGGGCATATGTGCCCTTCGGGAGCTGCTGGGCCCGCACCGTCAACTGGAAGCTTCTGTTCTGCGCATCGTCGGCAGCCACGACGGTCTCGGGTGACCACGTCGTGTCTTCTTGTTCAATGCCGAGCATCTCGGCGAGGAAAGGACTCAGGCCTATCGTGCCTTCGGGGGCAGAGAATTCACGGATTCCAGCGTAAACGACGTTTCTGTTCTTGGGGTTCTCGAGTCGGAACATGAGTGGGTTAGGCAGCTGTTGGGTCTGGTCGCGAACCCCAAAGCCGTTGCTCCAGGCGTTGTGGTGTCCGTTTTGGCCGTACGACAGCCTAGTCGCGCTGGGGTTGTCCTGAGATGCCGCACTGGAGAGAAGCTGCTCGAGAGCTGACTGGGGAAGAAGGATCTTGTCGCCTCGTAGATTCTTGGAAGCCGTTGACGACTCTGGAAGAATGGCAAATGTGCCCCACCATCGAAGTGAAGGGACCTCTGCCATGTCGACAAATACTGAGTGAAAGCGTATTTCTATATATGTTTAAGATACACAGGAGAGAGTGATAGTTGGAGAGAGGGAGAAACAAGAAAGGAAAAAGGGTGGAATTATTATTTTTTCCATAGCTTGAGGTCATCAAAGTCTGTTGTAATCGTTGTTGTTGTTGTTGTTGTTGTTGTCGCCGCAGGCAGACAGAGTGTGGCGTAACAAAATTGGAGCGCGTCATGGCGATGCGCATCCATCTGTCAGCAGTTTCGGCCATGTTCTACGAAGTACCAGTGGCCTCGACGTCATTCCGGTCACGTGTCGCGTGCCACTATTGGAGTTAACAGAGTAACGGACAATTGGTAGACCTCCCTCCGGGCAAGTTATAGAGTTAACTAAGCCAGGTCTACCACAAATATTAATAATATATAATAAGTCAGCGAAATGCTCCGTAACATCATTGAATAATTACTCAGAATTACTGCGGTCTAGCTAGTTCGGACTCATTTTTCCCGACGTTATTCCGACCGGGCCGTCTGACAAGGTTAGCGGCCACGTGCCTCCACGTTGAAATCCGCTCGATGCGGCGTAAACGGATAATGGCAGTGCCGTATCGATATACTATCAGCGCATGAGTAAAAAAGAACGGAATGGTTTTTTTTCCTCACTTGCTAATACTACCGTTAGAGCCACGCTACAATTACTCGTACAAGGCCTACGGTGAACTTATTGGGAGAACGAAATACTGGCAGCACCCCGCTGCAGACCGGCCCAATCCCCACTGTTTGAGCACCATGACGGCATTGGCCGCTGTCGGAGCATCTGGTGGGGAAGACACCGACGGCGCCGCGCTGGAGTTGAATGATGGATTTATTATTGTATTCTATATATACTAAGTAGTAGTAGTGCTAGCATTACTGCTACAGCAGGAAGGATTGATTAATTTCATTGTTCTACTATGTCCGTTTTCCCGATAGTACAGTACGGACGAGAACCCATGTATCAATCATTTATCCCCATTATCATCTGCCCATTCTTATAAAATGTATGGGTAATTTTAGACTATGAGACAACTTTATACCTCTACGAGTACATGTATCTGTTGCGGAGACTGGAAAGTGTCAAACTGTGAAACCTCAGGCTACCAACACATCACATCCTCCTTCTCTAACTGGGCACGCGGCATTTGCTCATCATTTCCCTTGTTGCCTTTGCCCTCACTCTTGTCTTTCATCTACTCTGACACAGTGACACCCTTTTCACCCTTCTGGTCAACTGTTTTCTTCCTCCCCTGACCTCTTTTCTCCCACCGCCATCAGCAAACCGCCTCGTTCATACCCGTACAGTACTTACATGGTCCTTGCCCTGTCTTGCCGCGTTCAAAAGCGGCAATTTCTCTCCTGACCTTGAACTTATAATACACCAAGATCCTCAAGACCACCAAACCCGCTGTCAATCCATTTGCCAACCGCCAATCCCCAGCAACAGGTCAGGCAGGTCGACGTGGCAACCCCATAACTCGGTTATATTACCAGATAGACAGGACCGTACTCCATCCAGTGTCTCTGTCCAGGTTCCGGTGCTGGCTACCAACAGACCGCTGTCCAAGCCAAGAGGAGCACCTCCCATCCCGCCCCCCCCCCAACAGGGACAAATTGCCTCGCCTCACCTCCTTGGCACCGCGCCCATCGGTTTTGGCAGCCTGACATGCTGCAATCCGCCATACCGGACCGACCGCGCTTTGATAAGGGGAATAATACGAGTACACCAGCATCGTCTAACCCACTCCTCGACACCTTGTTTAACAGACTCGTCCTTGAAGACATCGTTTCTTACCTACCAATCTCTGCCTTGTTGAACCTCGCAGCTACCAACCGGGACTTCCGCGGGCTCGTCTACGAATCACCTGGAATTTTTCGCCACCTCGATCTGTCAACCACCAAAGCAGCCCAGTTTGAGATTGAAGGCATTGATCGAGGAGGCCAGGTCTGGCGCAATGTTCAGCTTGATGAATATTTGAGCGAGGATGAGTGAGTTTATTGGAACTTCAATTGGTACTGGTCGGTTTAGTAGGAAGACGTTGAGGCTCATGAGAAACAAACATCTACTCCAGCTTCTACTCCGGTCCGCTGAGAGGCATATTCGCCAAGCTCCAGAGGCCGAACATTCTCCAGGATGTCCAGATCCTAGTTCTCGACGGCTTGTCTGTCACTGCCGAACTGTGCAACGATATCATCACCAGCCCCGCCTACAGCGTGCGCATCTTGTCTGTCCGTGACGCCAAGAACCTCAACCAAGGAAAGCTTCGCGGGGCGCTCCAGTATGCCTGCCGTGGGAGTCGCCCCGAGGGAACCCCGCGACTCAAAGCCCTATACGTCTTTGGCTCCAAGGATTCCATAGCCGCACCTGCTTCCAGCGCGGATAAGCTCACAATCAGTGCCGAGTGGAATCACAAGAGCCAACAAGCGTTGTCGTCTTCCCTTAGCAGGGAAATTGAGCCATGGTGGTCCAAGAAGGGACGCATCATCTCCAAACATGCCCAGGGAGAGTGGGCGCAATGCCTGCTTGCATGCGACGGCGTCATTGCATTTGATGCAGTGCTCTGTTATGGCCCCCGACATCGAAACTCGCATCTCTTTGGCAAGATCCCCTCAACTTCGGATAGCACTCCGGCCATCGCCACGTTTGCCATTCCGCCATGCAGCGGCTGTGGTGCATCGCCCGAGGGCTTGACCGAACCCTTCTGCGCCACAAGAGACATCCCCGGAAGACTCCCGCTCCTTGCTCCCCCGCCGACTCTGTCGTCGTCGGTCCGAGCAGCCACGACCCCACGGCTTCCTGCAGAGGCGTTTGTTCCCAGATGCCTGGAGTGCCTCAGAGACCGATACTGCACTTGCTGTCACCAGTGGTGGTGCGAGACCTGCTACACGCCCCCCAGCCAGTCTCACAACGCCGTCCACGTTGAGCACGAAGACGCTTTGGACGCAGAGGGGACTCTTGAGACAGCAGAACCCTACATCACGAGCGCGAAACCCAAGGTACGAAACGGTCTCTGCCAAGAATGCATCGACCGTGACGGAACACTGCCGAGATGAAGTAGCATGACTTGGTCAGGCATGTAAAGTGTCTGCCAACATCTGCTCTCTCCCCGACATTCATCATGTATGCAGTGTTTGCTGATGCTTTCAAAGCTATAATCCTGCATCACTCACTTTCAATTTATGTTCTTCTCATTGATATCACAGACAACTGATGACATCACATGCTTTGCTTCTAGGCCAAAATTAGTAAGAGCTGCTGGGAATGCGGCCAAAATGTATGCAGACCCTCCCATGGCCCTTGTCCCGCTGACACCAACTGACTTGTTGTGCCTTCACACGATAACAGTGCGAGTCGTGCATCGAAAAGACGCAAAAAGTCTGCCGGCGATGCTACAGCGGATATTGCATAATCCACAACGAGGGTTCATCCTCGACCTTTGTAGGTGATCAAAACATCCATGCGATTTGTCAGAAAACAAGACTAATGATTTTTTTCCGACAGTGTGACTGTAAGCTTAAACCCACGATCGTGGCCTCAAGATATTCTAACAGTGCAGCAGGGTGTATTTCGCGCGGGCGCGGACTAGGTCGTCTGTGAGCAGTTCCAGATGACTTGTTCAAGGCTGTTTTCCTTTATTATAATTACATCGCATCTCGCTATGGTATTTGGATAGAGCAGTAGGCAGAACGTCGATCGTGTATAACCCATGCTAGCTAAACAGCAGGGCTCACAAGCACGATGGGCTAGCCCGGGATAAGACCTCTCAACTCAGTCTGTTACCGCAAAAACACGAACTTGTAGTAAATATATCTCTTCCCAGTGGCCGTGGTAATCATGCCATGGTCCATCCAAAAAGGGCCTGTAGAGTTTGATGCCGTACAACGTCTTTCGTGCACCGAAGCCCACATCTTTAGCCTGCTAGCAAGGAATTATTATCCCTAGTAGCCTTTGAATGCAGGGGCAAAGCCCCAGAGAATTAGGCATAAATTAGACTAGGCTGGCGACAGTCAACAGCCCACTTTACTGAGGAGACTTTCGTGTGCCCTGGGCGATCCTCGACCAGAGACTGAGTCTTCAGATCCTCAGATCCCGGCACTCGCCGGGTTCTGACGTCAGATTCTGAATCGAGAGTGGAGACCAGGCTAGATTTATTCAGCTCGTAAGACAGGGTGCCTGTGGGGCCGTGCACGACGCTTAGCGTAGGTCGTAGAGCGAGCCGAGCCAGAATATGTTGATAGGACGGGACGGTGACAGACGAGAATAGATCCTTTCTTTTCTTGGAACGCACTGTGATCATACCCACTCGAAGCCGGGTCCCAGAGAGAACTTGCGAGCGATCCGTGATTGGCCATGCTCATCGTACTCTTGCTTAGTGACACTGAGCGTCTCAATATCGCGGTGTCTTGCCAGGTTAGCAGCACCGTGCCATGTACTGGTGATAGGGTCGGAGCAGCGGGCTACCCTGACGACACAGTCGTCGGGGAATTGTTGGACAATCTCCTGCTGGAGTCTCTGTATGAAGCCGTCGAACAGAGTATTGCCGCCGACGACGACAATGTTTGCTAGCAGACCGGGCCACAGGCCAGTCGGGAGAGATTCGAGTGACTGGCGTATCAGGGCCGGGAGTCCAGGCTGGCGCATCCCCATGTCCGAAGGGTTAAAGAGAAGCTCGGGGATGGCAAAGCGCTCGCTACGGAGGGTCAGGGCATCCTCGTCCACATGCGTGCCAGAAGTCATCCGACGGGCCTTGGAATGCCTGGCCGGATCGTAGTCGCATAGGAGACCTTTGGACCGGGTGTCAAAATCCGGAAGGATGTACTCTTTGGCTATCCCGCCGCCTGTCAGAAAATCAGGGCGCTTCTCCCCGCGAGTGCCCTTCCAGCACTTCTCCATGTCAGCCTTGAAGTCGCTCGACACGAAGCAAGCCACCTCCTTCATCTCGTTGACAATGTATGTCTCGTTACGCATATCGAAGTGTCGAAGAGAAAGGAGCCGCGCTAGGTAGTTGGTCAAGAGCTTCCCGCCGACGTCGAGCCGTCGGACCGCCGAGTGGAGGGGTCGGCCGCCAAGGAGTGGCGTCACGGTCGTATGTGAATAGCCCGAGTCCACGACAAGCATCACTTCAGCGGGGGTGTTTGTCACTCCGGGGTAATCAAGCGGTGTTCGAAATATGTCTTGGAGGTCGTGGTAGGCATTGAAGGTTGACCCTGGAAGAACACAGCAAGCATCGTTAGTTTCTACACTATACTTTCGACTAAGCACGCTCACACGCGCGCAGAAAAAGTTGTGGCACGTACCGATACCACGATGGTAGCTCACAAATCCATACTCCTCAAAGACAATTTGGTCACAGTTTGACTGCAAAACAGGAAGACTGTTGGGAGGCTCGGTCAGAATTAGCCTCGTCTCGCCGGGGTCGCATCTCAGCGGGCCGTCAGCGTAGAGGAACTGGCGATCCCATATGTCCCTTTGCGCCTCCCAGTTGACCACGAAACCTCTATCGACGGGACGGCGGAACAGGATCTCGCTGAAATCGCGGCACTTGTCGACCTCTTGTGCTACATAAATCTTCTTGTATCGGTCGCGCGCGATGCAGTTGGGAATCACAAGCGGCTCGCCGGCCTCGGAACCGCTGACCAGCCCAGCTTTGAGCGTCGACGCGCCGTTATCGATGACTAACGTCTTCTGCGGCTGGGGAGACGGCGCAGGCTGCTTGCGGCCTCCAGCCATTTCAGTGGTTTAGTGCCCGCGTTTCGTGTTGGATTTCGGGACCTCCGGCATTGAGGCGGTATCTCTCAGCGACAATTGAACAAAAGGATTGTAAAGCAACCTGTCCTGGAAAAATTGAAGCTTTGGTAGCTGTGTTGCTAGAGGTCACGTGCCGCATGGCGTACCTAGACACACTTCATCATATCGACTACGAACATGTTCCATTTTCCGTCTCTACCCTATTGTACGGTTTAATTGCACTAGTAAAATGCAAGTACCGAATACACAGTAAGGAAACATATGCAATTTATTTTTTGATGGTGATGCTTCTTGTGCATCTCTGAATAATGGTCTATTACATTCATCTAACTCTATGCCCTCCGTTGTACCGTGATTTATGCTTATGCATATAAATAATAGAGAAGGAAAGAAGAATAAGCAAAACATAAAAGAAAAGCAATATAATATCATAGGAGTATATAAAACGCCAAATGTACCCAATCTTGAAACCTTTGAAACTTTTACAAATCTTTCAATGCCAATGGTAGGTGAAACGTCAGTAAGTGGCCAATAAATCTCCTCTTACCACTGGAAGCTTTCCTCGAAGTACTCTATGCGGTTCTCATAGAGCCCCATTTGCTCCACCGTCGTTTGTCGTGTCGAATCGGCCATGGCAGCAGGGCCACAAGCAACCACGGCCAAGGATGCGTCGCCAACGAGGGCCCTCGCTGCTTCCCGCACAGCGGCAGGAGCATCTAACCGCTCTCTGCTCCAACTGATCTTGTATTGATCATCTCGATTCTCTATCGGACCGTCTGGACCGCAATCGCCTGTGAAATAGACATGGGTGTTGATGTTTGCGGAATTGAGATCAGCCTCAAAATCCTGTTTGACGGTGTCGCTGACGAAACCAGCTTCCCTGACGGACCAGTGTATGGATACGCGACGGGGCATATGCACGGACTCGTCATCCGAGAACGAATCCTGCGCAAGGGAACGGCTGTACGTCATTGGCACCACAATACCGCTCCCGCCGACAATGAACAGAATGTTGTCAAAGAAATGCAAGGGGAGCGTTTCCCCATATGGGCCGTCGACAGCTAGGCGAAGCAAGGCAGGTTTCGGCGACTCTGCCGCTGCCGCATCTCTCATCCGCGCTGTGAAGCCGTCATAGGGCCTGATGAGGAACGTCATGATCTGGCGTGTGTCAGGCCCATCATCGAGGCTGCTCTCCTCCGAAGCGAGAAGTGCGGCTCTTTCATCACCTTCAAAGCTCGGGAGACCGAGCGTGGTGGATGCGACCGTGAAGGGATGGCTTTCCCAGAACTTGGTGTCGTTGAGGATGCTGAGGTAGTAATAAGTTCCAGGCTTGGCCTTATGACCCTTCGAAGATATGGGAACCTCGAGTCGGACGATGTTGGCGGCCGGGTTGAATGTTGCCATGGCTTTCGTGTTCCAGACACGCACGTTGAACAGGAAGATGCGACTGACACGAATGACACGGTCAAGCACCCATATGAAGACAGGCACCCATACAAAAACGTCATATTCACCTCCAAAAATGGAGACGTGGCTTATCACCGTTGAGGTCAGCAGCCGTATGATAAATAGGCATGGTCGAACAACTTACCCAAGCATCGTGATCAGCATCAATATGGAGAGCACTATGTGAATAAGAAGGAAGGCCTCGTAATAGTGTCTCCGCAGCCAATACACCGAGAGGATCAAGAGTGCACACATGAAAATGGTGGCCTGGAAGCAGCAGAGTGTCAGCAGTCGTCTCGACAAGGCAGAGAGAGAGTGATCTTACCAATTCGCCGGTCCAAAAGAACATGAGTGACAGCCACCACACAAAATATGACCATCCACCATCTGCAACGATAATTAGCCATTCTGATCTAGGTACCCGGAGGTAATTTTCTTCCTACCTTTGAAGATGAGGATTGTGTAACCAACTGAGTGGATGACAGCTTGTACCGTCGCTACTCGGGCAACCCACCGGTGAAACTTGTTGAATGTTCCAAAGTCCCATCCTGTAATCCAGATGACAACATTGTTCCTCATACCAAACAGCCAGATAAGAGGAAAATTGGCAAATGATATGATGCCAGTCCTGTCTGAAACGTAACGAAGGATCTGCCTTGTCTCGGTGGGAAAGCTGACGACAAAAAAAGGCAGGGTAAGCAGGAGAAAGAAATCCTGGGTGTCGGGGGGGAAGGTGCCACATGCACGTACTAGATGTTTCCGGGGAATATCTTGTATCCGTGGACAGTGCAGCCGATGTTGAGAGCCACAAAGAGTGATATCGCGAGTGTCTGGGCACGCGACGGGATAGTGCCCCACCCTCCTATATCGCGCGTGCAGACTTGGCCGAAGGCTGCAGGAGTCAAGACATGCCTCTTCAACCATCTTCTGGTCCAGCTCTGCGGACCAAGGCGCCGGGATTGCCGTGCCTCGTAATGGGCGAGTGCACGGTAAAATGCACCAACAGCACAGACAACAATCCAGAACATAGTCATAGCGAGGCCGTAGAACGCGTGGTGAAAGTGCACATATGTAAGGGCATCCTGTTGATGGAATAGGGCATGAGCATCAACGCATCTCCTATCAAGGGTTGGGATGGAAAACGGACCAGAGTCTTGAACCAGACCGTATACAGGTACGGCGTCGGTAGCACAGGCTCGTCGTACACAGGTCCTTGTCCCGAGCTGGTCGTGTTGACCCGGGGAAGATGCGAGATTTCGTCATCCGTGAAACCAGAAACGATGTTATAGGGAGGCAACGTCAGTCCGGTGTTGCTTTGGCACGTCTGGTTCAGGTCCCGGAGGGCATCAAGCCGAATCTCGACATCACAGTGTAGCCCCAGGCACAGATACATGGACTGCAAGTGCAGCCGGCTGGAGCATCTGTTTTCTTCAGGTGTGAGCTCGGGATCTGCATCGGTGAATGGCACCTTGGCCAGTGAGTTGCCACACGCCTCGGCGCAGAAACTGCCCCTCGGCTCGGCCGGCTGGGACTCGGCCGCGCCTGCAGAGGAGGATACAGTCCACGCGATCAGAAGTAGACTTCTATTGATCCACGAAAGTCTCATGTCGCGCAAGGTCTTGCCCAAGCACTTAGACTCACTAGGACGCCGTTGAAGACGATGAATCTGGGGTTGCATGCAAGCACGTTGAGGGAATTATTTTATCAGATCATCAGATAAGCGCTAACCTTATATCCGGTGCCCTAGTGCCCCACCAAGCAGGGCCAGTCACGAGGGTCCACCACCAAAGCGTACATGTAGACTGTACAGAGTAATAGCTCAGCCTCCTGTAACACTGAGTTCAGCATTACATGTATTTTATGTATGTGTCAATGTTCAAGCCACAGACAAAGGGATTGCTTCATTCGGCGAGGTGGCAAAGATTTGTCCAAGCTAGGAAATTGATATCTTCTCTACAGGTGGAAGATCTGAAGCTCCCGCTGTACGGGTACACGTACTGAATGAGCATTAGGCCATTTTCGCAGGATACCTCATTGATTCCTCAACTATCAATTGCTTTTTTTTTCTTGTTTGGTTCCGACTTGCATCTGGCCACTATGTGACCGGGCAACTTTTTGGCAACTAAGGTTCTCACATAACTATTATTAACAGTAGAAGGACAGTGGCATGGTGATTTTCTCAATGATTCATAGTTATGGGGAGAATTTGGAATAAATATAGACAGATTGAATTTTGGGTTGCTGATGAACTAGCAATAAATACAATGGGTGGTATCGTGTTTACAGTTTGCAGAATATGGTAATGATATGCATCCTTTCCATGTTTTTTTTTTTTAGATTTCTTGATTTTCCTTATTCTCTTGCGCTTCGTTATTCGTCTATTGAACAAAATTTAAACGGCGGAGCCGCGGCGGGCAGCCTGGGCGACAACAGCAGGGTCCAAGACGCCATCCTTGGTGCCCATCTGAGAAGCATAGGTGGTGCTAGGCTTCCACTTGGCCGAAGTGCGAGGGGTAGTCTCCTCCATCATCCTATCGACTTGCTCGAGGGTAAGACCCTTGGTCTCAGGAATGAGGAAGTAGGAGTAGACGAAGGCGCAGGTGCACAGGCCACCCCAGACGAAGAAGACGGTAGACTTCATGTCACCCTTGTCGGCGTCAGTCATGTAAGGGGTGATGACGGCAATGATGCAGTTCCACAGCCAGTTGGAGGCAGTAGACAGGGCAACGCCGCGGGAGCGGACAGGCAGGGGGAAAATTTCGCCAATGAGAACCCAGGCACCAGGTCCCCAGGTGGATGCGAACCAAAAGATGAAGATAGCAATGAAGGCAATCTGAGCATTGACGGCAGGGATGTTGTCAGCCACCTGGGCGGTGGCGTCGTCGGGGTCGGGGTGAGTGTGGTCGAAGCCGACGGTGACACCGACAATGCCGACGAGGAACTGGCACACAAGCATACCAAAAGCTCCGGCGAGGAGGATAGTGCGGCGACCGAACTTCTCAACAGTGTAGAAGGAGAAGGGGGTGGAGCAGACGTTGACAATGGTGAAGACCATCGAGGTCAGGAAGCTGTTGTCGATGGCGCCGGTGGACTGAAGGAAGGGGGTGGAGTAGTAGAAGATGAAGTTGACACCAGTCCACTGCTGCATCATCTGCAGCGAAGTACCTAGGATGGTGCGGCGCAGGTTGGAGTTGGGGCTCCAGAGACTGCCCTTGAAGCAGTTGGCCCAGCTGCCGAACCAAGTGGTGGAGGGGACCAGTGCACGCTCGTACTCCTCGTTGGCAATGATCTCGGCAAGCTCGCTCTGGACGTAGACAGAGTCGACGGGCTGGCCACGGACCTGGCCCAGGGCAATCCTGGCCTTCTCCATGTTGCCTTTCTTGACGAAGTAACGGGGAGAGTCAGGCAAGAAGAAGAGACCAACGGCAAGAACAATGGCCCAGGGGAACTGGACGGCAATGGGAATGCGGTAGGCGCCAGTGTCATCGCGGTTCTTGGTGGCGTAAACGACGACGGAGGCAAGCATGAGACCAATGGTGACGCAGAATTGGTATCCGGCGACGAGGGCACCACGAACCTTGCGAGGGCACTGTGAATTGGAGAGGTCAGCACAATTTCAGATCAGTATGGACGGGAGAGGTCTGCCGGTGACGTACAATCTCGGACATGTAGAGGATGACGGTTGCGGAGACAAAGCCAACACCGAAACCAGCGATGAGACGGCCGGAGACGATGGGACCAAGAGCAGAATCGGGGTTGGTGATCATCTGAATGACAACACCGAGGGCGTAGATGACACAGCCTGAAATGACAGTCCACTTGCGGCCGATGGTGTCGGCGCAGTCACCGGCAATGAGGGCACCGAAGAAAGTACCGGCGGAGAGGATAGAGACGATAAGGGAGCTGTTCTCGTAGCTGAGACTATCGTGGCCGTCGCCCTCGACAGCTTTGATGAAGATCTCTGAGCCGTTGACACCGTTGATGTAGCCGGAGTCGTAACCGAACATGATACCACCAAATGAGGCAAAGGCGCACATCACATAAGCCTGCCAGGTAACGGGGGCCTCTATCGTGTCAGCCGTCTCGGGAGTGACGTGGTTGGCCTCCTCCACCACAGGCCCCTTGGGCTCAGCGTCGGAGGACATGTTGTATGTTGTGGGGCCGGTGAGGGTTCTTGATCTTTGTTGATCCTGTCTTTGTAGTTGTTGTAGAGAAGAAATCTTGCCGGTGGAGGATGGAGGAGAGAGAGATATATGGATGTGAGAACAGGGAATAGGAGAAACAGTGAGGAGGGAAGAGGGGAGGATGGTCATCTAATATACTTGATCCGTACCACGCGAGTCTTGACCCCATGGGACAACTTTTCCCAGGTTAACCCAGGTTCAGCCCGGGGTCGGAGCATGGACCGGAAGGGGGTAATGCTGTGCGTGTGTGTCTGTTCACTTGTGTGACTCCTAGTCTGGAGAGTCCGGGGGGGGGGGGGGGGTGCGTGTGTTGCTTGCTCGTTGTTGCACGATCTATTCCGGCGGGGACCCCAGTTCCCCAAGCGAAGACGTCCGCCAGAAGGTCGTAGTGTGGTTCCAGATTCGCCAAGACTACAAAGCAGCTTCGATCTGCGCCAGCCCATGGGGCTCAAGATGTGGACCCCAACCGACCAGGGCGCGGGGGATTAATACTACGTAGCAAGGGTGTACGGTCCCATGCGATGCCTGATTGGACTATGGGGTTTTTCTCGGCTTGTCTGCACACATCCATTGACCACTTCCGTTTGCAGGATTTGACTCTCCCATTCGAGAAGTTGGCCTAGAATTGTCTCGTGCACTCGACATTCGGTAGAATCTCCTTGTACGAGTAGAATACAGTGTGATATTCCCTCAAAGGGGGTGTGCCAAAATACGAACGTGACAGTAAGAGCGGTAGTTGGATTTTGCGGGTCGAAAGAGACAGAGCCAACAGTCTACTTCTGGAGCCTCGTGACCGAAAAGTTTCACTGACACCTAGAGAGGTTCGCGTAGAGACGAGAACCAGAACGTAGTCTAGACTGCGGAATATAGCACAGGACATGTCAAGGCTGGGGTACGGGGGAAGTAACAATGCCAACAGCCAACAGCCTTTTCGTACGGGGTAATAATGCTCGAGCGCTAAGAGAAATGAAATAGGCAGGGCCAAGAGAAAGAGAAAGAAAGGGTGTGTGTGTGGAATAAGGCCGAAGGGGAGCGGATCCTGGGGCAGCCACGCCGTTTGTGCAAGGTGGAGAGGGAAGAGAGAAGGACCGGGAGAAGGGCCGTGACTAATGCATATGTACCTCGGCTCCCCTTTCCCCTATTTGGCCGTGTGTCTTGTCTCTCGACATCGTGTTATTGAGCAGCTTCTACTCCGTATTCCCCATTGCATTCCCATGTCTGCGGAATGCTCCTTCTCCAGAAAGACGGGGAAATGTTATTACATTCTGTATATTAGCTATACTGCTCGTAAATGACCAACATATGCATGATTTTCCCATGCACTCGTTTAAGCTCATGTATTCATGGAAGAAATCTTTCACATCTAGATTTTGCTGTCTCTTTCCGATGTAGCGTTCCCAATAACCGGTGCCGCGTAATAAGATGACTTTTCGAGATCAGACTACGGAGTATTACCTGTGAGCCAGAAGAATTCTACCTTCAACTACCAAGCCTTCGTCCAGAAGATTTCCAATTTCGTCATGTACTATGACGGCGCGAACCCCGTCCTTGTGCTCGTTACCAGATCTCGAACGGGGGAAGCTAGAACAAAACGAGATTACCCCGTCGCATTTGCGACGTAAGGTTTACAGGTTGCAAGACGTCGTCCCATGGGGAAATGGTGGTTCTTCGGCCGTATTCTAGCCGCCCTCGGCCAGCCAGTGTTGATGTGGTTTATTTTGCGGGTTTCGCCCTGGGGCCCCCAACTTGTGTCCAGAACCAGTCCCATCCCATTGGTGAATCGGGTGTCGTCCTGCTGTCAGCTGATAGTGCTGCGACATGGAAGAAAGAACGACCTATCCGAATATTTGACCGAGAGGCGCCAAGCTCGTGAGTGAGGACAAGCCCGGACTCGTATTGTTACGCGTAGCTGGCCGTGACTTGAAGCATTGAGAAATCGGCGATATATTGTTGGTTCGATATTATAATACGCCAAGTGCAGGCCACGGCCAGCCTCCGAGCTTTGCAAGAACCAGACGGTCTACAGGTGGGACGTAATACCATCCTCCCCCCTCCCCCACCCCCCCTTTCAATCAATGATAGCCGCCGTCGGCCCGACAGTTGTTTTATGCGACGACACACGACTTGAAGGCCACGTGAGAGCTACAACGGCCAACAGGCTCAGACAGCTCGAACATTCAAATGATTCTTTCATGTTCTCTATATCCAGACTCTGCAAGGTTGAGCCGCATCCATTCAATGTAAACATTGCGGAGCAAATGGCAAACCCCATTACAGTACCCCCCCCCCCCTCCACTTTAGAACGCGCCTACCCATTTCCGGCCTCCGGGAGGTTAAGCTCTACGATTCCTATTGCGGTTACTTCGTAATTGGCGACGAGTTGACAGACATGGAGTCTACACATATTACAAAGTAGCACTCGTAATACTCGGTAGGCGGTGGAGATGCCCGGGGTTCTACCACGCGCGCGGTGCCCCAGGCTCATTCGACTTACGAGTAATGCTCTCCCTCGACCCCGACCCCGTCTTCTTGTCCCGTCATTTTCTTCCTCTCCACGTCTAGGGACTTGGTGGTAGTAATACGGAGTAACCCGCATACAGTAGGCCATGACCGCCGGGTTGGCCTCCCAATTCAGGCTTCGCCCCGGCCTTGCTCCGGCGCCATTTGGTACTCAGCTCCACTTTCACGTAAAAGAAGAGGGGGGAAAATTAGAGCTTGGGCCTGCTTTCCCCATAAAGGCGCACGCACTTGCTTGTCCTGTGTCTTTGGGAAAGATCCCCCTGGGGTTTTTTCCCTGGGGTTTTCTCCCTGGGGTTTTCTCCCTGGGGTTTTCTCCCTGGGGTTTTTTCCCCTGGGGTTTTCTCCCTGGGGTTTTCTCCTGGGGTTCCCCAAAACTCATCATGTCAAGGTCAGTCAAGTAGAAGTAGCCAGTCGAAGCTACCACCAGCCCCACCAATCACCTAAATATGTGGTTTCTATGTACCTTTGTTTCCACTATTTTTCTCATTCTACCCCATAGTACTCATTAAGGAACCTCTAGTATAATTACACGATCCTACTACTCGGTATCCTCCGCAATATCTACCAAAATATCCTTATTCTTACTCAAACGTTTTGAAAGAAAACTCTCATAATATGAAGGAAATCATAGTAACTATTCTAGTATCGTTTCGCTGAGAGGATGACGATTAGAAGAGACAGTTGACGAAAAACAAAGTCTGGGATAGTAGTAGCCTTCTGGTATTAAACCACAAGAAACGAACGGAGGTGCCCCCCCCCCCCCCCCCCCCCCCCGCCCCACCCCCTTTCCTCTCGCCTGACTCTCTATACGAGGAGAACTATCCCGCCCCATACAGGTGATGCTTTCTTAAACAATACAAGTTATACAGGTTGACCTTTCAACTTACGGTGGTTATCTGTGGGTCACAGATACAGCAAGTGCTACTCAACACAACCAATCGAAGTGTATTCTTGGGGTGGCCAGTTCTCGAGGAGGGTGGTCACTTCCTCTCGACTGGTCTTGATGGGGTAAAAACGAGGGAGTTTTGGAGATATCGACCCTTCTCTCTCCTTTTTATTCGATTCTCGGTTCGACGTGTCTCACGTGTCAACTGTCATCATAAATCACACTTTTTCTTAGACTCAAGACCTATGAAAATCGCTTTTCCTCGATTTGACTCGGTGGAATATATGTTTGATATATACTTTCCCCGTAAACAAAGCAGGGGAGTGGGGTATAACTACTATAGTTGGGGAAAGACACCGAAGAGTGAACAGCCCCGTGGGCATATGATGATATTAATGGGCGTAATTTTCTCCGCACCGCCATTGCGCTACGGTCTGCCCCCTCCCCCCTGTTTCTTATCAGGCCAGCTATTTCCCAAGAACTCGCTCATCTGGCATTGTTCCTCACGCTCCCCAACCAGCCTTCGGTGTCAATTTCGGCTTGAATTTGCCTAGCCGGTGGGTTTATCGGTCCGGACCCATGCAAAGCATTAAACCCATTGTACGCTTCAAAGCCGAGAGGCTTCCCAACAACATGATACAATCTGCATCGACACATCTTCGTCGATAGCGTAGAGGGAGAGGATGAAAAACCGCCCGTAGACGCCGGCTAGATATCCAAAGGGTCGCTCCCACCTGAGGTTTCCTCCATCAGATCTTCACATCAGGCGGGACGAGAGCATAATGTATCTAGCCATCCTGTCTCGTGACCACCCTCGCTTCAGTTACTTCTGCTCGTAAAATGCCATATGAGCGGAGCTATGCGCTTTCCTGCAGGAGGCGCGCACATGACACGTCGCGTCGGCGTATCCTTGTTCCCGGGGGAGAAGATCTCTCGGTGCTTCTCGGCTCCAGCATACTTGCCAATCAACAAGTCGGCGTGAATTATGTAGTATGTAGTAACGTGCCATTCGAGAGAATCGGGATCGGTTTCCTATTCTTCTCACCTCTTTCATTCCTTTCTCTCTTTTTCTTTTCTCCAATTCTCCTGTTCCGGGGAATATTTGCCCCTTATCATCATTCTTATCTGCATCGACCTGAAAAGGCTCGGGGATGCTGTAGGAGCCTTGCTGAAGACATGACTGACGCTGGACTTGACCTTAGGCCTTGGGGAGATTGCCATTGGCATCTTGACGTGCTCAAATGACCCGTTAGTTTCCCGGGTCTCTACGATGACGTTTTCCACGGTATTTCCTGACGTCTACTGGCGTCCGTTCAATGAGATGCGTTAATACTACTAATTACAAGACCTGCGTTGTCATTAAAAGGACTGAATTCTGTGGAAATGGCTAAGAATCCGCAGAAAGGGGCACCATGTATTGCAGTCTTGGTATACATCTCCTGTGAATACACGACAGAGAGCTTGGTTACACCTTGACAGCTAACAGATTTCCCCTAGGATCTCCCCCAAAGCAACTCAAGCCTTCATCATTTAAAAAATTATTGAGAAAATCTATACTTGTACCCTGGGTGCGTTTCCCGAAGCTTGGCCCGGCCGGGCGTCGCGTAGAGATTCTCGCGCGCCGTACCTCCGGGCACAGGGTAGTCATCTGACAGCCAACCCCTGGCTTCAAGCTCCGGGATGAGGAACTCGATAACGTCCTCCCAGGCTTGGGGTACTGCGACGTGTCCAATGTTGAACCCATCCAGGTCAGCGATGGTAATCCACTTCTCCATTTCATCCGCCACGGTCTTGCCGGTGCCCACGCTAAAGCTGCCGCCCCCTCCGATTGCGCGGTATTCGGCCAGAGTGCGCGGTGTCCACCTTTCGTAGCCCCACGGGCGCGCCAGGAGCCGTTCACGCTGCTCCTTCGTAACCCCGTTCCACAAAGGATGGTCTGGATCTTCTGGGAATTCTTCGTCCGGCGGAAACTTGCTGACATCAATACCCGAGATGCCACCGAAGAGGGCGAGCCCACCGTCTAGTATGGCATACTTTTTGTATTCCTCCACCTTGGCTTGGGCTTCCTCGTCTGTAGCTGCTAGTACGGGCGTGAACTGTATGAAAAACTTCAGGTCGGCGGGATCCCGGCCCTGTGATGCAGCAAGTTCTCGTGTCCGTTTTATCTTCGGTGCGAGAAATTCCGGGTTCTGGCCGCCGATGAAGACACATTCGGCATGCCTGCTGGCAAAAGAGGATCCTGCTGGCGACATCCCTGCTTGAAAGAGCAGCGGCGTTCTCTGGGGGCTGGGGTCTACCTGGTGGGCGCTTGAGGACTTGAAAAACCTCCCGTCATGCTCCACCTTGCGGACCTTTGAGGGATCTGTGTAAGTGTGTGTCTTGGTATCCTTGACTACAGCATCGTCTGCCCACGAGCCCTCCCACAGTCTTGGGCCTTGTTAGTTCATATCGTAAGGAGAGGGGAGGGAAGAAGAGGATGGGGTGCTTCTCACTTGTACAGCAGAGTGACATATTCTTCAGCCATTTCATATCTGAGATCATGTTCGGGAAGCTTGTCGAGACCCATGGCGCGGGCAGCATTGTCACTCCAGGACGTCACGATGTTCTACGACTTGTCAGTCCATACCGGGGGCTGCTGGGAAGGAAAGCGCCACACAAAAACAGAGATCAACCTACCCAAGCCATCCTTCCGTTGGTGAGGTGATCCAGGGTGGAGAATCTCTTTGCAAGGAGAAAAGGAGGCTCAAACGTGGTGCAGGCTGTAATTCCAAAGGCCAGGCTCTCGGTGACTGCCGCCATGGCAGATATTATCTAGCACGCTGTCAGCGGCACGAATGCGTCATTTGAAACTGCACCTGAACCTACGACAAACGGGTCGTACAGGGGCCATTGGGTGCCCGCCTGGATGGCCGGTGCATGACTTCCTTTGAATGTATCATGGGAGCCAAAGTTGTCCGCTTCGAGCAGGCGGTCGGGTCAGTCAAAGGTTCGATCGATAGATGTGTGAGAAGACAAAAAATCGTACCTAAGAAGAGGGCGTTAAACTTTCCTCGTTCAAGGAGCTTGGCCAGGTTGATCCAGTAAGGCAGTCTGTTTTTCTGCGAGCTCTGGTCTATGGGATTCTGCCACTGGCCAACACTGTGGTCATGGACATTTAGCAACTATACACGCCAGAAGGAACACGTCTGACTTGGTTATAAATGCTCTATACGGTACCTGATGTGGCCAATGCCGTTCATATCGAATGCATTCAGCAAAATCCGCTTCTTCTTCCCCTCTGTTGTGTAGCCATAGCGTCGTTCCCCGTTGACATTGGCAGACTGGGTGTCTACGGATGTCGCTGGGGTAGTCGAGTCCGGAGCTGGCATTGCGAACAGTCCAGAAGGATTTTTGAGGGAGTAGGCCGATGATCCTCCCTTTCCTCGTTCCGCGCTGAGTGCTTCGCGTGGCTTACATATATGTGCCCCCCCCCCGCAGGCCGGGGATAATGCTCAATAAGCGCATATCGCTTCAATGTATTGCATCATTTCTTGTCGGATGGCAATATGCATAGAACCCCGCCGTGTGATCACGAATTTGTAGTAGAAATTCCACAAGGCAGATATGAAATTATTTCTATCTCCGCTCGCGGAGGTGAAATATTTCAACCATTGAGAACAGGTGTGGGCAAGATAGCAAGATATAAACAGATATTGAACGCTCTACATAATGTACCGTACGTTGGCAGAGACGCTATATCTCCATATTCTGGACGATGATGGACCTTTGATAGGAAATACACGATAAATCATTAAAACTTATCCCAATCTCTCCCTTCTCAAAATCCCACAAAGCTGAGCGAATGCCATTCCACTATCTCGTATGTGTTCCATGGTTCTCGGGATGCTTATATATATGCTCTTGAAACTTACAATTCTACTATTTCGTCTTCAAGCCGAATTGGAGTTCTCGGGGACACTTTCAGACTCACCTTTACGCTTCTCGTCCCTCTTAGCCATCCAAATTACACCGATGGTCCAACAAACATACGTGACCTGTAGGACAGCTTCGGTGATGTATCCGCGGAAGAACCGAGGGGCCTGGACGGTGGGGAAAGCCAGGAGGGGGACCCAGCAGTTGAATGCAGTGCCTATGGCAAGCATGGAACTGATTATGAACGCCCGTTCCTCGGCATCGGCGGCACACGCAATGTTAGCGACGCTGTAGTTGATGGGGGATAGTGACACCTCGATGTAGCTTATTGCTATGGCGAACCTGCAGTTTGTTAGCCCCTGTAAGGTGACACCCACCTTCCCGATGGGGTAATGCAACACTTGACGCACCATTTGAAGCTGAAGGAAGTCTCGTCGTAAAGAATCCAGGCAAATTTGGCCACAAAATGTACTAAGCAGACACCGCCGATGATGGGTACAATGGCATCTTGACCGCCCTTATCCACAGTCCAAGAGATAGACCAGATGAACAGGATACCGAGACTCGGGTAAATGGCCTATATCAGGATGGTGATTAGACTGCGTGCAAAGCTGAGTTTTGTACGCATGGGGGAGGGGAAGCAAAACAACATACACTATAGTTGTTGACTTGAGGGGTGGAATACTGCTCATTGGACTTCAGCCAGAGAAGAGGTCCCCCGCTTGTCATAGACATATATCCCAGGAGCCACATGACGTTCCATGGAACCAGGACCCAAAAGTGCCAGCGTCCAAGGAATCGCTTGACGGAAACGAGGGACAAGTTGATCCCCTTAGATTCAAGGCGCCCCTCTTGACGCATCCTCTCCCTTGCGAGGGAGAACTCTTCGTCTGTGAAGAACCAACGCTTTCCATCCCTGGGTGTCCCAGGGAAACTGACAAATCCCCAAACTGCTACGGGTATAGTCATGACGAAACCCACGACGTACATCCAGCGCCACCCGGCATGGCCGAGTGCCCCGTCTAGAGACTGGAATATCCGTGCCGCGAGAACACTGGTTGTCATGGTTCCGAGGCCTGAAGATATGTAGAATATTCCAGCCCGACGAACCAGTTCATCCGCTCGATACCTGAATGCCCAGTGTCAGAGTAGGCAACCCCTTAAGATGATGAATATGTAATATCAGCCTTACCAACTGCCAAGGACGTAATGGATTGAACAGAAGTAGGGTCCCTGAAAAAGACCAATAACAAAGCGATATCCTGCAAGCTCGGAGAAGCTATGTGCTTGGAAACACAGCAAGGTAAATATTCCCCAAAGACACATGCACGTTGGGATAACGTATTGCGCTGGATATCTCGTGACTAAGAGCGTTGCAGGAACCATGGACCTTATCACATATATTATCAGGTTCTGGCTGTGAATGAGAGGGATGATTTGGGCAATGGCTTACACGCAGTAACCGACGCTGAAGATGGAGCCAAGCTGCACCAACTGGTTCTCAAAGAGCTGTAGGTCTTCCCGCATTCCACTGACGTATGCATTGCTAAGGATTCCTCTGTCAATGTATAGTACCTGGAGCACGGTAGAAAATCGTTATTAACCAAATTGCTGCATAAATACGTGTGTTGCTTACCCAGAAACCAATGAAAGCATACGCGAGAATAAAGAAGTCCAACTTTGTGATGAGCCGTCTCTCGAGCGGCCCATCGTTGGGATTGAACCACGAGAAGAACTGCTTATCGCCAAAAATTCGATTGGGTCTCTCGTTTCCCTGATACTCAGAGCCAACCTCCACCGTATCCTCAGCAACTCTCTTGTTATCCGTCATGGTGTTGAGGGGGGGGGGGGGGGATGGAGATGATGGAAGTTATTACAGAGTAATACAAGGGGCTCTCCATATTCAATTGAGCCTCGCATAGCTTGAGATAAACTCATCTATATATCTTTGGAAATAACGCCTGTAAGTCAGTGCTAATAGTATTGCTGTATACAGGATGACAGTTGAGTCGTTACATGCAGGCCGGAGCTGTCTTGGCAGATGCTTCAAAAGTTAGCCGATGTACGGAGCTTATTCGATGATGGCAGTGAGACACATTATGATGCCATAGCTCTGTTAAACATCCCATTCATTGTAAAACCCTTGATAAGCCATTCGTGATTCAAATTCTTCCCCACATAATGAAAAGCCGCGATACTTTGTATGAGCATGTCGTCATCCTCTCGGCGTTTATTGCCCACCAAACATCTCGGCTTTTTCCCGCGGCCCCCGTGACAGCCAGCTTGAAAATATTGGCAGACAACGTGTTGGCCCAAAACTCATCGGTTGATATAGCTAATTTGAGAGGCGACAGGAAATCCGATAGAAGCTGCGATGGAAATGCGAAAAATAGTGACTCGAGGAGACTGGACATTGATCATCAATGCATGTGGTGAGCGCAGTGAATTGGAGGAGACGCAGGCCCTCGGCCGCACGCCATTTTGGTTCCACACTTCATCAACGATGCAACGTAGGCACCAAGTCCGTTGATGCGGAGTTGTAATGCATATATATGAGAGGCTGTTTATAAACTCTGTCTCACGTCGCGATTTTATAAGTATTACCTGCACTTCACTTCTCTCAGTTTCAAAACAAACAGTTCATCAGAACCGCGACAATGACCGTTAAAGGACGGACGGTGATAGTGCCACAGAACAGAGGCCTCTGCTACTTCCCCAACCCAGAGCCTTGGAATCCCCACCGGCCAGTCAAGGTAACGCGGCAGTGGCTGTATGGATTCATTGTTGTAAATATTGCTAACGTATCGACTTTTGTAGATCATCGTGACAGGAGCTGGGATTGGAGGAGTTGCTAGTGCAGTGCTCCTATCACGCAAGGTGCCAAACGCGAGCATATCTGTATACGACCGTTTGGACAAGATTGTATGCTTCACAGACCCATTGAAGGAACAAAGTCCACTAATTGAGCCGGTCCTTACTCCAGGGCGGGACTTGGGCAGCTAATGTCTACCCCGGGGTTCGTTGCGACGTGCCATCTCATGCATACCGTATGTTCACTCAACGACCAATCTTCCCGAAGAGCAACGGATAACAAGGTAGCAGAATTGAGCTTTGAGCCAAATACAGAGTGGTCAGAGTATTACCCAAAAGGAGCAGAGATACAACAGTACTATGAGCGAGTTGTAGCCAAGTACGGACTCACTGATGACTTCCATCTGAGGCACGAAGTCCTCAAGGCCTCGTGGATTTCCGAATCCTCTCAGTGGGAGGTGGAGATTAAGAACCTAGAGTCCGGCGATGTGTTCATCCAGAGAGCGGACTTCTTGGTCAGTTCCCAAGGCCGCATCAGCGTTCCCAAATTTCCAGATGTCCCAGGCCTCGACACATACAAGGGTAGAGTTGTGCACACTGCTCGTTGGCCAAATGACTTTGATTACAAGAACAAGAGGGTTGCCGTAATCGGCAACGGAGCCAGCGGACAGCAGCTAGTACCAAATATCGTCAAAGATGTGGAGCACATTGACCACTACGTGCGCTCAAAGACCTGGGTCACGCCCACGTTTGCCGGGGATCTCTTCGTGGCCACGGCCGACAAGCCAGGTGGCCCCGAGTATTCCGAGGAAACGAGGAAAAAGTTTCGAGACAGTCCAGAGTTCTACTTGGAGCACCGACGTGCATTCAATGCCAAACTCCATATCCGCCATCCCGGCGCTGAGATCCTAGGTAGCCAAGCCAACCAAGACCTTCGCGATCGTATCACAGAGGTCATGCTTGAGCGTCTTGATGGAGATGAGGAGTGGCTGCGCAGAGTCGTTCCGGATTATTCCCCAGGCTGCAAGCGACTAACACCAGCACCGGGTTATCTGGAGTCTCTGAAAGGTCCAAAGGTCGACTACGTCACCAGTAAGATCTTGAGGGTTGAAGAAGGTGGCATTGTTACCGAGGATGGAAATCTGCGTAGAGTGGACGCCATTATCGCGGCGACTGGTTTTGAGAATGGATTTACCACGCGCTTCCCTGTCATCGGAAAAGACGGCGTTGATTTGAGAGAGAAATGGTCGGCAACTGGTGCCATTGGTTATCCCGAGACATACTTTGGCGTCATGGCACCGGGCTTCCCCAATTACTTTACCGTTCTTCAGGTATTTTCTCCATCATCAAGATTTTATTGTCAATGCTCTGTAACTAATATTGCGGTCCAGGCACAAGGAAATGCCAGAGGTGGAACTGTCCCCCTTCAGATAGAAATCTCAGCAACATACATTGCGAAGTGCATCCGCAAGATCCAGTCACAGAGCTACAGCTCCCTGACTCCACGTCAAGATGCAACGCAGGAGTTTAATGACATTGTTAACGGGCACTTCACTAATAAAGTCACCAGCGACACGTGCTCGAGTTGGTTCAAGCAGGGCCCGGGCAAAACAAGGACGGTCATCGCTTGGCCGGGAACTTATCACCATAGGGCTGACATTCTGAGAGATCCTCGGTGGGAAGATTTCGAGTTTGAGAGACGATCGGATGCGAGGCTGAATCGCTACGAGTACTTCTCAGATGGCTCAACGGTGAGAGAAAAGACAGATGATGAGAAGGAGTTAACCAAGTATCTGAGAGCAGTTGGGGATATTGACATTGCAACTGTCCATGAGGCTTGGAATGAATAGATTGGCGGTATATTTGCAATGGGTGAGAATTGATCTATTTGCTCCCGTACCCACCGGTAGCAATGAAACCCTTCCTTTTCCCCCGGCTTCAATGAACGAGGTTTATACATGCTGAGTAGATTAAGAGTGTAGAAAGATACATCACATTTCCATTTCATCTTGTCGACAACTGCAGGACTGGGAGAGAGGATGAGAAACCTATCCTCTTTTCTACGGGCCAACCTTGACAACTTGTAAAAAAATTTAGGGAAGCTTAAGTGAAGTACGACTAGGGTTATAGGAGCACGCCGTATTCATATTTCGGTATTTATTGAATAATCATCCATCGTTACTACACAGTACCTGTTATAAGTTGTCGCTCGTGCCAAGAAATTACCACTCCTCTGAATGCTCCATACATACATAGCATGCCCGGAAGTATATGCAGAGTCAATGGTTGGGAAAACGAATTTAACGTAGAAACACCCTCCCCGCCTACCCCAAGCAGACTCATTTCCTCTCAGTGACACTTTAACGGACATATAATTCTTTCCCGTTATAATAATATCGAGCTAAAATTTTTATAGGGCAAATAGGAAGTCGAGTCTGCGGGGAAAGTTAGCATACAGATGATGTAGGTGCAGTCCAAACTCTACTCACCTCTTGTTCCCTTCGTCGGTTGTGTTTTGTCTATAGTCGTCTCGTTCCTCTGGAGACATGGCATCCCATATCTTGGTCTTCGTATTGTTTCTCCAGCGGTAGTAAAACCATGTCGCAGGGTATTGGACGAGCTATAGTCGTCATTAGTATCTTTCATCATATTCACATCGGACCATGGGCCAAGATATATAACTTACACACATCCAGATGCAAATGACCAAAAGACCAGTGTTTGCTTTCTTGTATCGTGGAGAATCGCTGTCTTGGTAAACTGTAACCCTGGTCAATAAACCAAGTCATGTATATCTTGCGTTGGACTGAACTTACTGTTTGCGCCAATCATCCCGCTCGCTTGAACAAACATGTTATAAAGACTGCAAAGGATTAGAATATGGTGGTCTCCGGGGAATGCAGAGTGATCAACTCACGATGCAGATACTGTGCGATTCTGAACAGATCCTGCATTTCTGCTGGTCCATGCAACTTGGATGGGATGAGTGCTGTAACACGTTAGTATATTGATCAACAGCGTGGAGGTCACCGACATACTAGGGGAAAGACAGAAGCACTGTGGAGATGGCGAAATAGGACCATGCGCTAATGGGATCCGGCATTGCAAGGAGTGCCACAAAGCAAGGTAGTAGCCATGCGTCTTCCGCCATGGCCACGAGACTTCGATTATTGACCAGTTCGCTAATTCCCGTAATAGCCAACATGGTGACACACGAGGTCGCAATATAGGGAATCGACAGCAGATTCGTTTCGACGACGTTGAATCCAAGCTCTCTGAGCGAGAGTGAGAGGTACTGGCCAACAGGGTACTTGGGAAGCCCAAAGAGTAGACCGAGGATGTAGAGCGGCCACATGTCGTAATCCTTTGTACACTCCCAAATTTGTCGAACTGAGAGACCTTGTCGGTTGAACATTCCTCCTTTGTGTGGGTCGTCACGGATCACTGGTAACGTATTAGCCACGTCGGTTTTGCGGTGCTAGTGCCAGTGCCATGATCATACCTGAGTTGACAATGATCTTTGCTTCGTGATCGGAGAAGTATCCTCGAGGATTCCACCAACTCTTCGTTTTGGCAGGCGATTGTGGGAGGAGGAAAAAGGACATGAGCCCAATGATAACTAGATGCATGTTTCGTAAGTATAGCACCTTCGAATGGAAATGAACCAATGCATACATGTGAGGGCCCCCCTAAACCACGTTAGAATATTTCGACATCGCATAACAGCTGTAATATGGGCAACTTACTCGATGAGGTACAGCCATCTCCAGCCGGCGTACCCCAAGACTCCTCGCATTGATAGGAGGCCAACCGAAGCAAATCCGAAAGCGATCTCAGCTGTTGATTTGTTATCGTTAGTCACATCCGAGGCAAGAGAAAAAGGGCCGCATACAAAACTGCGAAGACATCCAGAACCAGGCTAGACGAATGGGGAGCTATTCAAAGAAGACATGTTAATTTCGCATCCTTGCTTTCAGTTAAAGCTGGGCTCTTACCGCTGTGCCGGTGTACCAGTAGCTGAGGTAGAGAATGGTATCACTATTTCCAACTTAGTATGGAGACAAATCAACACCAGGTGGGTTCGTGACATACGGAATAAAACCGCCCTGGAATGTGGCACTGTGGTTATTGGGTTAGCAGATATCACCTCGACCTCATCCAACGCAACAGCGGTCGAACTTACATTAAGTATCGTGTCGCCAGAAACGATGCACGGCCTTTCAGGAAGAACTGTAGACCGGAGATGACACTGAATATACAGATCTGGATTGGGATCCAGACATCGGGGCCAATTCTGCGAGAATCAGTACAGCTGTGCTTGACGAAAGTGTACTGAGAATTCTTACCGTTTAGAAATCAGCTGGGATGGCAACTCTGCAACAAGAAAGGCGACGCGGAAAATGGTTTGTCCAATATTCTGTTGATACACATCAGCATCATATAAATCTGGCGTACACTTGAAGACCATTCAGGGTAATAGATCTTACGTAGTCGCCCTTGGTAATACCAAGGTCATCCAGCATGTTATCCGAGACGGCATTCGAGATGTTATCTCTGTGGACATTGAGACAGGCAAACATTACGAAGGCCCAGAGCTTTTTTTTGGGAGGGAAGGGAGGAGAAGAGGTGTCGTGTTAGCTGTGATTTATGAATGTCGAATCTGGGTTGGAAGAACATACCAAGATCGTCCAGTCGACCTTTCGTCGCACCGATCGCTCCTCCCTCCATGTCCATCGAAACGACGGGTCGAAGGAGGCCCAGTTTTCCCACTGAGGATGGATGTAAGACTTCTTGTACTCTTCGACATTCTCAGAGTCCCAAATGCTGGGTTGCGTCGCAATCTTTGGAAGGTTAGCAATGGTCAGATTTAGGTCGGTTGGCAACCGCTCTTACCCCATCCAGATCCATGGAGTCCTTCTTCCGAAACCCCAAGGTCTGCAGAATTATGGCCCCTAGAGTGTTCGGCTTCGTAGAAGATTCCAGCTCGGCAGCCACCGTAGTAGTCGTCGCCAGCTGCTTGTTGCCATCTGCTCCCTTCGAGGTTTCAACATCCTGGTCCGACGGTCCGTTGGAGCCGTTGCTGTTAGTATTGGTGATGGACGACGCCATGTTGGATTCTCGAGCAGACCCGTCGACAGCTGCCACGTGGGTTGACATGTCTAGAAGTCGAAAAGTTAATGGATAAGGTAAAGTTGTAGTGCAGCCAGCGTTGTAGAAATAGACACGCCCTCGACTTCGAATGGGCTTCTAGTGCCGACACCCCAGTCCAAATTGCGCGTACAAGTACGAATAGAGTACCGAGTTTTGTCTATCTTGACCTACTAATGCATATATTTCCACTATGATAGGTAGGGGGCGAAAAAGTTTCTTACAATGTGGGCATCGGAAACTGTCCATGGCCCATCATAATGGCGACATCGCACAGGACCCATGCGTTTTTGGTGTTTTGCACCACTCTGGGTCTTGGGTACGCGATCAATTCACAATTATCTTGTCTAATGACGTGCTCTGCCAAGTACTACAAATTTATAACTGATACCTGATTTCTCGCATATTGGAACGTCGAAAAGTTGTTCTGGACAAAATAGGTAGTAAGGCCGCTCGATACGGTTCATGAAAAAGGATGTCTCAGTCCATGAGTATAGACAATCCTTAAAAAATACAAGCAATGGGGAGTATGGTTAAAGGGAGGGTTTTCGTTCCATGTTGATATCATTAGTATCAGTTAATGATACTATCCGCCGACCGCGTATGTACATATGCATACATTAAGTGGAGGCCAAATATCTGCGGGCTTTTCCGTCTCCAAAAGGGGCGACGGGTATAAAACCGGATCTCTGCCGCTGCACGAGCCAAAGTGGCATTGTAAGCAATGAGTGTACGGCCAACCCTAGGTTGAATACGCAGAGTATTATCAGAGGTAATGCGCATTTTCCTCGTGAAGCTGTCAAGGTAAATTCCAACGAGCGCCCGATCATCCGAGACGAGCATCCGGGACTTCTCTTAATAAGCAGGTGCCGATGCGCCGTGAGTAAAAGGGTCTGCTGCCCACCCATAGGCCAATGATGTCAATTTCATATGTTTTCACCTCGGGAATCTTTGGCTGGAAGGGGCAATGACTGCGTAATATTAACCCATATGTGATCCTTCCAAGCCTGCTCTGAACAACGAAGAATCCGCTCAGCTTCCCGACATCTAACTAGGCTTTACAGGGGGCTAACAACGGGTATTGATCGTAAACCGGTTAAATCGCGTACTAGAGAGGTTACAAGTTGACACTATTGCCAAAGCGTATAATCTGTAGTAACGATTGAGTCATGTCTCTATGCATGAATCGAAAAGGATTTACCCGCGCTACATGCTGGTTCTTCTGGGATTTCAGTGCAAGCTGCATAACGAATATCTGACCGTCTATATTCCTCGGTGAACGGTGTAGGCTATAGCGATTGCTGAAATACACATAATGTATAGTAATACGCGTAACAGCTGAGTAGCCATAAAACTAGCAATCCAAGTCTCATCGCAATCTACGACATGCGCCCCTTTTCATAATTGGCATCATTCCTGGGCGGCTGTAGTATGCCTTTGAATACTGTCCGTCTATTCCTTGTAGTGCCTTGTAGAATAGAATTCCATTCCGAAGCATCTAGTACAAAACGCATCAAGCAATTTCTATAGCCGCCTACCCTTCGAGTCAGCTACATCACTGAAAGTCTGAATAGCATTGTACGAGTTGTAATATGGGTAGGGCCTGTACTCTGGAATGAAAATGATTGGTGCTTCGGCTCTGCGTCATGACCCTGACGTGAGCACCAATCACCTTCTCCCATAGATTTTCAATGGACATCCTTTCTGGCTCAAGACCAGGACCTCGGGTTCGGGACACTGTTATGACTGGAACGTCCTAATTGGAGCATAGTGGACCTGGCAGTTCGTTAAAGAATATAATTAATGAATACTGGATTGGGAACTGCGCTTGTGGCACTGAATTAGGGGAGGATCCTTGTCATACAGCGCCTTGTCCTCTTGATTCCGATATATGGGCGCTCACAACGGACCATATGACGTGATATATCTGCAGTCAACAGAATCCCAAGAAGCACGGTGTTAATAAAAGCCTCATGGTGCAGAAGAGACACGGCACAACTCGCTCGCTCAGGAACGTCTGTGATTATTACGTGATATGTGGCGCAACGGTTAGAGAAAACGGTTGCTATGCGTCTCGTGGCACATCTTCCCCGTGGCCCCTAGCGTCTACCAAAGAAATAAAGTTGTCAATCAGGAATCACCTTGACGTGAATTGATGCGCGGAGTGAGTAGCTACTGCTACCCTCTTGTAAGGCACCCACTTCTCCACAAACTCTGGTCTTCTCTATCCCACGCGAGTGGTCAAACAGCGAGATAGCGAAGCGGAGAAAAACACCTGATAGGTTTCAAGTACGAGCGGGGAAGCAGCCAATACATGGACCCCCCCAGAGAGGAATCACCCAACAGACTATGATGGAAGGGCAAAATATATCTGGGAACTATGACGAGTGTTGCTCGAAACTTCGGCTTGGATAAGGCTGGATTTTATGTCTGCATTTAAAACATGATGACGCTTGCTTTCCGAGGAGAAAGACCTGGCGAACGCCCGCTAGGCAAGGCGATTTCCGAGCAAGGCCCAAGCGACAAGCGGGACTACGTGACAGCGCTCATGGAGGACCCCGACAAGTATGTCATGTTCTGCGGCGACGGCACCGACGACGCGATGGCTGTGGCCCAAGGGGCGGCGGGCGGCGGGCAGATGGGGGTATTAATAACACCCTGCAGCTTTCATCGGGCCAGACTCCGATCTAGTCTGCGCACATCTGAGTCCATGCAATTATTATATGCTTGCTTGAGACACCAACAGTCCCCATCTTTTTTTTTTCACCGGTATCTAACACTATACAAAGATGATCACTCATATCATGAAGGCCATTGTTTACGTTGAACCTAATAAGGCCGCCGTGAGAGAGATTGATAAACTGAAGATCAAAAACCCTGATGACATCAGGCTAAAGTAACGATAGTATGTTTTGGTCTTACCGTATATCATGAGACTTCAAATTTCTCACTTTGGTTCACAGGCTGCCATCTGCGGCTCCGATTTACGGTGAGGGCTAAAGTGATGCGTAGTAGGTATTGATATGCGACTGATACTATCACGCGACATTAGTATATAAAAAAGGCGGACAGCGGAAGAGCGAGCCGGGAATCACTTTCGATAGGATTGGAGTCCCAGAATGCGGTGCCAGCTGGATCGAATTGCTAAAATGGTCCAGGCTATAAGAATACGGGTATCCTTGAAGAGCTTGGGAATGGTGCGAAACTATCGAAGAAGAGCGACCTGATCGTTATTCCATCAAACGTTGCAGACGCAAGATGCCGCGATTGCAAAGAAGGGAAGACGGCCCTTTGCACCGGCGTCAATCTAGGCTTTTCTGGTGGTGTCTATGGTAAGATTGGGCCCTTCAAACCTTGGTGCAGTGTCGACAACTCACTGGTCTGTAGGATATGTCGCCATGGGACCTTATGGAGGAGGCCAAGTCCAGTATCCGCATCTCGTACGCCGATTCCACAACATTGATCCTACCGCCGAGAAAAGAGCACGAAGCTGTTTTCATTGTTCCTGCCGACATTCCCCCTACAGGTATGTTGTTCGATGACTTAGATGATCATGATTCTGCGAGAAGAAAAGAAAGGGGGCTGGCCAAAGAAGGGGACATAAAAGGCTGGCACTCAGTACAGGTTCGCACAGCGTCGACATATCTGGTTCCCAGTCTGGAGCCTGTCGCGATTTTTGGTGCTGGTTCTATTGGTCTCGTGGCAGCGTACTCAGCTGCAATCCGCAACGCTAGTCGGGTCTACGTCATTGACCGTGTTCCTGAGCACCTAGATACAGCTGCCAGAATTGACTGCACCCCTCTCGATGCTAGTAAAGGGAGACGCTGTGGAGCAGATTGAAAAGCTCAATGGCGGTTGTGCCGACCGCTGCATGGATTGTGTTGGTTACCCAGCTGTAGGCCAGGTGGTGCCTCGGAGCAGCCCAGCATAACATCGTCATGGAAAACGTGATCAAAGTGACGAGGGCTTGCGTGGTATCCCTGGACTCCATGTTCCCAGGTCAGTTCCCTGCCCTCCACATTGACATACATATATCTCGTTACAAGCTGACAATTGGCCTTGGACTATTTGAAGCAGCAGCAGCAAAAAAAAAAGGTCCTCTTGACCTTCAGGAAGCTATCCGGGGAGGTATTGCGTCTCTCCAACGCCAAAAGGCATGGTAAGAACACACGCTGAATGCAGTTCTGTAAGGGCTGCCACCCAAAGTTTGACAGTACAACAACAACAAGACCTATAATCGTCAATACCTCTGTGACTTAATCATCAAGGGCAGGGCGAAGCCAAGCTTTATGGTATTCCATGAAGTTAGTATGGACAAGGTCGAGGTTGCCTACCACAACTTCGACAAGCGTATCAATGGATGGATATACCAAGGTTCCAATTCATCCCAATGGTGGATTTTGAAAAGGAATTACATACCGGATTGTCGATATGCCTTGTATTATTGAAGTAATAAATACTTCAGGGGGCCCGTAATTGAATGTGAATTAACCGTACCCGCCTAACGGATCGCTTGATGGGTTCGGATGCCAGCCAGCCCGATATTACCATAGCTGAAGGGATCTTGATCCACTCTACTTCCCTATTCTCTATGTCCCCATCTATCAAGCCCATTGTGTTCGAGTGTCTCCTGTGAATTGGTGGCGAAAGTGTTTGAGAGATTGATATCATAATTTTCAATGTTTAGATTTCTGATCAAAGAGGGATATCATGTCCATTGATGGGGCCTTGCACCGACCACTTAATATATACTCCATGGATTATCGTAAATAAGTATAGGAAAACAGAAACTAAAAACAGAAAAAAAAAGAAAAAAAAAACAACACAAAAAATGCAGCCACACGCTCCGGCTGGACAATCCGATAGACCCAATGTACCCCATATAATGACTGGTCGTAGAATAAAGTTCATAAAATAATAGACAACAGGTCGTCTACCAGGATTGCGCATCCGTTTTCCTTAAACCAGAGGTTTCAGTATTTCCCGGAGTGGTATGCCCAGAATCAGAAATCGACTCCCTGTCGCCGTTCCAAGCGGCCCGCCGGCTGGTGACGACCACATCAGTCGTCTTGATAATTCCTGAGGACTCTAGAATGTATTCCCCACTTCCCCCATCGTCCTTGCTCGCATCCACGTGGGAGCTTTGGTCACCCCTATGTTGGGGGATAGTGACGCCTGATCCTGAAGGTTCAGACTCTGGATCAACTCCGCTTCCCAGAGGTTGCATGCCTCCCTTGCCACTCCTCCACGACTTCATAACGTATTCAGAGCCGGTCTGTCTTGACTTGGATCCGGTTCCACTCCTTGTCTTTTCGGAGAAATACTTGATGAGTGGTGACATGGTGGGAATGTTGCAAATGATGATTCCAATGTCATTTTCCACAAGAGACCAAATAATGGATGGGGCAGAGTCGAGCGGGTTTTTGAGGTTCTTGATGGTTTGGATTCGAATGCTCTGTATGACTGTGACAAAAATCCCAAGTGCAAAAAGGCCTAGCAACACAACCTTCTTGCGTGTTTGAATCCTTGATTTTATAAGGACGGGGAACGGGAAGAGTAGACTGGATTGAGGTAAAGATTAGCCACAATATCATTCATGTATCGTACATCACTCGGTACGGAAAGGGAAACTTACACCATGACGTCCATGACGATTGTCAAGGATGAGAAGGTCAAATAGAAGGTGACCAAGTCAACGCATTTTCCGGTAACGGTCGAGTCCCATTGCATAGCAATCTAAACCAGTCAGCTCACGGTCCACACAGAATAAGGAGATACAAAGGATTTCCATGATATTACAGGAATGCATCCGAAGATGAATATGCACATGAAGGCGATATGCGCTGCCATGACAAGCACGCAGAGAACGATACAGGATATTCGATATACCCCCTTAGGCATGAATCGGAGATAAGAGAGCAACAAGCTTAACTTGAAGCACCAGATCCCAAGGACGTAGCTAAAACGTAAAGGTATTGTGAGAATCGACAGACTGTGGCACGAAGGGTTCAGGTAGCTAGTACGTACAACGGTGCGCCTATGTATTGCAGCTATTGCAAAAGCATTAGTAGGTTGATTTCATGACCTGCTCTAGATCATAAAGAAGGTAATGCGACTTACCAGCCCGAAGTTATACATGTTTTCCGGGGGGAAATCATCGAGTGAGTCGAGTCCAAGGCCCCATCTTGTTTCTATAAACTCGAGTTAGAGGTCTGCCTAGTCCATGGGGGTCTTATAGAAGGTGAAGACGTACGGATCACAGTGCAGATTGTATAGCCAACAGCTCCGATCTGTCGTGAGTCTCTTGTCAGCCTCATGTCTAACCATCGCAGCGCATGAGTTCCAACCCGTCGTAGGCATACATACCCCTGAAATAACAACAACGTAATCATCTGTTCCCTCATTAGCAACCTCATTTTTTTTTCTTTGGAAAAAAGACCCTGTTGAATCGTTCCTGCGTACCCCATCCTGTTGCTTTGACTATGAGGAGTCTGACGTATAGGCGCACGAAAATCGTCCCGATGGCAAGCGAAGTCATAGCCAGTCCGGCTCCAGTTAGGGTCGGACCATCAGTCGGCGTCCCTTCTGGTGTGTTGAAGACCCAAGCCATATTGCTTCAGTCTTTTTTCTTGAGGGTTTTCTTGATCCAAAATTTGCCGACTAGTTGTCTCTTATCCCTTGCTGGACTGGCCAGAATCGGGAGAGTCTAGTCGATTAAAAGGAAGAGAAAAGCAGGTGTCTTTTGCGACAAAAGTTATGCAGGGGAATGGGATTCGCGTGACAAGTGTTCTCTTGTAGTTTTCTCCCTGAGCTACAACTGTGTGGCTATCAATGTGGCCCAAAAGGGCTTAACTTCTAAGATGGCGGAACACGTTTAGTCGCAGACATGGATCGGGATTTTCGTAGCATCCTTCTCCCACGTACACATGGCTTATGGATGCCCTCCGCGTGACATTTCCACCCACATGGCATGGTTCTGCTAACCTAGGCTTAGAGGCTGACTAGAGTGAGTACTGAGGGGCATTTTTCAGGCTGCTGTCTGTCCAGCGTTGATGTAATCCATATGCAGTACTACATATACCAAGCACATGTATACATGCAGAATTGCCAAGCGTGGAGTTTCTTAGCCTTCAGCAATCTCATGGTGCCTCGTCCCGACACTAAAAGTGCAAATGTTGTGCGCGATGCCGTATACGAACAAGCTAAAAGCGCCCAGGAGGCGCATCGGATGGAACGCAATCTTGTCTGTAATAATACCTAGCAGATTCCATGTATGGGCCTTTTGCAAGGGCATTTGGGACAAGTTAGTAGACTTCTCACGTAACGTGAGAGTGTGTGGCTAGAGTGACCGGATTGTCGTCTAGTTGTCGTCTAGTGGTATCTGTGCGGCGTGAGCGCATCTGTGCTACATTTCCTCAAGTATTCCACGGACATCCGTATGCGGCGAAATGTTGTGGAATCGCCCCGTATGGATAACATACGAAATAAGTGCGGATTTTGCTGATCCGCCTGTGCCAGTAAGAGAAGGCAGTTCCGTCATGCAGGGCCGGACACATGGTGGATCGGTACGCATATGACCAGTCAAAGTCTGTTATTGACGATCCCTTAGACTGCAACTAGAAGAAACCACGTAAGAACTAACAAAGCCGATAGGTACATCTACTGCAGCCACCCCACTTGCTTACACACACAAAACACAAGCCGTCGTCCCAAGCCCTTCAACGCTATCAATCACGTAAAATGCGCCAAGCGAGTTTCTCTTAAGTGAACCCCCCCACGGCTTTCGATCCTGCCCAGCATTGGAGTAGGAGACTATCTGCGCCACTCCGTCAGTTTGTTATATTTGCCGTCCGGGATGATAACGTAGCTCGTACTTGTAGTACTGGGGATTTTTTGCTAATGACGGCCACCGTCGCCCACAGCCGCCGATGCTCGATTGAGGTCGTAGCCTCGTGGGACTGTACGCGAGTAGGCATGGTTCTCCCACAAGTAGGGATCGGCGGCAATGGACAAAGGTGCCGATCAGCCGACCGACTGGAGGATCCGTCGGTCAATAACAAAAAGCGCACTAGGTGGGCGAGCGAGTCAAAAATGATGATGCTGAGTACGGAGGAAGCCGGGGTGGTTTAGTAGCCCCCCGTTCATGTAGTACTGTCGCCAGGCACCGGCGCACGGATCATGGATGCACAGGGACTCCAGTGGGGTGATACGACGTATTGCGGACTCTTATTTGCGACTTGGACACAATGCATTCCCATACTCCGATGCCCATTGTCGGTCTTTTCGAGCCCTTCAATAGTTTCATATCGGGATCCTAGTTGCTATTAAGGCCAAGAAGAGCTCAGCCCCGATAACACGTCCTAGTAACAATATATTGCATATCCGGTAGGACGATACGTGTACGCATGGAACTAAAGACCTCTGATGGCGTTGTATTATTCGTATTCCGCAAAGAATAGCCTCAATCCTCAGAGCGTTATGTGTCCGTCACTCGGAGCTCATCCTTTATCGATCACTAGTCTATGGGACACGACAAGTGGGTTCCTTGGTACTTGTACTGGTAGCGTGCCTGGAATATGCATGGGCGTGCAGCATGAATGGTGGCGCCCAATGTTCGTTGTTAATGTCCGAACACGCGGAATCCTTCTACCATCTGGTCAGCTCAGGTGAGCGAGCACGAGGCACTAAGCAACGCCAGGCTCTCGTCTAACACATTTGTTCGGTCGTACGAATAACGCTCCTTGTCTTTGCGGCCACGCCGCATGTCTTGAGCCCAACGGGGTCTGTCGTGTTATTTCAATCGCCTTCCGCCGCTTACCTCTTTTCTTCTTTTTTCCTCCTCTCCACGCGCCTCTCCAGATTGTATCCTTAACCCACTGCGATCATGCTCTTGTCTGCTTTTTCTCTGCTGATTGCGGCCAAGGCCGCAATTGCGGTATCTATTCAACCGCGCGACACATCCTCCTGCAAGTGTCTCCCCCAGGATGACTGTTGGCCCTCAGCCGAGGAATGGTCCAAGTTCAACTCTACCGTCGGAGGACGCCTGGTGGCCACTGTACCGCTTGGGTCGCCCTGTCACGGCGACACGTATGATGAGGCACTCTGCACAGAGCTCCAGGACGAGTGGCTTTACTCAAGTGTGCAGTGAGTTATATATTTTCTCCCCACTGAAACTCCCTTGCGACACGACTGACAAGCGCACCGTTTCACAGCGTGAACTCTTCCTCGTCTGTCATGGCACCTCTCTTTGCCAATGCGAGCTGCGATCCGTTCACTTCCCGTAGCACACCCTGTACTCTGGGCAATTACGTCGTCTACTCAGTCGCCGTGTCCTCTTCCGATGATATCCGCAAGACAATAAGATTCGCTGATTCGCATAACATCCGCCTCGTCATTCGCAATACCGGGCATGACTACACTGGCCGCTCGACCGGAGCCGGTGCTCTCGCCATTTGGACCCACCACCTCAAGGGCACGGAGGTCCTGGATTGGGACGATGCCTTTTACAAGGGAAAGGCTCTCAAGGTCGGTGCTGGTGTTCAAGGCTATGAGGCTCTTGATGCTGCTCATGATGCCGGTCTCGTTGTCGTAACTGGCGAGTGCCCTAGCGTCGGCCTCGCCGGCGGCTACACCCAGGGTGGAGGTCACTCTGCCCTCTGCACCGAGTTTGGCCTCTCAGCCGACAACACCCTCTCGTTCGAGGTCGTCACGCCTAGCGGCGCCTTTGTTACGGCATCTCGCAGAGAGAACACTGACCTATACTGGGCCTTGAGTGGTGGTGGCCCGGGTACCTACGGTGTCGTCGTGTCCATGACGGTCCAGGCCCACCCTGACGCCAAGGTCGGAGGCTCCAAGTTCCTCATATCTGCCCCCTCGGACAACCCCGAGAAGATCTACGACGTCATCGATGCCTTCCACGCTGCGCTCCCTGATATTGTCGACTCTGGCGTCATGATCATCTACTTCTTCGGCACTGGCTTCTTCCAGGTTCCTGCCATGACAGCCTACGGAAAGTCGGCCGCACAGGTCAAGGAGATTCTCCAGCCTTTTTCCGACGCCGTCACAGCTCTCGGACTCCCATTTGAGCCCACCGTGACGGAGTTCTCCAGCTATCATGAGCACTACGACAACTACTGGGGTCCCTCGCCGGCTGGAAATATCCAGGTCGGCACTCAGCTTTTCGGAGGTCGTCTCATACCGCGTGCGCTACTGTCTGAATTCGGCCCTACCGCTCGCAAGATGGTCGAGATGAACGTCACCTTCATCGGCGTCGGGATGGACGTGTCTAAGTTCGGCAAGAACGGCTCCAATGCGGTCCTGCCTCAGTGGAGAGACTCTATTGTTCAGTCATCCCTGACTCTTCCCTACAGCTTTGACGTCCCTTTTGAGGAAATGGTTGCCGAGCAGAACCGCATTACTCAAGAAATCCAGCCCGTCATCGAGGCCGCCACCCCTGGTGCCGGTGCCTACATGAACGAGGCTGATTTCCAGCAGGAGAACTTCCAGGAAACCTTCTACGGCTCCAACTATGCCAAGCTGCTGAAGATCAAGAACAAATATGACCCCTGTTCTCTCTTCTACGTCCAGACCGGTGTTGGGAGTGAGGTCTGGGATGTTGCTAACGATGGCCGCATGTGCCGTGCAAGCACTCCCGCGGCTCATTGACTCACGAAAGGTTTATTGTGCGGAATTTTCAAATCCTGTCATCCTAGATACATATAGACTACATATAATATTTTTCACAACATGATGGCATCACGAGATACGTAACATATCTATATATGGGACTTCAAGTATCTTGATCAAGTGTTGGTAGCATAAGGCTTGTCGGATCAAACAGCTGAATAAGCCATCGGAAGAGGTTATTCGGATCTATTGCGACCCATTTTGCGACCCTGATGTGCAACCTCATTTTTCTTACTTATCTTCATAACACTCACTTACACTACGTGTCATATTTTTCCGCCATATACTAGTTAAGACAGCAGAGCTCGTCCTATAAAGGGATTTAGTAGGGGCGGTATTAGATCTAACACTACAAACATTAGGATCGATATAAGAGTTAGACCGTATAAGTAGAATAGCGAGGTTATTAAGCGAGGTTATTATTTAGTAAGTGCCACATTACAACGAAGCGTAAGAATTGCTCCCACTTGTCACATAAAAAGAGGTCGTTTCTCTTTTGTATGCTCTTGTAGTCTATCGGTGTGTGTGTACATTATTAGTTGGTTGTCTATGCGAGGAGGGATGTACCTAACGTTATTATAGTCGAGTCCTACTTACCTAATCTATAGAAAAAGTACATAGTAAAAGTATAATAAGTGCCCCTCACTAATAGAAAAGACTAAGTAGCCCACTTAACTAGAGGTTATCTAAGAAGGAAAGAAAAGAAAGGGATAGAAAAATGTGACGGTTGGTACGACTCTGGGCTATAGGGTAGTCAGAGAAGTGTCGGTTTTATATTGGCGAGGCCGTTAGGGCGTCTAACTAAGCAATAAGGTAGTTATAGTCGCAGGTGCTTATTATTAGGGAACTAGTTCTAACAGAAGCGTTAACTATTGTATTAATAGTTAAGTAAAGAGTGACTATACTATATAAATAAGGTTAACTATATACTATATAGTTTACCGTTATTATAGGTAAATAGCTAGTAAATTAGTTGCTAGTTCACTAGTGGTTCACGTGAAGACGTAGTGAACTATGTCGTAATGTTTCCTCTAGGCAGATCGTTAGTAGTGGAATAGTTAAGAAAAAAGTGGGGTGCACGTGAAGGTGTGACGGTTAGTACGACTCTATGCTACAGGGTAGTCAGAGAAGTGTCGGTTTTATGTTAGCGAGGCCGTTAGGGCGTCTAACTAAGCAATAAGGCAGTTATAGTCGTAGGTGCTAATTATAGAAGGAACTAGGGTTCTAAAAGAAGCGTTGACTATTATATTGATAGCTAGGTAAAGAGTGACTAGGCTATAGAAATAAGGTTAACTATATACTAGGCGATCGCTAGTATTCGTGAGGCGATTATAACGATCGTTCTAGTGGTCGCTACGATCCTATAGGCGATCGCAATGATCGTTACTTAGAACTAAGTGATCGCGTGTAAGTAGAAACGCTAGTGATGAGTAAGAAAATTATAGGGTACACGTGAAGGTCGCATAACGGGGGCCGTAATAGAAGGCCGCATAACGGGTCGTAATAAAAAAAAAAGAGATCAAAAAGGAAGGAAAAAGATTGTGTGACGTTTGGGTCAACTCTAAGCTATAGGCTAGATAGAGATGATATCGTTTTATATTAGCGAGGCCGTTAGGGCGTTAAACTAAGCAATAAGGCAGTTATAGTCGTAGGTACTACTACTAAAAGGAACTAGGGTTTTAGAAGAAGCGTTAACTATATTATTAATAGCTAGGTAAAGAGTGACTAGGCTATAGAAATGAGGTTAACTATATACTAGGCGATTAGGCGGTACCTATATTAATCGGTTATAGGTAAACATTCGATTTAATAATAATCGTAGTAATCGCCCTTAAGGTAATTCGTGGTGATTGTTACTAAAGCGGTATAATCGCGTGTAAGTAAGTATATTAATAAGTAAGAAAAAAAATATAGGGTGCACGTGAAGGTCGCATAACGGACCGTAATAATAATATTTAATACTATATAATACTTACCCTACCAATATATATAAGTTAATAGTATTTATAGTGCTCATTCTTGTATAGATATTATATTATTGAACAATCTCTTAGTGTCTTCTCTTTAATTAATAACCTTATTATCCTATTTATATAGTCTAACTATTATATTAATCCTACCGTTTATAGTATTATATCTAATACTATCCTTACTATATTGATATATAGACGAGCTTAGGTGTTCCGTTTTATTAGGGGAAAGCTCTAATCGTATCGGAATAACTTCTTCCGGTGGCTTATTCATCTATTTGATTCGACATAGCAATCTTAAATGATTTTTATTTGTCGTTATTTATTCGTACCCAAAGTACGTGGGGCTGGCCGCAGCGGGAGGACCCTAAACTGGTGATGAATCACAGTGACCTTTAGCGCCTGCCTATGCCTGGGACGTTCATGCTCCCGCGTAACAGTCACAACCTAGTGCCACGAATCCCCCGAGATAAGCTACCTAGACTCTGTTAGCGGCCAGTTTTCTCGGCGACGTACGAATAGGAAGGAACCCTTAGCTATTGCTAGCACCGTAACTTCTGTAGAAGGGAGCAACTTATTTCGGTGACAAAACTCGTTCCTGTCAACCTCACCTGATTTTCCTTCATCTTATTAGCGAGCGCTTGTCCACCAAACGGTCACAATTCATATATTGTGACAGAAGCTCTAGACACAACCGGAGCAGAGTACCTTAGAGCTCGTTGCGATCAGCCGTCGGCTAGTCAGACAGCCATGGCCTCTACAATACCCCCAGTTTCGACTGTCCTGCCCCCATTGATTCTCGGCACCGCGACATTCAACACGCAATACCACCCTGATCCTACACATATGCCCTACGAGCGCATCGTACGACGTGCCCTCCTCGACCATAAGATCGTCGCATTTGATACATCGCCATACTACGGGCCGTCTGAGATTCTTCTCGGAGACGCGCTCGAGTCTATCAACGCCCCACGATCATCTTATTTGCTCATTACCAAGGCCGGCCGCGTCGCCGCTGACACGTTCGACTACTCCCCAGCCTCCATCCGCGCATCTGTGCGCCGCAGCCTGTCCCGGTTACACTCCCCCTATCTCGATCTTGTATACGCCCACGATGTCGAGTTTGTCACCCCTGCTGAGGTCCTCGAGGCTGTCCGCGAGTTTCGACGACTCCGTGACGAAGAGGGGCTCCTGCGCTACGTGGGAATTAGTGGATACCCTGTGGAGGTCTTGGCGTCCCTGGCTGAGATGATATTGCGGGAGACGGGGGAGCCACTCGACGCTGTCCTCTCCTACAGTCACTTTTGTGTGCAGAATACTAAGTTGGGGGAGCCTGCCCTGCTCCAAAAGTTTGCAGACGCTGGTGTCGAGTGCCTGCTGAACGCAAGCCTGCTGAGCATGGGCTTGCTGACTACACGAGGTGTTGATGCCGGCCCCATGGCGCTGTGGCACCCTGCGCCGCACGAGCTGCGTCGTGTGTGTAACGAACTCAGGTACGTCGCCGAGGCGGATGGGGAGCGCCTTGAACAGGTATGCATCCACTGGTCCATGGAACATTGGGCCAAGATTGGGGGCTCCTTTGGCACCTGGGCCGTCCCAGTCAGGCATAGAGGCCAAGTTGCGCCGCAGTCGACGCGGCTAGGTATCAGCGTCATAGGTGTATCAACCGTCTCTGAACTCGATGAGACGTGGAACACGTGGTGTAGTGTCGTCGAGGAGTCTGCGACTGACGCCGAGCTTCGCAAGAGGGAGATGATATCATCCATGGTCGCTGAGAGGATGTGGCCACAGCTTGGAGAGTGGAAGAACTTCTCTTGGCCTTCTGGGCTCACTCAGTCGCGTCTGGGGAAAGGCAATAGTTTTGATAGCCAAGAGCCCCATCACAAATCGAATGGTTCTACCAATCTTTCGAAGATTTAACATAATTCTTCTGCAAACTCCTGGGGGCTCTGGAATGAAAATGGCCGGAATGAATTTACAAAAGGGAATTAACTATCCTCAAAAATAGAAAAATAGAATCATTAAACAATGTTAACGAACATACCGCTGTGCCCCAAGAAAACAAATGGCAATAATACTAGACGCCACACATCATCTCTCGAGATACGATGACTCTATTTCATATCGCCACACGTATGCTACTCGTTCGTAAACACAGGTAAGCCACCTTGGACTATTCTGTACCTCGAGAGACTACTCTCGAGAACATCGAGCCTTGCATATGTTCACTCCACATTCTTGGTCACGGTATGGAATAGTCTAAATCCATGCGCCTATTATGTCATAGCCCTTGTAAGATATCTCTATCCTATCCTTCAAATCTTGCTGCCCATATTCACGTGCACAGCCTTGATTTGAGAATAAGCCTCCAGACCGGCCTCTCCAAGTTCCCTCCCAATACCGCTCTGCTTCACTCCTCCGAACGGAATGCGAATGTCCGAATCTTGGCTGCTATTGATCCATACCATGCCAGCTTCAACGTTTTCGGCAACCCTATGTGCCCGTTCAATGTTGGTAGTGAAGACTGCAGACCCGAGGCCATAGGCCGAGTTATTCGCGAGCTCAAGAGCCTCGTCTTCAGTCTTGAATACGGAAACAACGACCACGGGTCCAAATATCTCTTCTCGGAACACCCTCATGTTTGGTGTCACGTTAGTGAAGACTGTAGGGGCGATGAAGAAGCCCTTTCCATCCCCGGCAACGTTTATGGGATGGCCACCGGTGGCCACAGTCGCTCCGTCCTCCTTGCCGATTTCAATGTATTTTAGGATTCGGTCGTATTGCACCCTGGAGATCTGGGGGCCCTGGTAAGTGTCTTCGGTCCATTGACTTCCCACCTTGCTGACCGCTTTAACAGTGTGTAGGAAGATTTTCATGAACTTTTCGTAGATGGTGTCCTGCACTAGGATACGGGAAGTGGCAGTGCATATCTGCCCCTGATTGGAAAATATACCAAGGTGAGCCCACCTAGCAGCCTGCTCGAGGTCGGCGTCGTCAAACACCATGAGCGGGGACTTGCCGCCTGTTTCGAGTGTAACATTCTTCAACGTTTTGGCGGCGGAGCTCATGACATGTGTAGCTGTTGCCGTGGATCCGGTGAATGCAATCTTGCTTACTAGGGGATGCTCCGAGAGCGAGGCCCCTGCCTCAGCTCCCAGGCCATTGATGATGTTAACCACGCCAGGGGGGAAGCCAGACTCCTTAATGAGACGGCCTAGAAAGAGGGCACTCAGAGGTGTCTGCTCCGCGGCCTTGAGGATAACCGTGTTGCCGCACGCCAGGGCTGGACCCAGCTTCCATGCTGCCATAGACAGTGGGTAATTCCAGGGGATAATTTGGCCGACGACGCCAATGGGCTGACGAATAGTGTAGGCAAATTTGAACCGTGTGGTGCTGATAGTCTGCCCAAACACCTTATCGGCCCAGCCTGCGTAGTAACGGAACGAGCTCACGCTCTCCGGAACGTCGCCTTCCAACGCTTCCGAGTACGTTTTCCCTACCCAATTGGTTAATGAGACTGCAATGGGAGAGACACGAGGGAAAGAATGGGGAGATGAGTATACCATTGTCCCAAGCTTCAATCGTCGCTAGAATTTCACGATTCTCCTCGATCAGGTCCGCGAGCTTGTTCAGTAGCAGGCCCCTATCGGTGGGACTCGTCCGTGGCCAGGCGCCGCGGCGAAAAGCCCGATCCGCCGCTCTTACTGCCTTGTCCACATCAGCAGCATCTGCAGCCTGCACTTCGGTAATGACAGTCTCAGTTCTGCTTTGGTTAGCTAGACGCATCCGATAACTTCTCGCTTTAGGTACGTACGCCGGGTCGACAGATGCAATAGTTTTGCCGCTGGACGCAGCAACAAACTCATTGTCGATGAAAAGGCCCGTTGGCTGCGTATATTTACGACCGTTGGGTGCTTGAAGTTCAACTGCTTGGGCCATGGTGCACAGAAATCGTCGAGCCCGTGGAACTTTAGTGCCAAGTCGATGCGATGATCGAATACACAATGATGAACTCAACATGTTTTGGCGTAGCAAAAACCTCAAATGAGGTCTGCTAGCTTTATAGGTCTAGTGCGGAGTTATACACTTCCGGTGCCAAATGTACGAGGACTGTATCTGTCGGTCCACAGATACCCACCAATGCTGTGCCCGTCGGTTTGGCGTTTGTGCTACGTAAACGACTACGATTATCAACTCGTGGCTGCGGGAGGCCCATTCGCGAGGAGAGATATCTCCACGGGGCTGGGCTCGAAACGTACCCAAAAGAGGCAAGAATCTTCCCTCGGCTCAAAATCAACGGTGCACAAAACTTGCCTTGTTGGGTCATAGCGAGTTAGGATACGAGCGGGGTTGATAATAATACGACTCTCAGAAGAAACATGTAATACATTCAGGCATTAATAGTACGTAAACAGCTATTACCGGACATTGTGCCACAAACAGCACTCGATAATAATACTAAGGAACCGACCAACAACTGACATTACTTGTTCAATGACTATTATCTCCAACCTGGAACTGGTCTATCTAGCTTGAGAGCAGAATTCTGTAGGTGACTATGCACGGACCATGTTCCTCGACGCTATAGAACAATTACGTGGTGGCTCAGATCAAAAAACATTTCCGCCCATGTCGCCATTAAATTTTGCGAACCCCATATACTTTCAAGGGCTCTAGTGACAGACCGCACCGAGGCAAATCTCATGTTATCATATAGGAAGCCCAGTAGCTCCAGGAATACCTCTTGTTGTTCTCTGAGGTGCGCATGTGCGCCTGCCACGCATAACGGAAATATGGCGCAGTTCAGGACCTTATTTGGCCTCGGTATCTCCAGTATGCAGTCAAGGCAAGACCGCACGTGTTGCTGGACAAGAGGGTGAAGAATAGGGAGCCCGCATATTGCCCGGTACAAATATATCAGGCCTGTATGTTGAAAGGCTCGGATCAAAGCAAAGGCGTGGACCGCTTCGATATTTCTTTTGACTAAGGCCTTATCCTCGCTGTCGGTATGCTTAGCAAGCGAAGCGTAAGCAGGGCGAAGCACCTCTTCGAAGGCGCGCACCTCGTCCATGGATAGGTGTGCAGACCCGTCCCGAATGGAAGAATAGTAGAAGGCAAGGGCAGACAGTTCGCGCAGGACAGAAGCGATCGACTGTCTATTCCAGGGATCTCGAGCCCACCAAACTGCCCCTTGGTCAACAGTGTGCCATATCGATGGGGGGTATAGAGGTGCCTTTCCATGAAGGAGCGCAGTCGTAAGATCGGCCGACACGAACTCGGAGAGTAGCATTTGAAGGGACTCTGGGGCCGAGACAAGAACTCTGTCTACCTCGCCCAGTTCTGATAGAATTGCTGCGACGCCTCGGTGGTGGCTGGCTGTGGACGATCCCTCTTGATTTGGGTCCATGAAGCCGTCGTGGAGGTACAGAAGGAGAACTGCAAATAGAAGGACGAGGAGGGAGCCGGAGCGGCTGCCGTCGCAACATCCATCAACTTCCGACTTGATTGCCGTAAGGCACTCGAGTCTCTTAGCATTGAACCGATGGCGGTCGACCTCGCCATTCTGCGATAGGCGATGAGAGCCCGCGAGAACACATGCTGACAGCAACACCACGCGGTACTCGAGGGCAACGGGAAGCGGCGGCGGACATGGAGACTCTGATGTCTGAAGCAGCGGCCAGACTCGACAGTGGAAGTAATCGAGAGCAAGCTTCTCACTAAAAATCAGTCCATCCTGTCCCAGCCCGGGAACCTGGTAGGGAGACGGCACATGGCGAACACTCGGTCGCGAACTCCATCGAATCAGCCGTGAGTTATAGTCGCACTTTGCACCAATCTTGACACAACGCTGGCAGACAGGCTTGACAAGGTCGCAGCGGGTCCGACGTTTTTTGCACGGCCAGCAGGAGCCTTCGACGACCCGAACACGCGCCATCTGTCGAAAATGCGCATATACCCGTGGACCATGTGGGGGAAGGCTATGTGCTTAACATGAGCACAAGGTACTATGGCATGGGTGCACTTCAAAAGACGTTATTGACCCGTGAAGCAATCAAGCCAAGATAAGATGATACACGTACGAGTAATGGTTGGAGATGGGCGTACGTAACCACCGAAATACAGGATACATATCTACTGCTGCACGACCCGAGTGGGCCCTGCGGTTAGCCGCACTTGGGAAATCCTGATAAACGACTGCTAACGTAACGTATCAGTGGTCACGATAAGACACCCAATCGCAAAAGTTGCACCCAAGTAGAGCTGACGCAAGACAAACCTGGGGAAATGCGCGTGGGATGGGTGGGATGCGCGGGGCTTGGTGAAGAAAAAAGATTCGCCTTCTAGTGGCGATGCCTGAAGGTGAAGGGTGGCCACAAAAACTACCGCATTGGGCTTGGTTCAAACATCCATCGGGGGCCAACCAGGTTTATGGGGCAGAATAGAAGGAGGGGACATGGGGTAATAATATCGAAGAACTTCTAATGTCTGGGCAAGTTGAAAGCGGAACCTCCAGTGCGCAAAATCCACACCCTCACATTTACCTACATGCTTTTTAGGGCGTATAGGTATATGCAATTTGCTGGTAGTCAGTTCGAAGTTTCGAAGCATATTGAGCAAGGAAGGGGATTTGTAGTAGGTCATGTGGAGATGCATATGAAACCATGAGGGAGGGGTTCGTACATGTACATACAGTCAAAGTACGATATTGGGAACGAAAATATGGGATTGAGCAAGAAAATTGATGGTTATGATATCTAAAATGACAAAATCTCAATTCGAGACTGATTCAGCCTTCTTGAAATCTTGAATAGTCTCCCCCTCTCCACTGTCTATTCCCTGCACATAGGATAACTCAAGTTGACGGGCTTGAATCCGGCGAGCCTCCCCCTCCTCCATGCGTAGATATGTCTTGTGACCCTTAATGAACCAAAATGTGAGAGATACGACGAGCATTATACCAAAGACGGCGATGGCATAATTCATGCTGGATCCAGTGGGATTGGGCTCCGATGGAAAAAGGAAAAATATGGTGGTGATGACGCAGTATGCAATGGAGATCCAGTTGATAAGAGGCCCAAGGCGGCCCAGGGAAAATTCGCTACCAGGGGGGAGCTTGTCGCGACCAACAACGAGAAGGACGATGATGGGCATCGCATAAGATACTGTGAGCGCAATGGTAGAAACGCTGAGAATGGCCTCGAGGACCGTGTCGGCAAAGGTGTAGAGTACGCCGACTAGACTGACGAGAGCACACTGGAGCCAGAGCGCACGAGTCGGAGCCTGCCAGTAAGAGTTGATGTCGCTGAAGTATATGCTCCATGGGATGCCTCCATCACGGGCAAACCCCCACGTCAAGCGGGAGCCTGTAGTCATGATACTGACTGCTTGACCAATGCCGTTGAATATAAACAGGGAAAGCAGCACAGATGAACCTTCGATGCTCATGACTTGGACCAGGAGGTCAATGAACGGAAATCCAGTTCCAGTGGTGGTTGAGTTGAGGACAGCATCTATATCCTGGATGCAAAAAAGACAGGCAACCATAAAAATAAATCCAGACAAGGCACCCATGAGCACGGACAACCACAGAACGCGGGGAACATTCTTCCGCGGCGCAGGAATCTCCTCCGCAAGATGGACAGCAGCATCGAAAGCTGTGAGACCATAGGCAGCCTGGACTAGGCCGACAAGGAAAGTGACGCCATCGCTCCACCCGGTCTGGTTTATCCATTCTCCAAAGACAAAGCCGGCTGACTGATACTGAAGCTTCTCCTTGATCCCAACGCATATGACGGGGGCGAGGGTAAAGACAAAGAAGAGGGCGATGAATGTGATGCCGACGAAATTATTGAACCATGGAAGAATGTAGTCGCGGCGACCGAAGGCGATATTGAGGACTGTGAGGAAGATGGTGATGGCGACGTACAGGAGGAAACTGATCCACCCGGTGCCGGCGTAGGCCCAGTCGGGTGTGTAGAGAACCTTCATGCTCAAGATGAAGTCGGCCATGAAGGCGTTCTGCGATGCTGCGATCGTCCACCATCCGAATGTATTGATCCAGGCACACATGTATGAAGTGAAACGGCCGAGTTCGCTGGGCCAGATGCGCGCCACCCAGTATGCTTGGCCAACGGCAGTAGGCATGCTACTGCAGAGTTCGCCCAGGGAAACGGCCACGCAAAGGTTGCACAGGGTCACCAGCACCAGACCCCAGAGAATTGTGACAGGGCCACCATTAGTGAGGCCGCTGCTAAGGTCTTGGGCGAAGACGGACCAAGTTCCCAAGATGCTGACAGCAAAGAAGAACATGCTCCAGGCGCTGAACTTGCGGCTGAGAGCCTGCTCATGGCCAAATTCGGCAAGGTCTGCCGCATCCTGGTCGACCTGGGAGTCGCGGGCAGGATGTATGGGCGGCGGCTGAGACTCAATTTCAGTATGCATGACTGCCGTTGTCGTCGTCGCCGTCGTTGTTGTTTTTGTTGTCGGTGCTGTAATGTAAGATCAATAATGACTAAAGCCCATTGTCATACCTTGGCCCCATTGGCAGAAGACGAAGACAGAGGAGAGATGAAATCCTGCGCCGCGATTTGTTTTCTTGTTATTATATACTAATACAATCATGGGAGGGCAATCAGAGATAGGAGAAGATGCAGCATTAATTACGATATCCTGTGCAACACGGAGGAGGCGATAACGCCCGCTTTAGCGTTATCATCATCACAGGTAATAATATGGGGTTGCTCGCGGCTCATACGGCCCAGCTGTTACCAGAGTACTCGTACATGTTTGTACATTACATATTAATACATGCTAAAACGTAACGACAGAGGTACAGAGTTTCTCCACCTAAAATCATGCCCCACTCGAGTGCTATTCATGTTCGATGAGGGACCAAAAACTTTCCAAATTCGAACCGCGCCAGGGACGATCCGTTATCTCGGCTTTATACTCCTACCCGGATTGGCTCCTGTGCTGCTCAGGCCAGTCAACCGCTCGACTCACAAACTCGTGTCATTAGCATACCCAATTATGAGCAATACTAGACCCAATCAGACCCACCATCGCCGCTTCGTGAATCCTTTTTGGTGGAGGCGAGAGGGCATGCCTCAGCGGGGCAAAGTTATGAAACTGGGACTTTGTTCAACCTAGTAACACAGCTTCAGGCGTTAAAGTCCTATATAAGCATTGTTTCTGGAGCTCTCGAAAATTTGCGGGAACAGATGGAGGAAAAGAACATCAAGACAACTATTTAGAACGTACGATAGCCAACATTTTCCTTCACATTTCTGCCGTCTGTTCAGCTCCCACGCCAACTAGTCACCCCTCCTGGATACCAATACGGTTCGCGTATGATCATTTCCCAATCATGATCCCGGACTCTTCGTCAATCGCTGGCTACACCATCTTCCGGAAAGAACCCAATGATCCAGTGCCGGACTTGTCAAGACAACGCCAGGTCCATCCTCTAGGTGGGACTTTCCTTCCTACCTGTCTACATATACACGTTACTCATCACTAATACAAACCAGATCAATTGTCGGTTGATGAGATCCGTGTTGCGTCGGAGCTAATCAAAGCGTACACATCTCCCAATATCATCAAGTTCAACTGCCTCACTCTGTACGAGCCGGAAAGAGCTGCTTACACTGCTTTCCGTGATGGCACGGGCTCAAAACCTGACCGCAAGGCGTTTGCAATTGTCATTTCGAAGGGCACAGCCCAGGTTTCCGAAGTCATCGTGAATCTTACTCACTCCGCTGTGGAGGGTTGGAAAGATGTTTATCATGTGGCACCGACTCTGACCTTGGAAGATCTCGACATATGCGAGCGGGTGGCCCGTAATGATGCGCGAGTCATACAGGCGTGTCGAGATGTCGGTATCACCAATATGGACAAGGTGTTCATCGATGCCTGGGCTATCGGCTTCGACCATCGATGGGGGATGGACCGCCGGTTGCAGCAAGGCATTGTCTACTACCGCAATTCACCTTCTGACAACCAGTACGCCCACCCTCTCGATTTTTCAGTCGTCGTCGACACTGAGAAGGAAGAGGTTCTCTCGGTGGATGTGCGACTTGTCAATGGTGAGCGAACACTGCCGCCCTTGAAGGAGCACAACTACATGCCTGAGTTCATCGGAGACTCGTACGACACGACCAAGCTTAAGCCGATTAACATCACGCAGCCTGAGGGAGTGTCATTCCACATGGATGGGAACGTCTTGAATTGGGCTGGATACAAGATGCACGTTGGGTTCAACTATCGCGAGGGCCTCGTCCTTTCCGACGTTTCCATATATGATCCTTATGAGAAGCGTGATCGCTCTCTGTTCAACCGCATTAGTGTGGTTGAGATGGTGGTACCTTACGGTAACCCTGATCCTCCTCACCACCGCAAGCATGCCTTCGACGTCGGTGAGTACGGATCTGGTCTCATGACAAATTCGCTGAAGCTCGGATGCGATTGCAAAGGTGCCATTCATTACATGGATGCCATCATGGCCACCAGCAGCGGTGACCCAGCAATTGTTGAGAATGCAGTTTGCATTCATGAGGAGGATAACGGAATTCTCTACAAGCACACTGACTACCGTGATGGCACTGCTGTGTCTGCCCGAGACCGCAAACTCATCGTCTCTCAAATCATCACCGCGGCTAATTACGAGTATGCCTTTTACCACACGTTCATGCTGGATGGAACCTACAAGCTCGAGATGAAGCTCACCGGGATGCTGAACACGTATTGCATGCATCCATCGGAGTCTGCTGCCCCGTATGGTACGGAGGTTGCCCCGGGCGTCAATGCACACAATCATCAACACATTTTCTCACTTCGAGTCGATCCTTCGGTTGACGGCTCAGACAATTCTGTCGTTCAAAACGACGCTGTCCCCTCCGATGCACCGGTGGGGTCTCCAGAGAACTTGTACGGAAACGGGTTCTACTGCAAGAAAACTCCCCTTCTCACGGCAAAAGACGGTGCTGCAAGGTACTGTCACGAGACGAGCCGCTCGTGGGACATTATCAACCCGAATGTCATGAATCCCGTGGCTAAGAAGCCTGTCGCGTACAAGATTCTCAACAGCAGCTGCCCTGCACTTCTCGCCAAACCCGGCAGCATGCTTTGGAAGCGTGCAGCCTTTGCCCGAGAAAGCCTCTGGGTTGTGCCGTATCGAGACCACTTCATCTTCCCTGCCGGTGATTATGTCTGCCAGTCCACCGGAGAGGTTGGCCACCCATACAACAAAACCATTGAGGATTTTGCGGTGGAAGAAGAATCAATTGTCAATCGAGACATTGTGTGTTTTATCCAGTTTGGGCTTACACATTTCCCCCGCACTGAAGATTTTCCGGTTATGCCAGCCGAGCCGGTGAGCGTCATGCTTAGGGCCTCGAATTTCTTTGTGAAAAACCCGGCACTTTGGGTTCCGCCCTCAAATATCAACTCTGATAACACCTCAAGTGCTGCATTTCCTGAGGAGAAAGTTCGGACTTGCTGTGCTGGAAATGTTTCCGTGGGAAGCAAGCTCTAGAGGGTCTCATACTAGCAGCAATAGATCTGAAAATTTTTGCCATGTTTTCAACTACGAAGAATGATTCTCTGCCTGCACGGTTTCAGCCACGCGGTGAATGTATGCGGTTGCCCTTATTTAGTCTATTTATCTAAGTTATTGGTGGTTGAAGCTTTAGTCTGAGCCATCTTATTCTCCATGGTTACATGCTGAGCCCATACTGAGGACAGATAGGCTCCATAACTCTTGGTCCGACGGTGCCGCTTAGCGGTATATCAGCCTGGCGTAATACAGCTTATTCCGAGAAACCATGAAGATAGCTTAGGGCGTGATCATCAATAGGTGTACTTGCGTAACCTTTTCGCCAATCCTCTAGTAGAAGCTAATTTCATGAGGATAGTGGCACACTTAGTCCTTGTCTCTCCACACTTTTGCTTCATGCAACGAAAAGCTTTATATGATGCATGGACTTCTATGCCACAGAAGATGCCTTAGACGAACCTTTCACAGTTCACGGTACTAACAAAATAAATGACCCAGTTAGACGTATGTATCAACGTACTAGACCAAAGATCCAAATCCTGATCAACAGCCCAACTGGCAGCGCTCTTTCTGGTTTAACATGCATGCTTGCCTTCCAGTGGTGGTACCGATTAAGTGGATGCACCGTTCCACGAGGCCCTGGACTATCTACTCCCATATCAATATAGACGAATCCCTGGAGCTTGTCCCTGAAGCATGTATTGATGGCCCCATCTTCGGTACGGGTCCCTGATGACGCCCCGGATACTACATATTACCGTATGCGACTTGCAAAGCCCGCAAGTTTAGATGTGAAATCGCGTAACCAGTCGCTTCAATTCCATATACTCTACTTTCCATCTAATAACCACGTTACTAGACTGCGGCGTGCTTGCACATGCTTGATTTTTCGATATTAGTGAAGTATGATTGATTTACCACAAGTCGTCCAGGTGATAATCCAGCCAACCGACAGCCGCATTTTTTCGTCTGAATGCCCACACCCCCATGTAAGTACACTTCCCAGGGTAGATTCACAATTTATTTCATATCAAGAAATCACTGGCAAGTTTAAATTTTGGTATAAATTCAAGAGCCAGGTGGTTTAACTTGATACAAAATATTCTATCTATGTCTACAGATATACATACATATATATATATATATACATATACATAGCGCCCCGCCAATTGCAACCAGTTGTGTACATTGACTTGCACCACCTACTTGAGATTGAGACGTAATAAGAGCCTTGCTCCTCTTCCTTTTGCAATATATATCCAATTAAAAAACAGCCAGCAAAAGCAGTTAACGCAGTTGATACAATAAACATGATAGTGGGAGCTATATATCTAGAAATGGTTACTATAGTAGTACCAATAGTGGAAGGTTGCCAGAGTAGCTAAAATATACCATTTAGAAAATTAGAAAAATTGGAAAGTCCGTTTTCGCTCTTAAGGTGTCACTGTAACACGGTGCTACCCTCATCACAGGAGTGAGTTCCACTGGCGTTGTCTACAACTTACAAATTTGTGAACTTGCCCGATTGCACAAACAAGCTAATTTATGCGGTAGAGACATCAGCGAGACATGTCATCTGAATATTTGATTGATCTCGTTGCTAATTGGAGATAGAGATCCATCAATCGCAATGCAAGCATACGTGGGACTGTATCCTGCTTATCTACCTATATGATACATTAATACCGTGGAATACGCGGTATGAATGAGGATCACTGCTGGATGGGAGAGGGGCCGATAGGTTTAGATCGAAAAGGACATGTGGAGTCTAGTCAACAATATGCTAAGCTACACGTGCTATTGGCCCTACAGGGGAAAGGGGCGCCTCAGTGCTATTGAAGGACGACAGCTTGAATTTGGCCCAGGCTTCTGAACAATTCACTGCGGCCTTGTCTGCGTGCCTAACTGGCGTTGACAACTGGTCAGTGACAAACGTGTGCCATGTACGGATACCAAAGTCGTACACGTATGATTGCCCGTATTAGCTGTGCGCATGACCAGTACGAGAGATAGAGGGAGCTTGGAACTTGAGGTCAACAGCGGGGTACCCGCCACCGGGAAGGTACTTTTGCCGATCGGCATAGCTCAGTTGATATGATGGGAAGGCACTAACGGATGAGACGGCAGACTATCATCCATTGTGCATGCTTACGACAATGCAAACGGTATTCGTATCCACGAGTACGTCGTAATAAAAGCCCAGTCCTTTTTTTTATAACTCACTCTATTTCATCGGCCAACCGGCACAGGAACCTTTGAAGTATACACGGTGCTACTGGCCAGGTGGGAACAACCATTAGAGGTTAGAAGACGAGTGGCGTGAGGCAGAGACGGGTTCATTGGCAGTGACTTTCCTCTGCCGCCAGTCGTGGTCCCACAGAGACGGGAACGGCGTGTCTACCGTACGTCACACACGACAAACGTCATACTACCATTTGCATATATATAGTAGAGCCAGCTACCAACCAGGCGACTAGAGACACGGCCTTGCATCTGTGTTATCGTCTGCTGTCATCCCATAGTAACCATCATGTGGTTCTCGAGGGTTACTCTAACATTACTTGTTGTAACAAGTGTTGTCGATGGGAAGAAGCATTGGACACAGCGTGATTGGGTCGAGCACCTGAGCAAGCGACAACAGCTGCAGCACGAGACGCAACCCAAGGTCGCAAAGCGTGAAGCTGTAGAGTCTAAGTTTCTGAACCTGGATTCTAAGAGTATGTTGGGAAAATACGTACAGACCCGTGTTCGACGAGGCGATATTAACTGCAATCAGAATTCTATGTTGACGGGACGTCCCTCCCCGAAGTCACCTTTGACGCCGGCGAATCGTATGCAGGGACTCTGCCAAATGATGAGAATGGCGACTTGTTCTTTTGGTTCTGGCCCACAACGGCCAAAGACGAGCCTAAAGAAATCATCCTCTGGCTCAATGGAGGTGTAAGTTAGATGTACCCGCCTGCCTCAGCGAATAATCAAAGAGACAACGACGTGTAAGAGCTAATAATGAGTAGCCTGGGTGCTCATCTATGGATGGCTTCTTCAAGGAGAACGGTGCCATCTTATGGCCCAGCGGATCGCCCTATCCCGTCCTGAACCCTTGGAGCTTCCACCATCTCACCAATGTTGTCTGGGTCGACCAGCCAGTCGGAACTGGGTACAGCCAGGGAAACGTAACGGCCCAGGACGAAGGCGACATCGCAAGGCAATTCCTAGGGTTCTGGAAGAACTTCATAGATACGTTTGAGATGGAAGGCTACAAGGTTTACATCACGGGCGAGTCATACGCGTAGGTTGAACTACTTGACTGGTTACTTCATCGGCTAACACGACGTATAGTGGAATGTACTGCCCTTACATTGCTCACGAGATGATCAAAGCCAACGACAGCAAATACTTTGATGTTGACGGCATGATGATATACGATCCCTCCATCGGATCGGGTATTCTTACCGAAATGTCTACCAAATATTTCCACGATAGTTGGAAGCACGCCATACCTCTCAACGACACTGCCGCAGCAGCTCTGGAGGAGATGGCCGACAAGTGCAATTACACAACCTACCTGGATGAGTACCTCACCTACCCACCTTCAAAGGCCCAGCCTGACGTCGACACTCTTCCAGCCGCATCGGACGAGGAGTGCGACGCGCAGAACTTTCTAATCAACGCAGCCCTCGAGATAAACCCGGGATTCAACCTGTACCAAATTACCCAGCTACCCCCCGTCCCGTGGGATGTTGAAGGATTTCCCTATTCAGACTTCTATACCTACCCCAACACGTCTATTTACTTCGACCGACCTGATGTCAAGAAAGCACTGCATGTGTCGGAAAATGTGAAGTGGGAGATTTGTAGCACTGGGTCGGTGTTTGTCGGCGGAGATTCGTCGCTTCCATCAGCCCTGCACGAAATTCCCGCCGTTATTGAGAGCACTAACAACGTGCAGATCCACCACGGCGTCCTGGACTTTGTCCTCACTGTTAATGCCACTCTACTTACCATCCAAAACATGACGTGGAATGGCGCCATGGGCCTGAGCGAAATGCCACGCGAGCCACTGTTTGTGCCCTACCACGAGAATTCATTTGTCCCCACATCGGCTGGTGCTGGTGTTCTGGGCTCATGGGTCGAGCAACGGGGTCTCACTGTTGGAATCGTAACCCTCACTGGGCACATGATCCCCGAGTGGGTACCGGGTATAGCTTTCAGGCAGATCGAAGTGCTCCTGCGCAGGGTTGAGAACCTAGCCAGCACAAAGCCTTTCCCGCAGTCACCCAAGTCCCCCCAGCCCAAGGCCAGCGGACTTGGACGAGGCACAGCGGGCACCAACTGGGGACGCGTTTTAAAGACATAAATGCGGCGTCCTTTCACGAGCCTTGGGGTGGCCCTTGTATATGTGTTTGTTATACATATCTAGGTATATAGCCCAGTCCAGGAAAGCTAGGATAATTGGATATATTGCAAAACCATGACCCCGGAAGGATAACGGTTACTGAATATGTATAGTTCCTAGTAAGGCAACTTGTGTCGGACATCGAGTTTGCTCGAGGTAGGAAGGGAATGAGGTAAGTGACAAGATTCGCTAGTTGACAGCGACGAGTATAGAGGTAGTGGTGAAGGTACCAGCACTAACGGCTATCTATTCTCTGAGGTCCGCACTATAAAGATGGAAATATAGCTACCCCCTCACTTACCTCGCTACTCTCCCCTCCCAAGCAGACTCGTTGTCTGATAGAAATCCATCTTCCCCACTTCCAGTAGGAACCCACCAATAAGTCCCGACAACATGCTGGCAACGCATGGAATCCCCAAGTAAAACTAGTCTCTCAGGTGGAAAGCTCCTGGAGTGGATTATGGGACAAGTTGTCCTTGGTGGCCAAGGGGCTATGCAGCTCAAACCGCTCAGCTTGATGTGGCATCTCTATTATCCCCTGGCCAGTCAATTCGGACTGGTTCATATGCCCATGAGGGAGCGCGGTAGATTCCCTATTGTCCCCATACAACTCAGGAGTGCCGTCTTTTTGTGAACCGTGTATAGGAATAACACCTCGCATCGCCTTTTTGTGTCTACGACGCACAAAAAGCCCGATTCCAATGATAGCAAGCAGAGCCACGATGCCGCCAATGACACCACCAACAATCGCACCTGTCCTGTTGAAACCGTTGCCGCTAGACTTGCTGTCATCATCTGAGCCTTGCCCATCCCCAGTTTCCGAAGGCATTGACGCTGTTTGGCCTGTACGCGACTTTGTAGCTGATTGTGCCGTTGAGCTCGAAACCGATACCTGGGCAACGACGTCACTCGCGGCAGCACTGCAATAGAAATCAAGAACACCGAGAGCAGAGTTCACATCATCTGTGGCTGTGTTATCACATTCCATCATGACCTCAGATGTCAGGGTAAGAGAGACCCTGGCCCTCATGCCAGATTTGAGGCAGACACATGATGCCAGAGCCTGTGGGCCAGCCGCGCAAAGAAAATTGGTTTGCTACACGGGTCAGTATTCCTTTATAAGGACATCGGGTTAAATTCCACTAACTTCAAGGATAGCGTAGGAGACGCCCGATCGAGCGCAACTGTTCAAAGACGTGTAATCTGGCAGGTCCGTGATGTGGTACGTCACTTAACTACCCCGTAAGCAATTGGCTCATGTCCGTTCAAGGCAAAGAGGCTCCACTTACTGTCGCCTGGAGGGCTCTCAGGTCGCGCAAAAGAAGTAGTTCCGTCGTTCATGGCGCAATAATCTTCAAAAAAGCGGTATGCAGACGTGACGTCCTCGTCATTAGAGCACATAGATCGCACCGTCGCGCTAATCGTCTCGCTCACTTCCTCGAGAATACGGCTCTTGCTACACACACAAGGCGCAAGAAGGCTTGCTTCCACTGGGCACAGGGACAAGGACTATTCATCGTCGGAATATATCAGCGTGAATATCCTCTGAGGGTTTGTGGACGAACCATTCCCCTCTATCGTACCTCTTGCATCACTGCCGAAGACAAACCAGATGAAGCACAAGGTGCTAAGGAGGCCATCTCGGACAAATTTGTAATGTAGGCATTGACTTTATTCCTTGTTGGGGTCGAGAACTTGACTTCCTGACCTGGGGTGCAGTATTGCTTAAACACTCGCGAAGCGCTCGATTGCTCCTCGCTTGCAGCTATGCCGCCACACCCAGCACTTATGTCACTCGATATAGATGAAGTAACTTCATCAAGTCGGGCATTGTTAGAGCAGATACAAGACTGGAGCTCTTCTTGGCCGAGACCACAGCTTGCCGTGTAAGGCTGTATGCCAATGTTGTAGGACAGAGCGGAGGAAGCGCACGGTGCCTAAGGGTCATCATCAACATCGGAGTGCAGGGATATTTCATGATGGTGCACGCACAAGCAGGCTATAAGCCGCAAGATCAGTCACATACTCAGCCGCAGCATATACGACGTACGCGGGGAACACGCCGTGAACGACAGACAACATGAATAGGCGCAGCATTATGAGCAGTGACTGCAACGAGTCAACACGCTTGTTGCTAGAATTGAGGCAAGGTGAGGCAATTCGAATAATAGTCCGCAAAGTATGTAAAAAGGGGAAGGATGACCGATTGTCACTCACCCTCAAAATTAGGACCCCATTCTGCCTCGTTGTGGCGCCGGTTTAACGCCAATCTGGGCGGGACTAGTTCCTTGGCGAAGCTAAAGCGGATGTTATAGCTTACAGAACGAGGTTGCGACACACACGAGTGGTAAGTCAGCACACCCATTTTTGGAACACTATTATATAAAGAGGTCGTGTTCTCTTTTGTGTGTTATATGGTCTGCCAGTATGTGTGTGTGTGCTTGGTTTGTTATTGCTAGGAGGGACGGATCTAACGTTATTATAGTCAAATCCTGACTACTTAAATCGGGTGATTTAACTGTCGATTTATTAAACGACTATATAAAGCTCTAGCCCACTTATCCCCGATAGGGGGTATATGAACACTTTAGAAAACCGTAATCTAATATTTGAATTGTTCTATTCAAAACATAAAGTAATAAATTATAATCCCATAGTAAAGGAAATAATATTTACTAATCGTATATTATATATTTAGAAGTAATGTCATACTTGTTATATATATTAAAGGTAGTTAAGGTTTTATATAATTTTAAATTCTTATCTTATTATATTTAAGATAAACTTAATAGCTTTATAGTCGAGTCCCGCTTACCTAAGCTATATATATATTTTCTATTATAATAATTATAATAGGATAAGAACTTAATACTATATAATACTTTACCTACCTTTTATATATATATAGGAGTGTTATTAGTATATTCTCCTATACGCCCCTACTTTAACTTATAAACGGTTAGGTCCTAGAAGAATAATAAACGATTCTTAAGAGAAATCTTATATATATTAAATCACACTCTCTATCTATAATATCTAGCACTATCTTTATCTAATATAATATAGATATCTCTACTATTTAGGTTACTATATAACCTTAAAAAATATAATAATATAGATAAATAAATATAAATTTAGACCCTATAGTTATCTTTAAATCTCTTTTCTATCTCTAACCTATAAGACTTTATTATTCTCTCTATTACTTCTAACGAATCTTATTAATAAATTTATCTCTCTAGTTTTATTAGTAAGACTTTATTACTTACTCTATTACTTCTAATAAGTCTCCTTAGCTAATTAGATAGAGGATATAAAGTATATATAGGTAGGTTAAATTATATAATCCTCTACTATATAACCCACTTTTTATAATATAGCGGAGCCTTAAATTTATTACCGCGGCTATATCTAACCTATAAGACTATAACACTTTCTCTATTACCTCTAATAAGTCTCCTTTATAGGTACGTACGTACTATTTTAATRTYRAAATRAATATAATATTRATATAGCGGTTCGTACTATTTTAATATTAAAATGGCCGGTACGTACTATTTTAATGTTAAAATAGCTAGAACTATTTTAATATTAAAATAGCTAGTA